AATCAGAGTTTATCCAACGGGTGACCCACTATGTGCCCATTAAAAAGCCTCTTTGTCAGGTATATTAGCTCACCAGCCTTAAGTATTGCGACGCAACAGATACATATCGGCTATTGCCATCAGTGCATGTCCCATGATGTTAGCGCAGATATTGGCGGTTTAACTGAAGTTTAACTTATACATTCGAGCATCCATATGAAAATCTCATGGCAGACTTTTTAATAAGATCCTCTCTCGAATGAAGATAATTCATATTTATCATGCAGAGATTAGGAGTTTTATTCATTTGGACTCTTTGTCTTCTCCCAATTTGTTTTCCTTTTCTGAAACTTGTAACAATCAAACCATGGACTGTATAAAACATGGACATAGTATCAGTGACATCAACCATTGGTTTCTGAAGAGGCAGTTTGAACCCAATGATGGCAGTCGCCATATTGGAAATGTTATCTCAACTTAACTTTCAATCAATCCAGAAACAGACAAAGAGGCGCAACTGAGGCCGGCATTTAGCCTCCTACTAATCTTCCCATTAAAAAAATTTGAATTATTTAAATGAAATGGTTTTTAAACCAGGCTGTAAATGGGTATTCCAGCATTAGACCTAATGGGGATTCCTTGGCTTGGGGAGCCAGCCTCTAGTGGACTCTTAAGGAACTGCAGTTTTTTCAGATTTCTGGTAAGATGAAAACACACAGCGCTGTTTTATTTATGACGCTCTAGTTCTGACAGAAGCTGAATGAGGCCGCTGTAGTGTGAGCTTGAAGTCATAAGTGTGATTTTCTCCTTTAGAAATTCGTTTTGAAATTGATTGAATGACAGAATGCATATTATTCATCATTATGAGTTTATAATCAGTGTTTTGTGTTTCTATATCTGAGGTCATTACTAAAGCCATTGATGACACTCCTTCATCCTCTGATATTTCAGGAGGAACGAGAGGGAGGTGATGGTTTAGTAAGATTGGATTTGGGTGGATTTTCAACACGATTCACGTTGTATTGTGATGTCATTGTGGTCTGGTTGGATCTACAAAGGAACATGGGTTCTGTGTAAAGCCCTAATCCTCTTTGAATACGTGCAGAATATTTTTATGTGCCCTAATGGAATACACAAATGAAAACTTGTTATTAGAAATGCACAATAAGTCTTTTTTTAGCCAATACCCATAAATACCTAAAATCATAACCTCAAGTTTATTCCCACCTGAAGGGGTCAACTGCTATAATGTAGGACGCAAAGATGCATGATTACATTATCAATCTGTCTGGGATCCCTTTGTGTAACATTATAGCAAACCTTTTTTTTTCTCAATGGTTTAACAATGATTGCCAATAACAAAAATACTAATATCTGTCCAAATCGCTCTCAAAACGTAGCTCTGAGTGTGTTTTTCTTTGGGAGATGTCCATCATCTAATAACTTTGTTTCTGTAAAATGAACGTTTTCCATATCTGCTGAAACATGTTGTGTCCAAGGTAATCGTCATGTTGTCAGTTTGAGTGGACCTTTTTCACACGTCATCCCTCTCTTTTCTCTTTCTATTCTATAATGGGAAGCTTCACAGAAAAGGCAAAAAAGATTTTCCTAGACAAATGAGCATTGTACAATGAAGATTTGATGCTTGTACAGCATCTGTCTTGGTCGTTTCCAACGGTCACAAATAGAACTGACCTCAAGTGTGCACATAGTGTGTGTGTGTGTGTGTGTGTATGTTTTTGTGCATACCTTTGTGTATGCACAACTTTCGACGTGCAAAATCTTTCAAGTTTTTTTTTCTTCATCTGACCTTGATATGAAGGGGTGGTCTAAATAAAGGAAACATCTGGCATCATATCAAAGAGCTTCTGAGGAAAAACGTCATCTTGCTCATTAAGAGGAGATTTGAGCTCCAAACGCTGTCTTAAGCTCTATTCACACATGCACAAAACTTGTGAAAAAGTCCCTGAAATTTACATGGTGAGCTGCATGTGTGAATGCAAAAGGCCATATTTTTCATGCCAACTATATCAAGACTTTTTTTCTGCCAGGTCCCTAGAAGGGATGGGCTGATGTGTGAACACAGCAGGTTAGAATCAAGAACATCCAATGCAAGTGAGTGGGAGTGGGTGATGACGTTTTTATCATGCCACTAGAGTACGACTGTTGTGATGAACCTGCCTCAATATCTTTTCTACTCGTCAGTATGTTCTTCTCTGCTCTAATGATTATACTGTGAATATGTCCAATTACACGTAGCATTGATATAAAGGCAAAAAACCTTCATCATAGCATTAGACTTTGTTTCTCAACGTAGGAACATTTCAGGTGAAGACTGTCCTGAATGTGTGAAAACGGCTATACAGGTTCTACTTGTATGATGATTGAAATATGTTCATGCCTAAAAAATAGTCCATAGTGTCCATGGAGCAGCTTTTAAATTCTAAAACTGAAATGATCTTGAATTATGGAAATAGAAAGAGTGATTTTGTAAGGGATGCAAACGGTCCTTTGAAATGGTCTCATACTGTAACCCATTGGCCAAAGTGCTTCTATGCAGAGCGCTCGACAGACCTAATGGATCTTAAAGACATATCCATACCCGAACCATAGCAGTCCCTCCATGTCAGTTGTGTCTTTGTGTGTTAGCTTTGGATTTGAGCAGTTTGGGTATGAATGGGAGCCTTGTTTTAAATCTCAGCTTTGTAGACTCACAAGTGCAGTCTTGTAGAGACTGGGACACAGAGGTGCTGATTCAGTTCCTGTTAAGAAGCATCTATTCCTTTTTGCTTCCTTTAAACAGGGTTATTCTTGGTTGATGCAGTTTGTTCATGTATAACCGTTTTATGTCTGTTTTCATTATTTGTTCTCCTACACTTTTTTAAAACCAGAGCCATCCTTACAATATTATAATCCAATCTAATTCTAATAGATGTAAAGACGTTTGTCTGACTTTGAATTGTAAGTCAAATTTCTCAAAGTCGGACCAAGAAAATGGGATTTGGTTTTCTCTTGCATGTTATACGCCTTACTCTGACTCAAACTGGACTAGGCCTTCTGCACATGCTCCAAAGCTCGTGCTCCAGGCTTTGACCCGGAAGTTGAACAGCGTTAATGCGTCCAAGAAAGGCGGGAAGAAAACAAGGTGACGTCATCAACATGGCGAGTCTAACTTTACAACTGTAAAGTTTGACATACAACCAGTTTGCCGCTTGTTAAATCGTGTTTAATTATGTTGAACAGGTTGACTGGGAGAAGGTCCAATCGTAATAATCTGATTGGGGTTATTTCGGACCGTCGTAGCGGAGTCGGCCACCAATTCTACCCTGGTGCTTGTATACTGGGACAAGGACAGAAGTCCGATCCAATGGGACAACTTACTTTATTACTGTAGGCTGACTTAACTGTGCATGTAATTGAACAGACTGATAGATTTTTTTTTTTTTACGTTAAGCAAAGTGCTGCACAGAGAATTACCCTCTCACAATCATGCATCAGCAGCATGTTTGAGCCTTCACTCAAAGATTCACCAGAGAAACTATTAACTTTGTTCTTCTGTGACTTAAAGTTTTTTTTGCTATTGTGCTCTGGAGAAACTGTGAAAATATTGTATTGATTGGGTTTTGATTCAAGAGTCGAGGTTAAAACTGTGCCCTTTAACCACCTGTCTCCAAAACCAGTGAGCTACAAATCCTATTTGTGATATTAAATTGTTTTTTGAGACAAAAATTACAATTGATTGGGGAGCCATGATGAAAGAGCTGTGAAACAATGGTCACATCATCAACATCCATTTCTCAGGCCAGGGCCCAGCTGAAGAGAAGCCCAGAGACATAAAGCCTTCATCTCTCAGTTGATTCATTCAATCTTATTTCAGAGCAGTTGAAACAATCTGATGGAATAGTCTGCTCTAAATACTGAGCTATGGAGCTGCTCTCCAGCTGTTGCTTATCCCCAAGGTAATACAAATGGGACAAATCAGCCCATAATCCCTCCTCAGCCCTTCCATTGTTCTTGGAACGATGCTTTGCTAAAAAAAAATGAGACCTTCTTAGTATTCTGAGTAACATCAGCATCTGCTGAAATCTCTCGTTTGTCATGTTTCGTGAGGCTGGTGGACAGCTCCGGGTATTTCAGTGATTGATGATGTTCTCATTTTCCGATGAATTTGTGAGTCTCTATCTATTTAAGTCTTCTTAATGAGGCAGCAGAAACAAACCTATATCTGTTTTTCATGTTTGAAAAAGTAGCTTTTGCAGTAACAGAAGTTCATTATTTAAATTTGGCATAATTGTATTTGTTGGTGTTATATCAGCAGAAAACATGAAAACATGATTGCAAGCTTGAGATTTAAATTTGCCATCTTTAAATTCCCAAATATAATCCTACAGTAAAACCACCATAAAGGAGTAATTGCTTAAGATGTTGTGTCTAAATTAACTCTAATTCTAATTACAGACAAATTATCTATAAAAAAAAACATTTTCCTTCCTGTGCCACATTTACAACAAGGTGTCCTTTTTTTTTTTTCTTTTTTTTTTTTAGCTCATCATTGCAAACGCAGCTTAAACAGCATCTAAAAAGTGGCCAAATGAGGCTCTGCTTTAGGAGAATATCTCTCAAGAACATACTCATGAACATTCGAGAGCTTTATATCTTTTCTCTGGCTATTGTCTTACTTGCGGAATAGGATGTGTCATCCATCCTGAAGCAGATCATTCTTTGTTCAAAGCAGGAGTTGCTGTTTGTAATCATACCAGATCATCAGCAAGCTCATTTTTATGGAAGAGCGTGTTCACCACTAAGAACACTGAAGCATTATGGAGGATAACATAAGTCCAGATGTCCTGAAATGACATCCCAACAAAGCTTTGTAACAGCTCTGTGCAGAGATTGTCCATGCTTTAGTAAAATGTTTTGTAAGCCTAAAGCTCCTATGGATTTCTTGATATGATTCTCATACTTTGACATTTATTCTGCTGCGTGCCCTAAGTATTTTTTTCCCCTCTCTTCTTTTGCAGGTTTCCCTGATTTTCCAGGGAGTGCTCCCTCTCTTTAGTGATGGAGGTACTGCAGTGTGATGGCTGTGACTTCCGTGCCGAGTCATATGACGACTTGAAGACCCACATTCAGGAAGTGCACACTGTTTTCCTGCAGCCAGCAGATGCCGATGAGTCTGACTCTCTGAAAGACGAGGATGAAGATGAGCAGGGAGAGGAGGAATGTGAGGATAAGGAGGATGACAAGGATTATGCGCCTGCTAAAGCTGGAATGAGTATGCTTTGCACATAAAATCTGATTTTGGAGTTGATTTCTTGGGTTTAAGAAACACTCATTGTGGGATGATTGAATGGGGGTATACACATTGATTTATGTATTGCTGGTTTTCAATGACAGTAAAAACAAGAAGGCTTCATAATATCAGTAAAATGTTGCAATGAGCTATTTTTAGCAGACATTTTATAAATATTTCTTTCTTTTTTTAGGCCCCAAATCTACTGATGATTCCAACCAAACACCGCAAAAGCCGACAGCTGAGACTCATCTGCCGTTTTACCAGTGCAAGTTCTGCGTCCGTTACTTCAGATCGCAATCGTTCTTAAGAAACCACACCAAAAAAGTGCATAATGTTGTAGAGGAGGATTCAGATGCAAGTGTCTCCTTGCAAACAGCTAAGCAGCCCAGCTACACTGTTATAATGCACAAGGACAATTCTAAGGTGTATTCCTGCCAGTATTGCACATACAAGTCTCCGCGCAAAGCAAGGATATTGAAGCATCAACTGATGTATCACAGCAAAGTTCCTTCGGAAAGTGTCGGCGATCCTTCTGAGGCTGGAGAAGATTCTGATCCAGCCTGTGGGCTGAAGGGGACGTTTGCTTGCGAATGGTGCGACTATCAGACTGACCAGAAGGACAGCTGGACTGCTCATGTGGTCAGAGAACACAGCGACAAGGTCAAAATAGTTTCCAGCATTGCAGAGCTGGAAGGGGAAGCCAGTGCAAGCTCACCCAAACCAGATTCTCCTGCTGCCTCCCAGAGCCCGAATCGATCAAAAATAAGTGTCACTGATGAACATGAAAAGGACGATTCAGTAGAAAAAACAGCAACATTGGAGAAGCCCGCCCTAGAGATTGCCTCCCTTCAGTTTGCACAGATTAGTGCTGTGACTCCTAATAGCACAGGTTCCTCTATTTTGTCCAAGAGGTTTGCATCATCTGAAGTTCCAAACAGTGTCATAAAGATGGATTCCAGCTTACTCAATGAGGAAGACTCCCGGAGCAGCTTAGAGGACGACGATGACGAAGATCTTGGCGATATCGACGATGACACCAGCTACACCGGGACGCTGTCGGCAGACGCAAAGCAGCTTTTAACTGATGAGGATAATAAACTTCTAGAGACAAAAGGAATACCCTTCCGGAGGTACATGAACCGATTTCAATGCCCATTCTGCTCCTTCCTAACCATGCACAGGCGGAGCATCTCCCGCCACATCGAAAACATTCACCTTTCTGGTAAAACCACAGTGTATAAATGTGATGAATGCCCGTTTATTTGCACCAGCCCTCTTAAACTAGGTACGCACAAACAGAGCCACAGTTCCTCAGATTTAGACACCTTGGACCTAACAAGTGACAGCCCAGAACCTCAAAATGACAAAGCTGCGGAGCCAGTTAACGGGGGCAACGTGACCTCCAAAGTCAACGGAAAAAGGATAACCAGCACACCCAACGACCAGCAGAACCCTCATCGCTGCTCCCTCTGCAGCTTCTCCACCACCACTCTGAAAGGTCTACGGGTTCACCAGCAGCATAAGCACTCCTACTGTGATGACCTTGACCCACTGTCTTTGAAAGCCAGATGACCGACCAGCCAGACTCCGAGGTGGACGCATCTCCAATCTTCCTCCAAAAAACCCAGACCTCCATTTTAGGACTTGCAACCAAAAAGCCCTTAGCTACAGGCAAACGAGCCAGGAAGTCCATCAACGACCTGCCTTTGGATTTGTCCTCGGTAAAAAAGCGAACAAGAATCGATGAGATCGCCAGTAACCTTCAAAGTAAGATAAGCCAAAGCCAACAAGACATGATCATAAACCTGGATGAAATGGAAGATGAAGACGCGGGAGAAAATCACACCGGCGCTGATAAAGATAGTGGAAACCATGACGGTAAGAACCCTGTCTTCACTTATAATGCACAGCAGCTTAACGCAAGAGAATCGCTGATATCAAACGATGGAGGCAGAATTGGAAAAGAAAAAGCAACCCTAAGTCGAAACCTAGAAGCATTCCTATATCACTAACTCTGTCAGACGATAGCGAAAACATCTCCGTAGACCCAAGTGATGGTGCAATCCAAGAGAACACTGATTATTCAGAGGAACCGGGGACTGCTCGTTTCTACTGCAAACACTGTGACTACCACAACAAGTCGGCCCGTAGTGTCAGCACCCATTACCAGAGGATGCACCCTTACATTAAGTTCAGCTTTAAGTACATCCTGGATCCCGAGGACCAGAGTGCGGTTTTTCGCTGCCTGGAGTGCTACATTGAATACACCAACTACAACGATCTACACCAACACTACATGGATCACCACCCCGAAGCAAGCAACGTGCTCAACTTCAACCAACCAAATCTGGTATACATGTGCCGCTTTTGTTCGTACACGAGCCCGAATGTCCGTAGCCTGATGCCCCATTACCAAAGAATGCATCCCACAGTGAAGATTAACAATGCCATGATCTTCTCCAGCTACGTAGTGGAGCAATCCCACAAAACTGGTGAGTCCCAAACGCTGAGGGAAATATTAAACTCTGGCCCCAAGAATTTTAATTCCGCTTCCTCAACCCCTAGATCCTCTTCCAGCCCGGTGCTTAAAACTCCCTCTAAGACGCCGGAGGTTTGTGCTGAGACGGACACTCTCAAAGAGCCGATGGGTGGAAATGTTGTAGTATACGATTGTGATGTGTGTTCTTTCGCTAGCCCCAACATGCACTCTGTTCTGGTCCACTACCAGAAAAAGCACCCTGAGCAGAAGGCCTCTTACTTCCGTATACAGAAAACCATGAAGGTCATCTCTGTGGATCAACCTCAGCCTGTTGCAAACTCCTCGTACAATCTCAGCATGGCTACACCTTCAAAACAGTCGAGTGCCCCACTGTATGGAACAGATGAAGAAATGTACTACTGTAAGCACTGCGTGTACAGCAACAGATCTGTAGTGGGCGTGTTGGTCCATTATCAAAAACGACACCCAGAAGTTAAAGTGACAGCAAAATACATAAAACATGGTGCTCCCACCCCTGGTTTGATGAAACTAATGGACGAATTGCAAATCTCCGCTCCCAAACAGTTTTTGAAGCAGTTTCAAAATAACGGTCACGATGGATCTAACAACTCGAGCCCTAAACAGGGAAGTGGTGAGAAAGGAGAGGACGAGTTGTTCTTCTGTCAGCAATGTGACTATGGAAACCGCACTGTAAAAGGAGTGCTCATCCATTACCAGAAGAAGCACAGGGAAACCAAGGCCAATGCTGACCTCGTACGTCGTCACACGGCGGTCGTCCGGAGCCAGCGTGAGCGTGCGCAGTTGGTTCAGTCGAGCAGTGTCTCTTCTGCTGTGATCCCAACCCCTCCAGATCCTGAAAACGCCACATCATTGCGTTCCCTCAAATGCAAACACTGTACCTACACATCCCCTTACGTCTACGCCCTTAAGAAGCACCTGAAGAAAGAGCACCCTACTGTGAAAGCCACGGCGAATGACTATTTTACATTGGGCTTACCAAGATGGCATTCTAGAGGCCGGCTACCACTGTGAGTGGTGCATTTACTCCCATGCTGAGCCCCAAGGCCTGCTCCTCCACTACCAAAGACGCCATCCTGAGCACAATGTGGATTACACATACATGGCCAGTAAGCTATGGGCTGGCCCGGAGACCACCCAACAAGGAGGCAATATGGAAACTAAGCATTACAAATGTAGAGACTGTGCCTTCGAGGCCTGTACAATATGGGACATTACGAGTCACTACCAGGCAGTCCACCCGTGGGTCATAAAAGGGGATGAATCTGTGCTTTTGGATATCATCAAAGGAAATGGTTCAGCGGAAAAGATCCACCCACAGATTGCCAAAGAACATCTGACTTTCAATTGTGAGCCTGTTGAAGATGATGGCGCTTATGTCATTGCTACCCCACCTCAAGAAAGCAATGCCCATCCTTCCCACCCCCGTCTTTCCATCTCTAACAACTCGTATCAGTGCACTGTATGTCTGTCAGAGTACAACAGTCTACATGGCCTCCTCACCCACTATGGGAAAAAGCACCCGGGCATGAAAGTAAAAGCCGCAGATTTTGCACAGGAGGCCGATATCAACCCCAGCTCCGTGTATAAATGTCGTCACTGTCCGTATGTAAACTCCCGGATCCACGGGGTCCTTACTCACTATCAGAAAAGACACCCTTCAGTGAAAGTCACAGCAGAAGACTTCGCAGATGATATAGAGCAGATTCCCGACTTAAACGAGGGAGACGACAAGTGCAAAACTCAAAGGCAGGGCTACGGCGCGTACCGATGTAAAATGTGCCCGTACACCCATGGGACACTGGAGAAACTCAAAATCCATTACGAGAAATATCACAATCAGTCTGCCTCGGATATGTTCACTCCTTCTCTGACACATTTCTGCACAAGTAGAGACACAGAGCCAGTAGCCGAATGCAGTACTGGTAATATATCAAGCACAGCACAGGTCCAGGAGGTCAGCGAGTTGGACCTTGCCCTCTCTCAGTTACCCATCAATAAGACGGAGAAGCATGCCGTGTTCAAGTGTCAGCTCTGCAAATACTTCTGCTCCACCAGGAAAGGCATTGCTCGCCACTACCGTATAAAGCACAACAATGTGCGCGCCCAACCGGAGGGTAAAAACAACGTCTTCAAATGTGCTCTTTGTGCGTACACCAACCCCATACGCAAAGGCCTGGCAGCACACTACCAGAAGCGGCATGATATTGATGCCTATTATACCCATTGTCTGGCTGCTTCCAAGACTATAACTGAAAAGCCTGCCAAGGTGGTAGCGCCCCCACCGACAGAGGGAGAAAATTCAGAAATGAGTGAAGATTTGCGCTTGGCTGTAGAAAGACGAAAGTGTTCTCTTTGCGCCTTCCAGGCCTTCAGCAGGAAGAGCATCGTCTCGCACTACATTAAACGCCACCCAGGTGTCTTTCCCAAGAAGCAGCATAATAGCAAGCTCGGCCGCTACTTTACCGTTATCTATGCCAAAGAGCCGGAGAAGCTTGCCGTAGATTCAGTGGCAGAGGAAGGCAAAGAAGTGCTGGAGGTCCCGCTTGAGCCAAAGCAGGACGGAGATGATGATTGGCTGCCTTTCAAGTGTCTAAAGTGCTTCCGGTTGTCCTTCAGCACGGGCAATCTGCTGTCTTTGCACTACAACGACCACCACAGCGGTGACTTGAAGAGGGACTTTGTTGTATCAGAAGGTCTAGGGGATGAAGATTCGGAGTTGTACCAGTGTTCTCACTGTGAGCTGAAGTTCCTGGATCTCCCGGTTTTGGCCAAACATCTGTTGAATCACAATGAAGAGTTTCAGAAGAGAGCCATGAGGCAGGAGAGGAGGAGGCAGCTCCACAGCAAACTGAAGGCCACAGAAGTACCCGAGAACAAACCTGAGAAGGTAAGCAAAGATTAGTCGTCCATAAATCGTTAAATGACCAAATTAAACTGGCATTAATTTATGTTTGGAAAAAGCTACTTTCAGGTATCATACGACTTATCACATGGTCTTTGGCTTCTATTATTAAAATGAATATATGTCAATAACAGAGTGAAAACCAGAATTTCCCTGAGGGATTGATAAAGTAAAATAAAATAAAAAAATGTAACTGATCCAGAATCTTACTGTGGAAAATGTCATCGCTGTGTTTCTCCTGCATGAAGTTAATGACGCTGTGAATAACTGTTTTTTTGTATTTATTCTCTTTTTCTGTCAACAGGATAACCCTGCAAACAAAGCTCCCATTGGATTCAGGTGTAACTTCTGCATAGAGGTCCACCCCACCCTCCGAGCCATTTGCAACCACCTTAGAAAGCATGTCCAGTACGGAGAGGTCAAAGAAGGACATGTCAAGGTAAATGAAGTTGAATTTCTTGAGATGAACACATTGAAATTGTGTTTTAAGAACCATACAAATACCATTGATAAAACACCAGAGAATGGGGGTGCTGGTGACCTAGTGGTTAGTGCTTACCCCCCATGCACGGCTGTGGTCCTCCAAGAGGGTTGGAATCCGACTCCTCACAGGAGCTTTAAGTGATATCAAATTATTTTTTAATATCTCAGAAGCCCAACTTTTCCTTTCCACAGTTTCTGTGTCTTGTAATCTTACTCTTGTCCTCCCAGCACTGCAGTGACCTCTTTCACTGGACTTTGGTTCTGTTTCCCTTTTTGTTCATTAGCAAACAGCGGCTTCTGGGTGGACGGTTTGTCAGCTTCCCCCAGAGAAAACAAGTACTGCTGTCCCATTGCAGTGGCAGGGGGAGGAAGAAGAGGACATTGTGGTGTGCCATAACTTTTAGGGCAGCGGCGGGTAACCATTCAAACATTAGTATTCCACTGAGGCTGCCAGTGAGGGAAACAGGCCTCGGGATCCAACGCGTCACCCAGACGGAGGCCTGGTTACTGCGCCAGTCACTCAGTCTGCTCCTACTATATCTAGGATGAGACCGTTTCAGGCAAATGAGCGTGGATGAGTAGTGATGTTGCAACTTTGACTTTTAGGTTGTTCAGTATGTTGGGAGCATAAAGAGCTCCTCAACAGATGGAATAAACTGTGTGTTAAAAATAATCACAGCTTTTTATAGTAATGTGAATACAGTGTGAGCTCCAGAACTGCACTGGTTTCTGCTACAGTTGGATAAAGAACAGGCTGACAGTGCAGTCAGAGCAGAGACTTGATGGCAAGGTTGGCCCATTGGATGCCACATCTTATTTATGGCTGCGCGAAGTGCAGGGTCAGGTCCTTCCGCAGAAAAAAAATGAGCTTCCTCGGGGCTATAAAAAAGTCATGGTGATTGTCCATCCACTTGTGATGACTACAGAAATCAGCCTGCAAACCAGCAGATGAGGCAGGAAGAAGATATAGATGGAGGGTTTTCTTGCAGTTGGATGGTGTTATTGTTGGCAGATAGAATGTTGCTCTGTTGTTTTGTTGTATGAATGATTTTGTGCTGTTTAAATGATCTTTGGGGTGATTTAGCTTCAGAGCAAGCAGAGCATCAGCCCCAGTAACCAAGCAGACCTTTTTTCTATCATTAAGAATGAGAAGGCGTGTGTGTGCATGGCTGTGTGCAGAGTGGTGGCCAGGGGTGGCTTGAGCCCACATTTCCCGTGTCAGAGGGATTAGTTAAAATGAACTATTTGGGCTGTGTCTCAACACGCTGCTGATGAAGTTGTCTTGGTTTTCTTAACAGGAAGGGATATTGTTTGATTTTGAACGGTCTTGTATGAAGTTTAAAAGTCATGAAGGTCACTAAACATTTAACACTTCTCTTTGTTTTTGCAGCAGGAGGTCAGTGAGGTGCCCCTGACGATGCCTTCAGAGGGCTTGACTAACGGCGACCTCGAGGGGGACGAAGCAGCCGAAGCAGATGACCTTGACGGACCCCCGCCTCCGATGATGGTTTCCGCTGTCACCTCTGGTGTCGGTGTTGCCGCGGAGACACAAGAGCCGGAGAAGGACACAGTTGAAGGATGCGCAGCTGCCCTCGTGGCTGCAGCGAGGGCCGTGGTGTCGGAGGACCAGCTGAAGCAGCGATTAACGGCGGGGGGTCACCCGTGTGCCCAGTGCGACCGAGTCTTTATGTCCATGCAGGGACTCAGGTCCCATGAGAGGAGCCACTCAGCCATGGCGATGTTCAGCAGGGAGGACAAATACAGCTGCCAGTTCTGCCAGTTTGTCTCTCCCTTCAGACACAAGTAAGTAAAGAGGAGCAGAGCCTGTGGTTAGAGAGACGTGACAGTGGATAGAGTTGGAAATCGGGGAGATAGAGAGAGTGGGGAATGACATGCGGGAAAGGACCTACAGGTCGGATTCAAACCCGGGACACCCAATTTAAGTACATGGTGTGTGCGAACTAACCACAAGGCCCCTGATGCCCCGGAAAAACATTCATTTAACAGTGTAATTTCTCACCAATGTTAATGTCTCGATCCAATTATTCTCCATCCAAAGACATATATTATATATTATATATTGTATTTGTTGAGTTCCTTTTTTCTGTCGATATATTACCAGTACTGCATTCTGCTACTGGCTCTGTGTCTTTACTTGTGCAGAAATGTTGTCAGAGAAGGAGTGAACATATCTGAGGCAGACTGATTGTGATGTCCTTTTTTCTGTCCTTAAAGGTCAGATCCTGTTTTTGACCCTTTAGATTTCACTTCTAGTTGATTTGTGAGATTTCTAAGGTTCGATCAGGTGAAGACATGTCATATTGTTTAGAAGTGTGACTTGTGCCGGTTAAACACTACAGAAGTATCAGGCTGATTCTGGGCCCTCGTTACTTTCAAAGAAGAAGAAGAAGCAAAGTCCAGATTTATTGACCCTTCTAAAGATTATCTTGTCAGATATATCCCTGTGCTGTGAGCTGTGTTCAGGGTGCTCACTCTGATCTGTGCGAGGGACTCGGGAGAACATTAATGCCACACTGGTTTCCAATCGTAAAATATTAAATATGTTCAATATTCACGATCTGATATCCTGTTGTCATCATCGTCCATCTTTATTTTTATATCACCAACTCATAAAAAATGTTATCTTAAGACACTTCATAAAAGATCAGGTTGAGAAATACAAACACCAATATGAGATGAACATCAATAAGAAATAGAAACAATCAATCAGTCTATCCATTTTTATTTGAAAGGCAACAATTGGGAACAAACATTATCTGAAGATTCTTAAAAAAAACAAACAGGTCTACAACGTGCCCTTTACATTTCCATTAAGTTTCCAAAAGAAACAAAGAACAGTAGCTAATTGAACGTGATCCACGTACAGCCCGTGTTCAAGCCGCCTCAGCGACTTCCTCATGGGAAGTCGCTGAGAAAAAGTTCCTTTTTTCTTCTTGAATTTTCCGTTAAAAGAAGTCCAAAACCTACGATCGCCTGCTCATCGTTCCCGCCACGTTTGTTTAAAGAGAGGTCGCGTTTGACCTTGAGAGATTTTTGTTGTTTGTGAGTGTTGATCTGTTAGTGTGTTAGTGTGTAGTGTGCTGTTTTGACGTTGCTCTCCTCACACTGTAGGAACTAAACTGTTAAATCTATCAGTATTTGTCTTTGTTTCGCCCCATCGAAGAAGTCCCAGGTTCAAACCCCCCGGACGAGGCCTGCATTTGTTACGCCCCACCATAAGGCGGCCCTGTGGGGGGTCTAACAACAAACCCACAATTTGACAATAAAAGACATCATACACCATACCATAGTCAAAAACTAAGGAATCTATTACTGTCACACAGACTAAATAATGAAACAAAGATCAACTGAAAACAAATGTAACTAAACATAAATCCCTGACTGAGAGGAACAGCCGCTCTCCTCCTGAAGCCAGCACCGGGTTTTTAATCTCTGAGGTCAGGTGCTTCCTCGTTGTTCAATCAGTAGCTTCACCTGGGCTGGAGACAACGGAAGGGGAGAAACATACAGCCGTAACAGTCTTCTTGTGTGTGGTCTGTAAATTCATCCTCTGTGAATCATTTCATAATGTGTGTGCCAGGTTTTATTTATTATTAATAATAATAATAATAATAAAGTTTATTTATGTAGCGCTTTTCGCAGACAAAGGTCACAAAGTGCTTTACATCAACACAACAACAACAGCAACAACAGCATACATACAATGAAAGAAGAAAAAAGAAAAAATGAGTACGTCATGGACGACATTATAAAGTCCTGTTATAACCAGGAACAGTAATTGGCACAATAAAACATAGATGAGTAGGTACACTGGGTGGACCTGATAATCCATAGGCCTGTCTAAACATTAACGTTTTTAATTGTTTTTTTTAAAAGACTCAACAGAGTCTGAAAGATATTTGACGTTTCAGCCACTGTAATGGAGCAGCAGCACAATGGCTCAAGTTTTTTTTTGGCTATCTCTGGGAAGTTATGTGTTTTCACTGCCTTACAGTGTGTGCAGTAGCTCTGGAGTATAAAAACCTTCACTGTTATATACAGTACCTTACTAGTCTTGCACCAGCAGGTCTACAAATCAACTGGATGCAAACCCATTTTGCAGAGACCACACTCTCACACCTTTATTCTGTTTACCCTATCACATCCTCCCAAATCTTCAATCTTCTCCCAGATTTACCGCCTCCCCAGGAGAAAGTAAGACAAACATTACAGCGGTGGCTGAGATTTTTTTTGGTGGGATGATTTTTGTTTTATCCATCGCAGAGAGACAGCGAAGCGAGAGTGGGGGGGGAGAAGAGAGAGAGAGAGAGTCCTCGTCTCCTCTGAGCTCCCAGGTGTAATCCCTCTGTACTGTATGTGCCCTGACCCAGAAACAAGCCGCATTCCCGTGCCACCCTAGGAGGCTGGCATTAAAAACACAGCCACCGTCCCCACAGGCACACACACACACGCACTCAGTCCCACCAGGGGGATTGTGGGTAGATGACTTCACCCCACGGCTCCTTGTTCTGTAGTCATTGGAAGTGTGTTGTTGGTGGGGGTAAACAGAACGCAGCGCCTCAGATGCTGCAGGAAAAAAAAAAAAAAAACCCCCGCTGTTCAAATCATCAAAGTGAAAGCTTCTCTTCCTGTGCTCTGTACCTGTCACGTTCTCCCTTTAGCTTCATCCCTTTTCTACTGTCTTCTTATCTAATATCTTGCCTTGCTTTTTCTCTTGCATTTTGTCTCCTCACCAGTCTGGACAGACACGTGCAGTCTCACCACGGGCATCACAAGCCCTTCAAGTGCAAACTGTGCCCCTTTAAATCTGCCTACGTGAGTCGCCTGAAGAGCCACCTGCATAAGGCGCACACAGGTAAAAAAAAGAAAAATACACACTCACACATATACTTTTAATCACATCTAGCAGCTGTATCCATGACTAACAAGGTATTCCCGGATCAGAATAGCAGCCTCCTGTTTTATCTCCTCTTCCATATAAAGATACTCTGCTTGATTTAGCTTATGCAGCAAAAATCCAAGCGGGTGGATTATCTCGTCGGAGCAGCTTCATCTTTTCACTGAGAACATTTGGTATACCTAAAAAAAACATGTTCTTAAGAATCCTATTTGGCTCCAGATTATTAAACAAACAGCTCAAATTGATCTAAGGTTGAGTGTTGTGTTCTAGAAAAGCTAAAGACAACACTTCAATCTCATTTTACTGCTGTTGTGTTTTTTTTTTTCATTATTATTTTAAGAGAGGCAGACAAAAACCCAGACGCAGTCGAGAAAATAAAATAAAAAAAAGCTCCAACTGAGCAATCAATATATGAGCAAAAGAATCTTTTAAGATGGGGGAACTAGACGGGCCAATTTTCAGGAGGCGTTTGAGTGCTCTCGACTGTCTGATGGGAGAGAACGAGAAACGGGAGTTAACAAAAGCTGCGGATAAATGACACAAAACGGTTTTGATCTGCAGAGGTGTTTAAAAAAAAAAAAAAAAAAAAGTATTTGTGCACTTTGTGAAACCGGTCAGTATTAGATTTCAACAATGTGCATCAGGTCTTCACCTCAGTGTCCTTTGCTTTCAGTCCAACAAGCTAAAAAAAGAGCTGTCTGGGTGCAGTTTAGTCCAAACATGCTTTTTTTGCCATGAAGAAGTTTCCTGGAGAGAATTTGTGATGGTCCAAATAGTGACTCAGACTGGCAGGATAGCCGGGCCGATGTGAGGTCCCGACAATCGCAGAGTTGCACCCGACTCAGTGGCTGCTCGGAAAACCGATTATCTGCCCAGATTCTCTTGTAGTGTGAGCGATATAAAGATCCGATCTTTGCATCCCCGATCTGCTCGCCAGTCGTCAGGGGACGTTAAGATTGTTTGATATTTAGAATTTAAATTCTGGATGAAAGGGTCGGGCAGAAGTCGTGTGTTATTACAGTCACCAAGAGAGAGAGACGCATGTTTTGAGATTATGGAGAAGAAGAATATCTGTTAGGATGAGTGTGATGCTACCTGATATCAAAATGGGGAAGGATTTTAAAACTCCTGTCACGCTTAGTCAACATCGTCAAAGTAACTACCTTAAAATCCGATGTAAAGGACGCACTTGTGTTTTTTTTAATAAAATCTCTATGTTAAAGAGTCTGCACATGTATTTCATGTAATGTGGTATTTCATATTGAATAAAGTTCATGTGTAATACTGCGAGACATTCCTGTTAGAATTTTGATGGAACTTTTCAAAACGCTGCAGCTCAACTCTTTTCCTTTCAAAATAAGAGTAATTAGTCTAAGGGGAGAACTAAGTGAGAACATGTTGCCATGTTTGTCAGCTCAGAGGGGAATACACACTGAGTGGTGGAGAGTTTGTTAATTATCACCATGTTTCTTCATGGAAGACCGGTTCATGCTCATTTTTTAGTCCAACACTGCCTCTGCACAGCGCAACTCATGTGTTGGTCAGAATCAGAATCAGAAATACTTTATTAATCCCAGAGGGAAATTCGATTGTTACAGTTGCTCCAAAATATACAACATAGCAGTAGAAATATAGTAATAAAAATATTAATCAAATAGAATAGGAATGTAAGTAAGATATCAATAATAAGAATAAAAAATAAATATTTCCACAAATAAGAGTCAGAATATATACACACATTTTCGAGATTATTGCACTGTTTGTTTCAATATTGCACTTTGTTATCATGGAGATATTATTCATTATTATTATATTGCAGTTTTAATAAATAATGAGTTATGGTGAAGGTTACAGTTTTTCAGTTATTTTTTTAATTTTAATTTTTAATAAAAAAAAAAATTGTTTAAGTTTCATGTCGTTGACTCATAACATGTCTTCATTTCCCAGGTGAGCAGCACACATACAAGTGCTTGTCGTGCCCCTTCTCCTCGATGACCATCAGCCAGCTGAAGGAGCACTCGCTGACCGACCACGGCGAGGCGCTGACCCTCCCCAAACTACGCGCCGCTACCCAGGCTGCTCAGGCCACCGCCAGGCCGTCGCGGCTGCCCGGCAGCACCGAGCAGACTCCGCTGTCCCCGGATGGTAAGAGATCACACCCTTTAAATCATTCTTATCAACAAGGGTTCAAACCAGACATGGAACATAGATGAAAAAACTTTCTAAACTGCTTAAAAAAGTGAACGTTTTTCTCACCAACACTTTGTAAACATGATGTGATTAGATCAAATTTTACTGGGAAATCTGCATCTGTCCCACAAGACACGTCATCAACCGATACTTTAAAGCTTAACCTTCAAAGCTGAAGTGCAAGGTTGTGTTTTTTTTTTTCTGTAAACGTCCTGACACACCAACGAGATGAGCGATCGTCGCCCTATGTTTTTGCGGTGTGTCCAGTTCTGTCGCTACTCGGCCTCTGTTTACCTTTTTTCGGTTAATGTAAGAACATGGTGGTCAAAAGTCCGGGTCACAGTGACCTCAACGCCTTTTTTTTTGGCGGGGGCGGACTTGGGAACTGATTGGCAAACCATAACAACATTTCACACGTCTGATGGGACCTAATGTTTTTTTTTATTATTATTATTATTATTGATTGCCCATATCTACACCTCTCTGTCCATCCTATTCATATGAACACAAAATCTCAGGAAGATTTCTTCAAAATTTGGTTCAACAAGACGCCCTTTTTTTTTTCCATATCTTACGAAATATTCCCAATCAAAGAGACACCATCACTTTCGGTTGGCGAAGCAGCAAACTCCCTGCTGTGATGCCCTGCTGTAGGTGTTCCAGCGTCTGCACAGCCGCCTCTCTAGCTCACAGAACTGTGCGCTGCTGCAGCAGCTGTCACCTTGCTCCTGGAGCTGAGGAATCTCCCCCGGAGCTGAAGCAGGGCAGCATTCCTCAACGCACCAACCACCGTCAGCTGTGCCCCAACCAGGACAAGTGAAGCATTGAGAGAGAGAGAGAGAGCAGAGCTGACATATTGAATGTCTCTGTGCTTTGGCAAACCAGCTACCTTCAGCTGAATGTCCACATTTAAGGTCCACGTTGCAGTGGAAAAGAGTCCGTTTTGAGTTTGTTAGCGTTTGATTGACTCTAATAAGCAATGGTGTTAAAGCTCCTCTGAGCTCCTTTTAGATGGTAATGAAACAGATTGAAATGAATACTGATGCCTCCGACATGACCGACAAAAGAAAACAAGACCATCAGCTACAAGATTGAACATTTCTGTGTCATAATTTGTAATGCCTATTACCACTGTCACAGGGTAGGTGATAAACTGCAAGCTGCAGAAACGGCCTTTGTTGGCGTTTTCCACAGCAAAACTGCAGCGAGTGGAAGGTTTGATATTTTTTTGTTTTTGTTTTTTTGGGCCTTTTGATTTTTAAAGGACAGCACTATTAACAGCTAAGAGAAAAGAAGTACTGCTATGTCCACAGGGGGCGCCAAAATCAACACAGATTCAATAGTCCTCACAGGAGCTTTAACCTGGATTTCCAGTTTTAACAACTGCACTTGCTAAAATCATATTTTTCCTCTGACCACATCCCCCTTGAAATAATCCCCCCTCCGTCTTCTGCTCCTCACAGAATTACTCCATCTTTCATTTATGAAGTGTTATAGACAGCTGAGGCCGTTAATCCCTTCAAGAAAACACATCCCCGCCTCATGACAGGATTTGCTATCTCATCTCTGTAACATCTACAACAATGCAGGGGAGATATTAAAAAGCATGAATCAACTGCGGCATTGTTTGATTTGTATGAATTCCTCTGCCTCCTCTGAAAAAAAAAGTGAGAAACTGAATCTAAAGCATTTTTTTTTTTTTTTTTTTTAAAGTCAAAGTTTTAAAAGAAAAAGTTTCTCTTTCTTCAAATGCCTCCTCGTAGCTGTGTGCGAGTTGCTGAACGAGGCATTTTTCACATGGATAGATATTCTATTAGTGTCACTGTGGTTTATTTATTGATGTGTCGGGGGCTCAAAGTAGGACGAGAAGATGAGCTTGCTCGCTGATATTATAGACTCTGAAGAAAGGGAGTGAGAAGGGAGAGACGTAGGGGGACAAATTGATGACTGTCTCAGTTATACGTCTGTGTCTGTACGGTGGGTTGGGGGGGCGCATGGGGGGGCGGCTGTGACTCAGTGGTAGAGTCGGTCGTCTCTCAACTGGAAGGTCGTCCGATGTCTCCTCTGGCAGGACACTTAACTCCAAGCTGCTCCCGCTGCTTTGTCAGCAACATGTTAAAGTGTATGAATGGATTAGTTAAGAAAGTGAAAATGAATCAACTGGATTTTGGTTGTTAGTTGTCAAGGTCACTGTGATTTCAAATACATCTTATTTTCATTAAAGGCGTTATATGCGATTTTTCACACTTAAATTTAATAGAAATCAAGTATATCCTCTATAGTCCTATCTTCACTTTGTTTACATCGCCCGGACGGCCGGCTGACTCCTCCCCTCGTGTATAAAAGTTGTGTAATTGAGGGACTAGAGAAAAGAAGAATAACATACTGTACTCACTGCTTAACTGCGTTTCTAGATCACGCTCATTTCAGGTAAATTTACATGCAGTGTGAAGATACGCGCATAATAAAGATTGTTAGCATTAGCATGCTAACACAACAATGCACCGCGAGTTGTTTGGTTTCATGCTGGTGCTCAAGGGTGACATCTGCTGGATCAAAAAATTGCATATAAAGCCTTAAAACACTAATCCTAATGGAAACATTAGATTTTCTTCAGCATGCTTGTTTGATTCTTCTCTGTTCTAGCGTTTTACAAGCATTCAGAATAACTGTTTGGGGCCTGGTGGCGCAGTGGTTACTGTGCACACCCCATGTATGTAGGCTGTAGTCCTCCAAGCAAGCGGTCCAGGTTCAAATCCAACCTGTGACTCCTTTCCCGCATGTCATTTCACACTCTCTCTCTCTCCCTAATTTCCGTCTCTATCCACTGTCCTATCTCTCCAATAAAGTCACAAAAGCCCCAAAAAAAAAAAACTGTTTGGAAAATCATTAATCTTTATACTGATGGTCTAGTTTGTTTTTGTAGGTCGTAAAGATGCAGCAGTATTAACTTCAGTCATGTTCATAACCTGATAAGAACTCCTCAAAGGGGCTTAAATAACTCTCCTCTGTTCATTTAGACCCTAAGGGATAAGAGCATGTTTCCACATGTTTACTGGAATCATTGATATATTGATAGATTTTGTTGAAATGTCAACGATCTAGATAAAGGTTGATGATGAAAACATGGAAAACATGAGAAGCAAACGGGACACTCTCTCTTAGAAAGAGCTCTCAGTCCTCTTCACATATCGCTGCATTTTTAAAGAGCGTGACCCGGCATCATCACGTCCCCCAAAATGATGAACACTTCCTCTCTTTTTCGTCTCTCCTTCTCTTAAGACCCATCGTATCTGGAGCCGGCGGATGTTCGTCAGCAGCTTAGTCATTACCAGCTGGCCTCCCGCAGTCAAATGTCTTCCGGCTCAACACCTGGTGGCTCGACGGTGGCTGACAATCGACCAGACGGCGTCCTCACTTGCGAGTTCTGCGAGTTCAGCTCCGGCTACATGCAGAGTCTGCGCCGGCACTACAGGGACCGCCATGGTGGCAAGAAGCTCTTCAAGTGCAAAGACTGTTCCTTTTTCACCTGCTACAAGTAAGAAAAGAATAGTGACACAGTATATCATCGGAGAGTTCCCCTCAGGATGTTTTTACATCATCTTTCTGCATGTGTCTCTGAATCTGTCTCAGGAATACCTTCACCATGCACGTAGAGGCCGGTCACAACAGCAATGCACCTGAAGACCTCCCCAAAGACCTGCGCTGCCCTCTCTGCCTCTACCACACCAAACACAAGAGCAATATGATCGACCACATCGTCCTGCACAGAGGTACACATTAACACCAATTGTTTTATTTTTTTATTTTTTTATTTAGAATCACACATTCACAGACATTTGTACGTATTGTTAATTTGTGGTTAGACAATAGAGTGATTCCTCTTTTCACATTTTTCTAAATTTATAGAGAACAAAATAAATCAAATAGAAATAGAACCGAACAAATCAAATAAAAAGACAAATTGTAAGACATGGGGTGATTTTCCAAAGCTTCTTGTCTTATTTCTTATTTCTTCTTCTTTGGGGAATGTTTGAAACTTCTCTCTTTACACAAAAACTCTAAACTCCTCTTTTCATATCACAAGCCAGTATAGGGCAGTAACCGCAATTTTTTTTTAATGAAGAATCAAATGGTTTGAAATTTCAATGCAAAGTGTGTATTTCACCAAATGCTGCAAAAATGATTTTGGAAAAAAAACACGTGCTACTCATTTTTTTTACCATCCTTGTAACCCTACATTAATTTGTCATCATGAATGCAAAAACAAAATGTGTTTCATTTCAAAATGTGTTTCATGGCATGTCGATGTTGTACCCAGAATTTTAAGACAGTTGAAAAACAGTTGGGTCTCAGACAGAGCGACACTAATTTCACCCCGTTTTGCTTTAAATGATCACATTCAAATGAAAACCTCACATCCTCGTGTGGTGTGACTTGTTTAAAAGAAAGTGACACATATGTTAGGCTGGGAGTTTGTTCTTGTTTGTATGTAAAAACAAATGTCTTGTGATATCTCTCCTGCATCTCCTTCGCTCTCCTTCTTATGATCCCCTTCTCTCTCTCTCTCCTCGTCTCCCACCAGAGGAGCGTGTGGGTCCGCTGGAGGTCAGCCGATCCAAGCTGTCGCGTCACCTTCAGGGCCTGGTGTTCCGCTGCCACAAATGCACCTTCACATGCTCCAGCGACCAGGCTCTGCAGCTGCACCTGCAGAAGCACGCTGAGATCAAGCCCTACCATGCCAGCTCTGTTACTATGACAGCAGTCGACGGAGCCAGCTAGAGGAGCATCTACGCCTCGAGCACAAGGTCAGAAGGAGTCGATGATTTACCTGAAGTTTGGTGTAACTAAACCTAGATGTAAGCTTATGAAATTGGTTTCTGCAGGCAGCTTTAGTCTGGTATAGTGTTTTAACTCAACAGGAAGGTTTGATAATAAGGCTGCAACATGACATTTTGCATTCAATTCTTTATATAAAGCCAATACTTTTTTTTATGTGAGGTAATAATGAAGCCTGTGTCAATCAACTGTCTTTATTAAATTAACTCCAAAATCAAAGTTATCTGCAGAAATCAACTGCTGAACTTAAAAAAAACCCTCCATCAAAGCATCTAAATCCCAGATATCCAGATGTTTTTTTACAGAAGAACATGCAGACTAGTTTCGACCACTGACTCACAATTTATACATTCTGTGGCCTCAGTTGGTAGAGTTGGTCGTCTCTTAAAGGCTTTATATGCGATTTTTTTTTTTGATCCAGCATGAAACCAAAACAACTTGCGCTGCATTGTTGTGTCTTTATTATGCTGGTATCTTCACACTGCATGTAAATTTACCTGAAATGAGCGTGATCTAGAAACACAGTTAAGCAGTGAGTACAGTATGTTATTCTTCTTTTCTCTCGTCCCTCAATTAAACAACTTTTATACACGAGGGGAGGAGTCAGCCGGCCGTCCTGGCGATGTAAACAAACTGAAGATAGGACTCTGAAAACATCACAGACAGTGGGACTCGGGTGTTACACCCATTGTAGACAGTCATGACTCACAGAGTTATTTTCAGAGGATATACTTGATTTCTGTTATATTTAAGTGTGAAAAATCACATATAAAGCCTTTAACCAGAAGGTCGGGGGTTCGATCCCCAGCTCCTGCAGCCACATGTCCGATGTGTCCTTTGGGCGAAACACTTCACCTCAGGTTGCTCCCTGTGAATGGGAGTAGTTACTTCTGATGGTCACTTTACATAGCAGCCTCTGCCTTCAGTATGTAAATGTGAAGGTGTGGTCTGCGGTGTAAACGCGCCGTGCACTCCCACACCATTCGCTCCAACTATAGACAATGATTATGTTTCCACTGCATGCGCGCGCTCTCCGTCTCTGGAGCGTGCCATCAGCGCCCCTCCATTCCAAATACGCACAAAGACAATTTTTTTGACGCAGTCTGCTGCAAGCACACTGTGGAGATTGCGGGTCAGGGTCTTCTTCAGGAAGTGGGAAATAAAAAAAAAACATGTAAAAAGATTAGAACCAAAACAGGATGTAAAATCTGTAACTGCTGCCTGATTTTACGGGCTTGGAAAAAACTTTTTCAGTGATTCCCTCGAGGCTTCCAAACATTGTTTGTGGTTAAAAGTTTTTTATTTTGTATAATTAAACTTAATTAGATGGAAAACTATCGGTCGATTCCCATTACAGTGGCCCGTAAAGTCAGTCAGGTTTGTTAAAGTATGTAAATAATCTAAATTGCAGATCCGTTTTTTTTTTTTTTTGTGTCCCTCCATTTTGGACTTCTTCTTTCGGTGTCTTTAAAGGTGACCGCATGGAGAGGATTTATCAAAACAACTCAGAAAAGTCTCAAAAGAAACTCAATGCAACACCCTGACAGATAAGGAGATACAAATATCTGATACATATTTCTAGTGAAGGATGCGGAGGAATAAGACGACTATGTGCACACACAGCTTCAGTGTCTGTTCTCATCACATCAGTAAAGAAAACACTTCATCTCTGAGGCTCCACAAATCAGAATCATTCATGAGATGATGTGACAAAACAAAAAGTGTATTTTAGAAGTTCAAAGCACACAGTTATCATTTCTAACTCTTCACCAGATTTCAGATTATTTCAATCTGGCACTCAGTCGTAGAAAATCTTTATTGTAAATTGTGAAGGGTTAAGGTGCATGACCATGTAGTGGTAGGAGCTCACATCGTCAGGCTGATTAACACCTCGTGTTTTCCGATCAGGTCATCCGAAACTTCGAGCTGATGGGCCGCGTCAACCTGGACCAGCTGGAAATGATCAAGGAATACGGGAGCAGCGTCGAGGACGAGGAGGAAGAGATGATGGAGATGGTCGTCGACGGGAAATCAGCTGCCGCCGAGGAGGAGGACCGCGACGAAGAAATGGAAATGATGGAGAATCTGGCGCAGGAACAGAGAGAGATGGATATCGAAGGGATAGAGGACAACATCAAGGAGGAGGAAGAGGACGAGGAGGAAGGAGAGGAAGAGGAAGTCAAGGAGGTGGAGGAAGACGGAACAACACAGCAAGGTAAAGAAACAGATGAAGTAGTTCTGTGTGCTATGAACTTTCTTCTGTCATAAACCACCGCTGAAGTTTAATAAAAGAGTAAATATGGACTTCACATCTAGACAGACGACATCAGAACACTACAGTCAACTATTTAATTAATGTATGAGTCTTTAACAAACAGATTCATTTACAAAAAACTGCAAGTCTGGGATTACACTTTAGAGGGGATGTGTCCACTATCAGTGTTTGTGTGCAGGCAGCATCCAGGACCTCAGAGCGCTTCAAAGCGTTGCTTAATGTTGCTATGTTAGACCCATGACATGACCCATGACGAGCTCATGGTCGTTAATGGAGGCTGCTATTTCCCTGTGTTTTGTTGTTCTCAGTTATATAATATGAGATTGTTTACTGTCTCCCCTCTTCTCTTATTGTGTTTTTTTGTTTGTTTGGCTTAAATGTGGTTGAATCCCAACACTTACTTGAGTTTTAGCTCCGCTTCATGAGGATAGTTTCACTTAAAAAAAGCCAAACACTAAATGTAATCTGAGTTGATTTTGTCCTAGATTATAATCACTGAGTGTACTTGTCTGCTCACTGAAGGCAGATGTAGATTTCATACCAGAATGTAACTGGTTATTCCGGCTCCACATGAAGCAAACGTTCATTTAAAACGATCAATTTTGAATACTTTTACGATCAGGAAAAAAAAAAAAAAAAATTCAGAGACTGACCAATCGTGTGGACTCTCTTTCCCAGAGGTCTTTGCATCCCCTACCAGCAGCACCAGCAGCAGCTCTCAGCTGAGCGGTGCAGAGAAGCGTCTCCCCTGCGAGTTCTGTGGCCGCTGCTTCACCAACAATCTGGAGTGGGAACGACACGTCCTTCGACACGGCATGTTAGTACTTCTCCTTTCTCTTCAACTCCCCTCTCTCTCTCTCTCTCTCTCTCTCTCTCTCTCTCTCTCTCTCTCTCTTTGTGTGAGAGCTTGTGTACTCTCCTTCCACCACACAGGAAGCGCCCATGGTCCTGTCTACCTTTTCTTTCTGGTCCTTGTGTAAACAACATGCTGCTTTAAAGTAGGTTTTATATGGTGAATGCAGATGTTTGTACAGTCTGATGTTAGAGTTAGCATGGTGTGCTAACTGTCACTCTTAACTAAATCACTACTACTGAACCGTTTTCTGCCATGCTATCAAAGAGTCTCTGTGGATAATATTGGTTAGCGTGCGGCGGCGTCAGTTAAAAACATGGAATTAGTCTCAGTGACATCACCTCTTGATATCTGAAGAGGCGTTTTGAAACTCAACAATGGAGGCCGCTATCTTGGAAATGCTATTTCCACCGACCTTTCCATCCATCTAGAAAAAGACATAGAGGTGGAGCTGAGGCGGGTCTTTGGCCTCCATGCAAAAATGATATGATGAATGATACACACACCTGTCAGTCAATGAGTCACACACCTTATCATGCAAATTCATGCAAACGTTTAACCTCAATATAATCTGAAATTTAGAAAAAATGTCAACTTGGCCTTTTCTTTGGTTTTTGCCCAAATACCTGAAAACGAATGCAATTCCACTGCTGTGAATTTTACAATTTAGACATTAACCGATTGATAAACAAAACGAAGATGGTGTGTGTTAAGCGTTCCAGTTTAGCAGAATATTCACTGTTATCATGTTAGCATTTAACAGCTGTGTCTTAGCACAGCTTTATCATTCCTTAAGTGTCGCTGTGGATTTAAAAATCCTGTTTTATTGCGCTACATCTCTAAAGCTGTGCTCCTTCTGTCACTGGTCTTATGTTCCTCCATTTCTTTCCACTCCTCCGTCTCACTCCTGTGAGGACGTTTTAGCTGCTTGTGAAACAGACTGAAATGTCTGTTGATGTCTTTAAATGACCGACCAAGAACAACATAGTCAGAGGCGCTGCTTGTCAACAGGTAAGGCAGGCAGCTGCTTGGTGCCCCGGATCAGTAGGGGGCCCTAAAGGCTGACAAACTTGCAGTGGCCCAAGATGTGCAAATTTTGCAATGACAGTAGGATAACCACCTAGGGGGGGCCCCATCTGACACACACACACTCTGGTTGCCCTGCTAAGCATTGTATGCATTATTGCTGTGAAAAGCAAAGTGTGTCAGTGAAGGTCAACGAAGGAAAATGAAGAGGGAATTATCTGTCTATCGGAGAAAAAAAGGAAGAGGATAAGCATCGGGTCACTGGCGGACATGATGGTGAGGAACGCCGGTTGGAGGACCCCAAATAAAAAAAATTGCCTAGGGCCCCAACAGACTCGAGAAAGTGTGATAGGACTGACTAAAGCAGGGTGGCATTTTTCATTAGAAAACACTACTTAGGCATGAACAGGACAACATCAGCAAAGAGATGAGAGGTTCTGCTTTGCCCACACGGGGGCGCCAAAGCCAACATTAACCTTAAGCTCTTCACAGGAGCTTTAAAACACCTTTCTCTCTCTCTCTCTCTCTTTTAGGATGATTAACAGCAGCCGCTTGGACACCAGCACCACCTCCGCATTAGAGACCACGGCGTCATCTTCCACCAGCTCCTCAGTCCTGATGGACTCCGAATTGGACCTGTCCAGCAACAAGCCTGAGGAAGGGAACCCTGCTGATGTGTCGCTGAGCAGTCAAAGCCAGTACATGGAAAACAAAGAAATGCTCAACACCAAAAAGGATCCACTGTTGGGTTGAACTTGTCGTGACCTCTTAGGGTTATTGTGCTTGAAACGGATAACCTGGGGGTAGAATCAGCGCCGAGTCGGATATGAAAAAATAGGACGGAGAGAAAAAGATTGAAAACTGAAAAAAGTGACTTCTTCTGAGTTGGCTCATTTCTAGATTTTTAGGTGTTACATATTTAAGTATTAGGTTGTGCTGCATAAAACGGCTGAGCTCTTTAAACGGGCAGTCCCCTAGGACAGATTTTTAATATATTGGTAACCAATAGTGAACAGAACTCTTTATTGCTGACATTCTGGTCAAATCTACAGTGAAAGACCCCACCTAGATACAACGAAGCGAAAGCTCAAAAAGAATGTTGTCACAAGATGATTAAGTAAGTTTAGCATTATTTTGTTTTAAAGCACCTTTTACTGCTCACTCCCCCCGACTCATAGAAATCAGGGTTACTGTAAAATTGACAGAAAAGGAACAAACAAGAGATGAAAGCATTTACGACCACGGCCCGCTGTAGAGCTACTTTTTTTCTTTTCTTTATTTTTCTTGTTTGAATCTGAGACTTTTCTCATCTTAGCTCTGTGTTAAATGTGTAGAAGTATTCCTGAGGAAGAGTTGCACCTTAACTATTTTAGTAAATAAATTCAGAAATTGTGTTTTGGTCATTGTAGTGATACGGAATTTCCCCCTAATGTTTGTAGCAAATTGCTACATTTAGAAACCCATATTATTATACTACGTATAAGCCTTCACCCTGTGGCACCCTTTGCCTTTTTTCGACTGTGCTATTTTACTGTCCTGTTATTTCACTGATGAGATAACAAAGAGAACGAGATACGTTTTCATGTGAGACATCCTGTTGTTTGTTGTACATGTTGAGAAATGTCACCTGGAACTCGACTGGTTTTAAGAACAGTGGCTTAATGGTTGTCCTCCTAATCAATAGACAGAGATTACACTTGTCTTCTCAGTGCCAGATGTGTGATTGGATGTGCAAGAATACAGCACCGTCAACATACTGTCCCTGCATCCATCAATAAGATCAAAAGGCGTGTTTCCACCGCATGAATTCTCCCCAAGAAGCAGGAACCTTTAGAGAAACTCATACTCTGTTGCACCAGCTGTGCTTAAGTTCTGTCTCATGTTTGAAAGGTGAAAGGTCAACCTTAAATCTTACATTGAAACTAGTTTGTTTGTTACGTAAGTTGCGTCTCTGTTACTCACAGCGTTTTATTTAAGTAACTCTTTTAAACGATCTAAAGAAGAAAACTAAAGTTAAACGCAGCACATTCAATTCTCCTCCAGGGTGACTGTTGAAGAACTGTTGCTCAGAAAATTATACCTTTCAGTCACTTAATCAGGCGTCGAGGTTATTCAATAGTCCTGCAATAGTCAAATTTCATCGTTACTGGACTAAATTCTTGAATGTTCGCTGTTGTGGAAATGTAAACAGCGAGCTTAAGGAACCTAGATTTTTAAAAATGAGTTCCTGTGACCAAAAAAATTAATGTAGTGTCCATGCAAAGTACTGAGAGTTGTCCACAGTGCTGAAGTGCCTTAGAATACAGATCCTTTTAATGGACAGGAAATGGCTTTAATGACCTTTTTAAAAAAAATCCAATTGGTTTTAAAGTAAATGGAAACATGTATCTGTTTGTTTCTTTAATTAAACTAAAACTAGATGAGATTAAAAAAGACCGGACTTGGTGCTGTTGCCGAGGTGTTGAGGTTCCTGCCGATCCAATCGAAGCTAATTACATTAAATTTGTTGTACTCACAGTATTGAAAAAAAAAATGAGTTGTTTTTTTTTCCTCAGAACCTTTACAAATAAATAGTCCCAATGAAAACGATTGCACTTATAACTGGAGTGAAAGATTGTTCTGAGAAAAGAAATGCTGCTAGCAGGGTTGTCAACATTATCCATACTTTGGTACTTTTTGATACCACATGTTTTAAAAACGATATATCGCCTTTGTCTAAATTATTTAGAGTATCAAAAAGTACTGAAGCTTTTAAAAAAATGTTAAATATTCACTCATCTTTTTAACCAAAAACTTGCCCGAACAAAAGAGAGAGGGCCGTCTTAATTGCACTAATTTGTTGGCAACATTTCGGTGTGTGCACGAGTATGCCTGCTTTTTTAAACCAAAAATTACCCAAGATTGGGTGCCTATGATTTATGTATTTGTTGCCATGGTAACGAACAAGGAAGGTATCAAATAATTAGATTTTTACTAGAAAAAACATGTTATGGAGACAACCCGAGCTGCTGGTACTTTTTTTAAATAATGTGAGCACTACTAGTAAAAAATGCATTAAAAACTGACAAAATGCAATTATTTTATTCTTGATCGAAAGGTGTTTGTCTTTTAGCCCTCGTGATAACCTCAACTCTATCTAGTTCCCTAAAATTGCCCAAATTAGTTTTTTTCCGCTAAAAATGGCTGACAGGATGGCATTAAGAATTCAAAATCTACGCTTTTACTTGTCTCTTCACGAGCTTGTTGTCAATGCAATCCTTCAGTCGGTGGTCCAATTTTGACACGACTGCAGACACTGAAAAGACAAGTGTAACCAGGTAAAAAAACATTTTTGCCACTGGGACTTTAGTGTATGACTCCTCAAGGGTTTCATATCCCCCAACTTTGAACCCCTTTAAATTCTCTTCCTGTACTGACACTGTTGTCTTCGCCTGCATTTTATTCTTTTCTTCTTTTTTTTGTTGCTACCTTTTTAGGAAGTTGTGACGTTGTTGTGGATACTGACAAAAGGCAGGGAATGCATTTGTTGGAAGTTGCTGCTTTGATCGCCTTAAAGCCTTATAAGATAAAAAAAAAAATAGCAAATAAGTCAAAATGTATGTCCAATCCCAATCAGACCAATAAGCAACAGTCTCAAATTTAAACAGCTGAAATTGATGAGAGGAGCACAAATTGTACATTTGTGTTCTGGGAAACCAAAACATTGGCCAGGCCTGCTGTGTTTGCTGCTGTGATTGTATTTCATGAGCGTTAAACCATTGGTGGAGACGGAGAATCGGGGTTTGAACCATTGAATTTTTTGGAGTTCCACGTGTGTTACCCAGTTGAACATATTTGCAGCCATGTATAGAAAACAGAACTACTTGTTAAGTGTTTGAACTGTGATGTTTCAGAAAGGATTCTTTAAACTTTTTTTTTCCCCCTTTAGGTGTTCTCATTTTAAAAGACGACTTAAAAAAAGTAAAAGCTAAAGATGACCTCTGACCCTGTAAGGGTTGTTTTTTTGAGACCCCAGTCCAACATTATTACTCCGTTGTATAATGTCTGATTAAAAATGAAAAATATCTCCTTTTTTGTACTGTAATGGGAATGGGCAGAAAGGAAGAGCCCGGTGGTTGTACAATATTTAAACACTGGATGAAAAACGATTTTCAACTTTCTTATCGCCAGACGCTTTTATGAAGAAGAACTCGGCGAATAAAAAGACGAGAAAAAAAAAAAAAAACTGGTCCTTTGGCGGTATTTACTTCAAAATGCTTCCTGTGGATTGGCAATCCATAGATCCGTTAAGAGATCTGGCTCTTCATGTCCGATCCAACATGTGACTCTCCAGTATCTTCTATCCACGACCAGTAAGGGCAGGGACTCCCAGTAGGCCTGCTCGTAGTCTACCCAGTCAACAGTAGGTGGGAATGTAGCAGCCCCACTTTGCTCCTCAGTCCGTGTAACACCTGAGAAATCCGTTTCAATTGGTGCTGTATCTCTAAGCCCTTTTTTTTTTGTTGTTTGTTTTTCAGGACCAGCTTGTAGCTCTTTCAAAAGTTAAACTGTTGTTGTAGAAAATGTTGCTTTGTTACGGCAGCTCGTTGCCACGTTTAACAGACCAGTGCTAACCACACGATGCTCTGGGTAACCCAAGCTGTTCACCCCCGAACTGTTTGTCGTTTTGTGATCATTTGACTAGAAGATGACTATGAATCCCTCACTGTGTGCAGTCTCCGGACTCTTTGATCCCCAATGTTTACCCAAAGTTACGCCCCTGCTGACAACACACTGGATACTTGTATATATGTTTGGTTTGTTTTTCTCCGATGCATTTCTCTTTTCAGACTGTTGTCTCCATAGTTGGACACTAGAAATCTCTCCTTTATGCCTTTCTTCCCATATAAATCTGATTACCTGATGGTGGGTTGTGATGTTGCCTAGAATGATTGTTTACAACTTTATTCCATTTATCTCTGGATATTCTGTAAATATTGTAATTCATTGTCTTTTTTTAACTTGATAATAAAGTTATCAGATAACGGTTCATTGTGTTTATATTCTCGTTCGTCAAAATCAGTCAGGGCTCTAAAATGTGACTGTTCGTCTCTCGGCTTTGGTCAGCGTCCAGACAGAAATATGTGATAGAATATTTTTTAATATATATATATATAATGCAGGAGTTTGCTAACCTTATTTTTTATTTTTGGGATTTGTGTGCCTTTTAATGGAGAGATAGGACAGTGGATAGAGTCGGAAATCAAGGAGAGAGAGAGAGGGGAATGACATGCGGGAAAGAAGCCACATGTGGGATTCGAACCCGGGCCACCATACATGGGGCGTGCGAACTAACCACTGTGCCACCAGTGACCCAGTTTGCTACACTTCTACATTGTCCAAAAAAAAATATATATATGTATTTATTGCAACTTGTTTCACTTGATGGCACATCAACTCGTCACGTTAATAATAAAAGGTCACATAATATGCAAAATACACTTCACTAATATGTGTCCCTAGTCTGTCTTCAAACCCTGCAATTATGAGAAAAGTCCATCCTATCTCTAGGGTTGACTGCAAATCACAATATTTGCATCAATATTGAGCGTTAGTGTGTCGTACCAGGCCTTGAATTGATGAAAATACAAAGTTGGACTGATGTTACACTGAATTCATGAAGACACAATTAAAGGCACGGTTGGTTATTTTCTCCAGATTCACTTTTTAAATTTTGGTTGAAATTGTCTTTAGTTCCTGACAGGAATTTATAACTCAGGTGTTCTGAAAAAGGAACAAAGAAAATCCACCATCTGTAGCAGTTGTAATGATGTAAAAACTTCCACTAATGTTGCCACGAGGTACCAATCTGATGAACCAATCACACGCCTCCCTGTTCCCTGTGAGCCCACGCCCAAAGCATGAGCTGAGGTCCACTTCTGGACCAACAGCGCTTGTGCATGTAAGTGAGGGGGCGTGGCTTTTGAGGGAGCACAGAGGGGAGGGGGTGGGTGCAGACGGAGCACTGAGGGAATGCTACTTTCAAAATCATTCTAGTTTTTTGAAAATTACCAACCGTGCCTTTAATTCACCTGAAAGGCAGACATTGGATTAACATGAAAATCTGAAGGTGTGTTGTCGTAGAACCGGTTGATGGGTTGATAAACATCCCATTGGTTGGACGGTTCTTGAGAAATCGGGGCGTTAGTGTTATTCTGCATGACCATTTCCTCTATGTTGTCATGTGACAGCTCCCACCACACAGGAGGAAGGTGGGATTGTTGGTGGGAGTTTTTGGAGGAGGATCTGAAACAAGAGGTGAGGGAAGCACTGCAAAACAAAAACAGGACATTCATAATAATGCAGAAGTAAAGGAACACGTGATCTTAGACGCAGGACTGGACATCACAACGGCAGCTTTAATTAACTGTGTACAAGAGTGACTGAGAAACAGTCTGATGTAAACAGGATTCTGTGGACGTGCGAGCGCTCCTGAGCTGGTTGGGGGGGGGGGTCCAGTGCCTTACTCAAGGGCACCTCGGCAGTGCTCAGGAAGTGAACTGGCGCCTCTCCAAACTACCAGAACCAATTCCAGAATTTGTCCACGCCGGGACTTGGACTTCCTACAGATTGAGCTACATGGCTTTTGTTCAACATGTTTTCCTAAGTCAGTGATGGACTGTTTAGGATTTCCTTTTGTAACGTCTCCACTGAGTCCTAAGAACAACCAGTAAACATCCCGGCTCGTCCACAGGAAATAGCTTTGCGCTGAGAAGGCATCTCGGTGGCCTTGACTTTGTGTTACACCCTTCTCTTTCTCTCTTTCTCTCTTCTCTCCGTCTACTCCACACCCTGCAAGAGTCGACACTGACCAAAACCACTAACACTGTGAGTGGGTGTGTGTGTTGTGTACGACTTTGTGCTATGTACAGGCTTGCTGCAGCATGAATACCACAAGTAACTCAAGAGCAGCAGTGTGAACAGCTATGTTTGTACTTTTTCCCTTCATCACAAAAAAAAAACAGAACTGAAGGTGACGTCTTTATCAATTCTCTTTTGATCCTAAGGAGCAATTTGGCACATGCCCTCCTCGTTTCCTCTCCTCTAATTAAGAAAGGGGGTCCAGTCTTTATTTCACATGTCTAACATCATCTCTTAAAAATATCCCAGGGTCACTAGGGATCAGATCGTAATCTCTGTGGCTCAGCACATCAGAAGGGGGGGGGGGGGGGATGGCAGACTGACAACCCCTGGAGACAAGAGGAAGAGGCACAGCCACAAAGAGGAGAGGGGAGAAGAGGACACACCAGTGCTGCTGCTGCTGCTGCTGCTGCTGCTGAGTGGAGCATCACAGGGAATGCCTGATGAGCGCGGGGCTCAGGCCAGACGAGGGCTCTCCTCCTGTCGTTAAAAAAACTGGAGAAAAGAAAGAGAGAGGATGGGAGAAGACTGAGTGGAGAGATGGATGAACGAGTGATAGTGACAGGAGGACTAAGAGAGAGAGAGAGCGAGGGGAAGATAACGGTAGACAGACCCATACAAACCGTCACAGAAAGTGAGTAAGAGTGATGTGAGAATAAGGGCAAAGCAGAGTGCAGAAGAGACACTGTCACACAGCAGCATATTATCTAACGCTCTTAAAGAGTTCTCTCAAAGTCAGAGCCGGGGCCGCATGGCAGACTGTAGACACAAGTCAATAAAGCCTTTGAATACTGAGTGCTGGATATAGAAATTCCTTCATGCTTGAAGGATCTGAATTTTGTTTCAACCCTGTGATAACAGCGTTGAAAGTTATCTCAGGGCCAGCGAGTGCAGCATTTGTATTCCACCAATGTCAGACTTTTGATAAAGAAGCAACAAAAACATTCAATTTTTTTGCAGAATGTGATGGTTTTTATTGGAGGAACAGTATTTATCTGACGTCGACTTAAAGTTGAAGTGAAATGGTAGGTCCATAAGTGAATGCTTTTCTTTCTTCTTCTGTGTGTTAAAAGAGAGAGAGAGTGGATTCTTACATTACTTAGACATTTTGAAGATAATATTTTAGGTTTCTTGCATTTAAACCAAAGATGCACCGATTGAGAAATCAGGGTTGATGCTGATACTGATGTTTGGAATAGCAATTTTGCAGGTTTTTTTTTTTTTTTTCAATATAGGCTACTTTATTAATCCCCTGAGGAAAATTCTAGTTTTACACTCTGTTATTGAGAGACATGCTTCTCACACACATAGGCCCAAAATCACACACTTGCACAAACCGGATCTGTGGAGAGATGTCAGAGTGGCTGCTTCACAGGGAGCTATCCAGAGCATTCAGGGATTTTGGTGCCTTGCTCAAGGGCACGTTGGCAGTACTCCAGAAGTGCCCTGACACCTCTCCATCTACCAGACCACCTTCCATATTATGGATTTGAACCGACGACCCTCCAGTTCCCAACCGAAGTCAGGTGGAGCTACTGCTGATTCTGTTACCAATTTTATTTTCACGACTTCTTTTGGTGTAAGACTCCCATAATGCCACATTTTCCTCTCATGTTTGACAATGAAAACAAGTCAGCGTTTGTTCAACAGGTGACTTCATCTGCCCTATAAAAACCTCTTCTCTGAATCAGTAGTTAGGTCTACTAGATGTTAGCATTAAATTGATTCGGCACAACAAATAAACATCAACTACTGACATCGGTTCATGTCACATTATTTCCCAAAGTGCTGATGTCTGTCATCAAGGGCCAAAATCAGCTAATACCGATGATGAATCAAGGCATTGGTGCATCCCTCATTCTAACTCTGAATCAATGAGAATACATGCTGCAGACAATTAGCTTAATATTGGTATTTCTATCAGACTTCACAATTCACTTTTAATGTTCTATTCTGTGACAGCATTCACTTTACAGATGTTGTTGAAATCACTCATGTCTCTGCCGTGATCCCCCTGAGCTCATGGAGGAGGAACATGCACACCTGTGCAGGCTGCCGTAATCAGCCACAGGTGAATCCACTCTCACCTCAATCAAGACTCTTATAAACAGGACGAGCGCCCACTGCTCAGTTTGCTCTTCCACCAACGAGACCGGTGTTCACCTTTCTCTGCAGAGTGCGTCAAAAGTGAGTTATTGTTTAAGCTTCATTTGTTCGGCGATGCAGTTTTATTGGTCTCATGCAGACTTGATGCATTATCCTGCTTTTAAATATAACAGTTGATTAAGATAATTCAGCTTATTAGTTGAGCAAAATTTAGCATATTTAGCAATTCTGTCCTTTATGAAATAATTTCACCAGAACCAAAAATTCACAAGTTGATTGGACTGCCTCGCAGATCTGAAAGTGTTCCCTGCTTCATTTTGGAGTTGTTTATTCTTCTTTAGAGCAACTATCTCTAAACCATTTAAAAAAAAAAAAAAAAAAACTGAATGGCTGAAGTAGCACATTTAGTATTCTTTCTTACCACAAGATGGAGCCAAATCATCATTCTGGAGATGAGTTGCAGGTATGAGCTCTCCAGTTTCAGTGCTACAGTGTGGGGTTGTTAATAAGGAATGGAACCGAAGGTGTGTTTTAATCTAATGTGAGTGTTCAACGCATGTTTCAGTGTCGAGTTTGAGCTCCTAACCTAAAAACCTTGAGTGAAAGACAATACAGTTTCTCAATCTGTCATTTTTTAAATAAAACTATCCAAGGAGTAAGAGGTCAGAAAGCGACTATTTCCTATTTTCGTTTTGTTGCTAAAACATTTTCTATCTAGCCTCAAACACAACCCTAGTTGTCTGAAAGGAGACGCAAGTAGCGTCTGTTTCTTTGTTTATGCTCACAAATCTGAATCTGAGGTAACTTCAGCTTTCAAATAAACTAAGAGAAAGGATGCAACATAGCGCCTAAACTAAATCCAACTTTAAAAATAAAGTGACAAATTAATACACGAAGAAAAGAGAAAACTTTAGCCCTACCAGTTTGACTGAATGCAGAATTCCTCATCACTAGAATCACCATAGCAACAACCTAATATGTCACAAAAAAAACATCCTGAGGAAGTCCTGCAATCTCCAATAATCTGTTAAATTGACCGGGAATGTTTATTTAATAACGGACTCATAGAAAGTTAATTAGTCTTTCTTTCCCCACTTTTGTGGTCCTTGATCTCCACTGTGAATTTAATCTGATCTACTGCTCCTTTGGCCCTAATGAACCCACTCCCACAGCAGTCATTTGTTTTACTTCCTCCCTCTATCTCCCCCCTTTCTCACAGCCAGTCTTCCTCTTTCTTCTCTTTCTTTCTTTTGCTCCCTAATAGAGCATCAGATTCCTTGCGTGAGAACGTTGTATCAGGTCCGGTTGATTGGGATATAAGGTTACATGATTTTTTCCTTGTCTGTTAATCCCTCGTTCAGGGAGGGCAGTCAGCCTTTTCTTCAGGGACAGCTTGGATTTCAGAGCCGGACTTGGACAAGCTGGACAAAAATAACAGAGCTAAACTACTACAGCAGTTTTCCAAGAGTGAAATAAAGGTGTAGCATTTCATTGGGTGGTTGCTCACTTCAAGATTTCCTGAACACAAAGCAGGTGGTAACAGAAGTGTGTGGGATTACAGAGGATGAATATATTTAATGACAAGGGCTCACAAGAGGCTTTTTGAGCAGTGGTTGATATTAATGTAGTGCTGTATGTGTACCGTATTTTCACTTTATGATTATGATTCAGGGACATCTGTGCAAATAGAGGTTACACGGTGCTGAAAGCAGGTGATTTAGGCGCTCTGAGGAAATGGGGTTGACACTATTCTTCTCCCTGTATTGTACTTCTGCCTCTATCCATCCACGTCAGAGGGTTTTCTCTGCAAAAACAAAACACTATTGTTCTCAACTGTACGCCCAAGTAGTACCAGTAAAGATTTGGACATTTTAGAGTAAGTATTGTACTTTTGAAACTACTCTTTTAAAGGTCACATATTTTGCAAAATATACTTAACCAGGTTTTTCAAACATTAATGTGTCCCTAGTCTGTCTACAAACCCCCAAATTATGAGGAAAGTCCATCCTCTCAGTCTTTTGTCTGCTCCACTTTTCAAAAAAATATGTGCTCAAACAGGCCGTTTGGAGATTTTCCCTTCATGACATCACAAAGGGCAGTAGCCCCTCCCCCAGGTGGGTGACACTCCCACAACTAGGTGTTTGTTCTGCCCTCTGAGTCTGTCTTCTCACCGTAAACAATAGGACATGGAGCGAGAAAGTCCAAGACACGCAAGACCTTCCAGAGAGGGGGCGTGGTCAGACACCGCTCATTTACATATTTAAAGGTACAGACACAGAAACAGCCTGTTCTGAGCAGGGCTGAAATAGAGGGGTTTATAGACATGATGAAATACAGGATCAGAGTGGATTTAGAACAAGAAACTTCACACATGTTTTGGGGAGCTCTGAGAATTATTTAAACTGGTTGAAAAGGAGGAGAATATGTGACCTTTAAGGTGGAAAAGTCACATATTAGTACTTTCTGTGTTGACATTTTTATTTCATGTTAGCATGGTGATACTAGCATTTTGGTCAAAGTGAGTTATCTCATGAACATCTCTACCAATGGCTAATTTTCGGATTATTTATGTCCATGTTATTACGTTCGGCTAGCATTCCTGTGGGCTTTTTTTGTTTGTTTTTTAAATCTTATTTCCTGTCAAAATACAGAGCACACGCTTAGCCGGGTGGCTGCAGGCAGTTACGTAATCGCCTGCGGGAACGCATACATCTCTGAGGAGCGACGATGAGGGAGTAGAGAGACTGGTGGAGAAAACATTAAATGTGCCATCATGACCTCAGATAACATGCACAGATATCAATACAAGTCTGCACTGGTGCTGCAGACGGAGCATATGCTTATAAAGGGCTTCATCTGATACCTGCTCACACACACACACCTGACGTCTGGAGTTCTGATGTCAGCAGGTGACCTGACTGAATACACTCTCCTCGCATGAACTCCTCGCAGACAATACTGCATGTGTGGCATGAAGAATAAATCATGAGGCTGAGGGACGGGGTTACAGTTCTTTAATGGCAAAATAAATTAGACTCGTCCTTAAAGGTTACATGTGGTACACAAGCAGCTATAACGTTACCTATAATTACACAGGCACGATAATATGGCCGCCTCCTACAGGTAAATATGCATTCATGTGCACATTTCTGAATATAATTTGACTCCACAAGGGACAAAAAAAGGCTCTTCTTTGTTACAACTGACATGGATACAAAAGTTAAACTGAAATATAAAGTATGTGATTACACTTCTGAATCATACTCCCCAGTTCAGATCTGTTCACATTGAGCACTGCAGCTGCCACATCATGTGAAAACAAGAGAAACACATTACAATTCACACATTTTGATGTTTTTTTTTACTGGTCGATAAATCCTCGGCTGAATGTCTTTTTAAGACCTTTGACCAGGTTTCATGGGCCTCTTTGGAACAGGCCTTGGATTGGCATGCATTAGCAGTAATTGTTTAGAACATACTTTAAGTCACTGTTGGGTTGTTTGCACCTTTGAGGACTCTTTGAAAGGCAGAGTCATGTTCCAAAACTGTCATTTTTTGAAAGCAGCATTCCCTCAGTGCTCCGTCCACAACACATATCAATACTTAAAACGTCCTTATTGAACTTTTTGTCCCGTCTTAGAATAAAAGTGGGTTCTTTTTTTTAAAGGTGCATCCTGTTGTTTAAAACAAACGTTTATAATTTAAAGATAAATGGCAAGTTTAAATGTAATCGTCTCAGTCACAATCCTGTCCAACATAGCTGCGTTAGAGTTGGTACAGATGAGCGTCTACAGTCTTCTTTGGGTTCACAGCTGAATAAAACAAAGCCAGTTTAATCAAAGGGCATAAATCTCAGAGTTTGTCTTAAAAAAAACGTCTCTCAGGCATACATAAGCACCTTGAAACTGTGTTTGCTGTCTGGATAAATTCCTCCTGTTCCTAATGGAAGCCGAGATCCCCACCTGATGAAGTTTGATAGTAACTGATGGGTTCTATAAACACACACAGTCTCCATTTCGTGCAAAAACCTGTCCAGAATTCTAACAAGAGTAATGCTTTAGATTTGATTCAAGTGTTCATCTTTTGGAATCAATCTCAGCTCCTTGGACAACTCTTACAGGCTGATCAAAAACAAACCGAAACAGGGAACTCTGCAGAAAAAAAAAATCCTCACTCTGTTCTGCAGTTGATTATTTCTCCCATCACTCAAATTGGAGGCGTTTCATTTTCTAAACAGGAGAAAAAATTCATAAACTCTTCCAACCTAAATGTAAATATTTTGAGTATTGCTTCAGGATGGACCTGAATTCACATTTCAAAGCTGAGAAATGTCCCTTTTGTTTGAGTTCACTTTTTTAAAACAAAGCTGAATCTGAACATTGGTTAACTTTATTATTCATGTATGAACAATAAATTAGGTCCCGCGTCCACTAATGCTGGTTTGTGTGCTGGCTTTTCAGTGCTCAACCTCCAATGTAAAATGTCAATGTCAAGTGTCAGTGTTTGAGCTTCCCTCAATGACAAATCAAAATCAAGAAGGGGCGGGACTTCTGGCAAAAAAAAAATGTCAACAACAATGGCGGAGGAGAATCTAACTCGTCTTTTGTAAGGTACGAAAACTGCTGTTTGCCCAAACATGATTTGTTTACTGTTTTCTGTTTCCTTGGTGATTTTACTTTAATAAAAGAAAATGTTTGGTATACGGAGCAACTCTCAAAAAAGGCCTTAAAGTCACTACCAAGGGAAGCAGAAGTGCACTGAGCAAAGTTTGGTCACCTAGCAACAGTAAGAGCCAGTGAGAAGCATTCTGAAATTGAGGATATGAGCGCTAACAGTGCAGACAGAGCCATCAGTGGACACAAGATGATCCTGATCTAAGGGCGGGCCCTCCAGGTGCCACTCAAAAACAACCCAATAGAAACTGCATGTTGGCTGGATATTGACAGAAGGCAGAGGTAACGGTTTGTAGAAAAATCAATTCCCAGATTCACATTGTGACAGAGGGAGTTGAGCTGTCGTGAGAAAGTCCTCCATTTGATGAGTGCGGTCCTTTTTAGTCCAAACATGTTATTGAATACAGAAAGTCAAGAATTAATCCTGTTGGGACCAGCTTCTCTTCTTCACAAAATCGTTGGTTACTTTCAGCACAGCACGTGTAAAGGCCAATAACTGGGTAAGAAATTTTTGATAAATATTTAAGAGTCAAAAATGGAGAAACTTACAACCTACATCACCGGCCAAAGTCTGTAATGTAGCACAGTTTGAAATGAGAAGGTCTATTGTCTTCAGTGAGCCACAGCACGCACAAAAATCACTCAAATATACGTATTCACGAAGGGGAAAGTCCTCGTCCTCTCACGTGCGTCAGTCCCTCAGAGTCTCTGAGGATGGGGCAGAGGCGGCTGCGGCAAGCTGTTTTGGGAAAGGTTGATGTTCCCGGTGGGACGGGCGGGGAAGGCAAACGGGTCGACGACTCCGTTCAGGGGACGGTTGGGATCTGCTGAAGAAACATGGAGACAGTGTGCAGTGTGGTCATTATTTGATCTCCAGTGAAAAATGGAGAGTGGAGAAGATCATCTCCCATGTCTGTAATCTGAATATGAGGGATGGGGCGGGTTAGCAGAGAGGATTGTTATTTCCTGCCAGCCTCGAGGTCACCTTTTTGTTATTGCTTTGATTGAATGGAAAATGGACTTGAGCTTGTATAGTTCTTTTCTATTCCGCTGACAAAGATGTGGGAGCAATGCGGGATCAAGTGTCTTGCCCAAGGACACATTGGACATGTTGCTGCAAGAGCTCGGGATCGAACCCCCGACCTTCTGGGTGAGAGACGACCGACTCTACCAACTGAGTCACAGCCGCCCAAATTTAGAGCCCCGTGGAGATGGAATTTAAATACTGTGTGTTTAACTAGAACCAAAACTCTTCTAACCTTAGTTTTAAGGTCACAAGTATCGTATCACATCATCACTTTTTCCACTGCAGAGGACATATATATTTCTAACCTCCAAGGGCTCATGTACACATCTATCTATCCTTTCTTTTTCTCACAAAGAACAAGATGTTCCCTCAAAACAGAGATGAGTATACCTCAAGAGTTTCATGTGCATGAGGTCTTGGACGTGTTCCAGCTTTCAGTCCCTAAAGATTGTGCAGACAATAAAATGTGACGTCTCATATGACTCCTCTCACTTCACAGCTCTGTGTGTTTTTTTGGGAATGCCGAGATGAAGGAGAAGCTTATCCAAACAGGGCCAGAACTGCCTGAGGACTTTGTGCGTTTCCCGCAACAAATTATAACCATCTGGACCAACAGTTGGGAAGCACTAAGATCAGTGATCCTCAAACCTGAAGCAGGCGTTTGCCATGATTACATTATCATTAAGTCCCCTCCTGAATTAGCTTGAAATGACTTCACTTTTCATTCTTATAGCTTTTTCATTACCTGTTAGGTTGTGACCAGCCAGATTTATCAACTTCTTTAGGATTCCAGTAAAAATCCAACCATACTGATACCTGTTTCAATACCACAGCAACAAAAACACAAGTCCTAGTCATCCAACATTGGGTAATTTCTTGTTTTTCATCACCAAAAAATACAGGCAATCGTCTGCAAACTGAGATCTTCTGCTCAAATACATTGGCAGCATTTTCCTACCGAAACATTGCCAACGTCTTTCCAATTTAAAGATATTTTTGGGCCAGCTGAAGAGAGATAGGAAATGTTGGAAAGAGAAAGCGGGGGATGACATGCAGCGAAGGGCCGAGGTCAGATTCGAGACCACGGCCGCTGGAGCGAGGACTGTATCCTCTGTACATGACGCCACGTGACATAAGCGCTAGGCGATCCTGGGCCCCCGTCTTATCAGTAAGACGGAGCTCTCTCTCTTCGGGTGAAAAACATGACTGAAGATCTGCGTTTTTCTTGTGCCGATACTTTCAATATTTTTGATCATTTAAAAATGGCGACTACTTTCTTTGTAAAACCCATGGTATCAAAAAGGAATACAGTATGGATAATGTAGGACCATAATTACCTGAGCTTCCTCGTTCCAACAGAAGAAGGACGACTGCACTGCGCCATTTCCATTTGGGTAATCTGACGGAGATGTTCCCAACGCAGCGTTGTCTCCACTCAAATGACCCAGATCGATGTCGCCAACATCAGCACAAGCACTCATGAAAGTGTTGGAACCTGAAGACTGAACCATCCCCTGGCTCATGGCTCCAGCTGCCACACAAGGATGGGAGAGGGTAAAGGGGCTGTTAGCGGTCGCGGTCCCTGCACCATGTGTGGGGGGTCCTCTGGACCTCGCAGGTCCCTGGAGAGGTCTGTTCTGTCTGGTAGGAACAGTAGCAGCGTTCGGTATGTGACCTTCTCTTTTTTCATACATGCAGCTGCCAGATAATCGCTGCATCTGCGGTTGAAACGACTGAGCAGTTGAGTTCACACCGTGCGGTGTGTGCGAGGAATGTGTCAGTGTGTGATGGGGAAAATGTTGCGGCGGCAGCTGCTGTTGCCACGCCGAGGGGCTCTGAAGTGGTTGCCCCACATATGTCTGCTGTGAACCAGTGTGGTTCAGTGTGTATTGTACCCTTTGGTGCGTCACCTCCAATCCAGATTTGAGCACATTGTTTTGCACAGGTGGCAGCCAAGACTGTTGTGTCATATCAGGCTGTGATTGAACAGCTTGGAATGATGCACATTCCTGTGTTGAAAACAATGACTGTGTTGAAATCATTTGGTTGCCACAGTGCTGATCGCTGCCACTAGGAGGCCACGGTGAAGAGGTGTGTCCCGGGGGATTGTTTCGACACTGTGTGTACGCTCCTCCGTTTGACCGAATTTGGGATGCACCATTTAGTCCAGAACAACCAACAGCACCACTAAACAGAGCCTGATCTGCAAATCCAGAAGTCCTGTGAGCCATCGGCTGCTCATTATCTGAGAAAAGTGACCCAGGAGGCTGTTCTTGGTTGGATAAACCATTCACAGAAACGTGAGGTCCAGTGGGATCTGAGCTTGGCAAAAGTCCACAAGACTCTGTCCTCAGAGCCTCCTCAACGTACGAGAACACATCATTGGCAAGGATGCTGTTTATGTGGTTTATGTCTCTTGAAGCTTCCTCTCTCTCATTGGTTGCCCTAAAAAGAGTTTTCTCCCACTCCCTCAGCTCAGTCTCCTCAACTTCAAGTCCTTCTATCATTCCTTCCCCAATGTCCTCCAATATTTGTTCCAAAGAGTCCATCATGGCTTCTGTGGCGAGGTCCCCTGTAAAGGAACGTTTCATGGAGGTCTGTCCCGGCACACTGAGCAAGGCATGGCTGTCCATGAAAGCTTTGTCAAAAGCTGATTGCTCATACTCAAGCTCCTCTATTTGGTCTAATATTGGGAGCTGAGGACTTGGATTCTGTGGTGGCGGCTGGGTGTAAACTGAATGGTCCTGACGGTTAAGGGATCCAAGAAGGGAGGCGGGGTCCAAAGGTTTCTCTGTCGGCGGCTCTGTGGCGCCCGGTGTGCCTGGGCCAGGAGGACCAGACATGGAGAAGGCGTCCAAAGTGGTGTGGTACAGAACACCTTCACCGGTGGCGAGGTTGAAGGGGAGCTGCTGTCTCCTCTGGCGCAAGTGTTCCTCTCCTTCCTCATTTCTACAGAGAACGAAGAAGCATCAAGCAAAGTTAATAATCAATTTAAACACGATGCACACAAAAAAAAACATTATTTAGCCAAATTGCAAACACTCCAGGTGCAACAAAAGAAGGCAGGCAAATAGCCACTAAGAGTAATTTATGTTTTTGATTAAAGCTCCTCTGAGAAACGTTTCCACTTTATCTTTTGGTTGATGTTGTGCTGTACATGTGCAAGTGGACAAAAAAGAAACTCATCCTTCATTATTTTAAAAGGCAAATATGCAATTCACATCAATTCTTTGACATGGAAATATTGTCTGACACCTACCCTGCAGCAGGGGAGAGAGGCCTAAATATTAACTATAAAGAAATGATCAATCTTCTCACTGACGGTCTGGTTTGATTTAGTAGGTCATAAAGACGGATTTGTTTTCAGGTAAAAAGTCCTCACAGAAGCTTTAAGTTTGGTATTCAACGACAGATGCTTTCTTACCGAGTGTGGATGTAAAGATTATCATGTTCACTACTTACATTTTTTTTAAATTTCCAGTATGAGCAAGTGGAATCCTTTCTCAAGGCAAAACTTATTTTATTGTTACATTGTTTGAAGATAGGCTCGATCTCCAAACTCTTTGACAGTTCACACTGACCTCGACCTTTAAACACCCAAATCTAAACATACTATCCTTGACCCTAAAAGGACTTTTTTTTGCTAAATCTGAAGATATCCCTCCCTGGTGTCAGTTCTTAAAATTCAGCACTGGAAGCTGATAGATGTCTCGGCTGCAGGCATAAGATGGTTAAAGCTATCCTTAAATAATACAGAATTCAGAAAGATGTCATTGATTAAACCCCCTTGTTGAAAGAAGCAGGTGCTTACGTGAGCGCTTTCTGACGAGCGATGATGAAGTCGGGTCTTCCTCCCTTGAAGACGACTCTTGCATTGGCCTGAACCCACAGCCAGTGTCCTGTCTTTGTCAGCAGCCTGAAGAACGTGAAGCCGCTGTCTCCTGTCTTGATCACTGAGGACAAAGCAGGTAGACACAATAAAATACTTGTTAACACAAACATTTAAAGACACTTCAATGGTGGAATGGTGGTCATATTGATATCAGAATTGAGGCATGGCAAGTGTTTGATGGTACTTTGGTAAGTGCATGATGTGTCAGACAGAGTCACTCACTCCTCAGGTGGTTGTCGGCGCAGTACATCATGTCAGCAGCGTGGATGAACTGATAGCCAGAACCTGTTGTGACCAACTCTGTCTCTGAATACCCTAAAACCAGCTTCCCCCTGAAAAAGACAAAAAGAATGTTCTTGAGATCTTCAGTCCATCTCATTTAAAAAAAAAAATATATATTTAAATATCGACTATAAATAAATGCCTACCTGGTGTCAATACCCATGGGAGCAAAGTCCATCCTGTGTTTGGACTGGAAGATGACCGTCTTGGTCCGGATCTCTATGACTGAAGGAGGCAGCACAGGCGTGGCGATGGCAAACAGAGCGAACTGGGGGAGAGGAGCTGCTCTCCCATCGGCCTCTGTGTTTCCTTGCAGATGCAGAAACTTCAGGCGTCCATTGAAGTTTAGAGCCTACAAAGAGGGAAACAAACTCACATTATTGGCTGCAGTAACAGAAACAAACATATTAAGCTGTTTATCATTAACTTCAACTCTTCCACCTAAGCCAAACCTCAGAGCCGGCTACATTTTGGTATTCCCCCTCTGAGCATCACGCTGACATAAGCATTCAGTCTAAATCAGTGGTTGAACAGATAAGCTTTTCATAGTACCAGGAATCCAGAAGTGTTGTCGAGGAGACAGCGAAGGCGACAGCAGAAGCTTCGTTCCAGGAAAGAAGAGTTCTCTGGAGGGATGTACTGAGGTAGCAAGCTGACCGAGCTGCTCGACGCTTTACTGCCTGGCTGTTCATCTGAAGAGAGAAACAGTGAACTGAGACTCGTGTTTCTGTGCACCACCTCTTTCTGCTCTCTGTGGTCAATAGCATCTGATATTCTGATACAGGACTGGGGCAATGTTTTTAAACATGTGACAGGTAGAGACTGATGAGTTACACTCATACCTTCAGCTCTCTGGTCTGAGTCAGACTGGTTGGGGTTCAGGGCGAAGTGGAGCTGACATTTGAATGTCTCTCTGTCATCCATGTGAACAAGATCGAACACACTTTGATGGACGACATCGGACTGATGACAGAAGGAGGAAAGTTCAAATTCACACAGTTATACTTAACTTGCATTTGATGCTGTTCTAAATCTCCTGTCTTCTTCATTTCAGAGCCAAACTTTTGCTTAATTTATTGAGAAATACAAAAATGCATTTGAAACTCTGGCTGATTAGATCTCGAAGCCTGGTATGAGCTGGTTGGAGCTATGTTGTGAGTGTCGAGAGTTTTACCTGATGGAAGCCCAGGAAGTCCTTGATGGTCGGGGACGTGTAGAACACAGTGCTGTCAGTGGTCACGACCAACACGAAACCATTTAAAGCCTGCAGACATATTAGATATCCAGATACTGATGATACAAATGCAAACAGTAAACAAAAGAAAAACGATGCATCATGGAACGCTGTCTGCATTACCTGGAGAAGGAGATCTCCCTCTGAGAAGCTGACTCCATCCAGCGACACCGAGTGTCCATTTCTGCCGTTTGTAGTGACAAGGGGAGCCGCTCTCTTCTGGAACGCTGCTGCAAGACACAAAAAGAGAAAGATGTCAAACAATCATTCAATATATAGAAGCTGCAAGAGTGGGGACAAACATAGAGCTTATCATTCAAGGAAAAGTGTCAGAAACATTAAACAGCGTACTCAAATACTAAGAAGATAAATGCATTTCATAAAGACTCAAAGTGGTCTCAAGGAGGTGGAAGCTTTTGGGCTTTTTGCCTTTATTTGATAGACAATGGAATGAGTAGGAAACAGGAGAGAGAGAGAGATATGACATGCGAGAGGAGCCACAGGCCGGACTTGAACCTGAGCCGTCTGCTTGGAAGACTATAACCTCCTAAATGGGCCATCAGTGCCCCGACAGAAGCATTTTTAGAAGATGTCGTTGCAATTTTCAGAGTTCATTGAGAGATGCACAGAATACATCCATTCAGCTTCTTTGAATTGGAGATGCAAAAGAAAACTGTTTAATACTTAAAGGCTTAATATGTGATTTTTCACACTTAAATATAATATAAATCAAGAATATCCTCTGAAAATAACTCTGTGAGTCATGACTGTCTACAATGGGTGTAACACCCGAGTCCCACTGTCTGTGATGTTTTCAGAGTTTTCAGAGTCCTATCTTCAGTTTGTTTACATCGCCCAGACGGCCGGCTGACTCCTCCCCTCGTGTATAAAAGTTGTTTAATTGAGGGACTAGAGAAAAGAAGAATAACATGCTGTACTCACTGCTTAACTGTGTTTCTAGATCACGCTCATTTCAGGTAAATTTACATGCAGTGTGAAGATACCAGCATAATAAAGATCGCTAGCATTAGCATGCTAACACAACAATGCAGCACGAGTTGTTTTGGTTTCATGCTGGTGCTCAAAGGCGACATCTGCTGGATCAAAAAAATCGCATATAAAGCCTTTAACCATCTACTATACATCAGGCGTCGCTAGCTCCTTTATCACCAGTCATTTATGTGAACCAACAATTTGATTTTCAGCTGTTTGGATGATCTAAAATCAAATGTATCTCAGTGCACGTTGGTTATTTATTTACTGCATAGTTTGTGTTGTTTTTCAACCACTCAAGCTCACCGAGTTAGCAGTCGACATCAGCTTGTAGAAGACGTGTTATATTTGCTGTCTCTGTAGATCTGACACATCAAAAACTTCTGTCCACATGTGTTCTTTATCTTACACGCTGGTCCTTTAAGACTCGTCACTACATGCTCTAAAACTCTCTCTCTCTCTCTCTCTCCAAAGCAAACAAAAAGCACTCAAACACCATAAGGGGGATCCAGTGTGTTTCTACACAACACACTCACTGCATGTGTCTCAGCTGCATCCCTGATAATGTTTCACCCGTTTCATTAAGTATCGGTGACGTCTCGCAGGCCGAGAGCGATGCAGCGAGTGAGAGCGTGTGTTCACATCTTCATAGTTTTCATGCGTTTGTGTATTGTTGAATTCAAAGAAAAAGAGGCTCACATGTTTAAGTTTGAAATACTTGATTCAGAGAGTTGCTGAATTCAGGGGGTTTCCACCAAAGTCTGAACACAAGGGAGTTTTATTTAGCTCAAACAGGATAGAGCAGTGTGTTTTCTCTGATGCGAGTTTTCAGTAAAAATCTTGTGTAATCTAATCTGTGATCGCTGGCATTCATTCAGTTAAGTAATACCTCCTTTCCTTTCCTTACAGTAATGACTCTATGGCACGCTAACAAACTTCCCAACCCTCCCTCTCCCTCTCTCTCTCCCTCTGCCTCCCCCTTTTTAAAACAAACCCGCTGGATCTGCCTCTCGTCCCAGGAATTCGCCCTGTCATCTCGGTCAAGAGCGGCTTGCTCCACACTCAGACAGCTGAAAGAATCTCCAGCTTGTTATTACAACATAAACTGTAACCGACTCCGGGGATCTGCTCAAACTGGTGCAACACATCGTCACATCCTCGAGAGTTTAACTCGGTGTGACGCCGAAAAACAAAAAGGACACAATGTGCAACGTACAAAAAGTGTCAAAGTCTGAACAAATTGAACAAGTTTTAGTGAAAAGTCAGAAGTTTTTTATCCTGAGTCTTTCATCTGACCCCCTTCCTCTCTCCTCCTCCCTTCACTTCCATCCTTTCCTGCCTCCCCCCCACCCGTCTTCCTCCGCTCCTCGACGCTGTGAGATTTCAAGGAAGAGGGATCACACGCAGAGTCAGAGCACCTCGCCAAACAAAGACACAGGTCTGCACAAGAGGGAGGCCTGATGGGGGGGGGGCCTGGAACCCTTCAGACTCTGTGGAAACAGCTGCAGCCACAAAGATGGGTTTCAATTTCTGAGTTGAACAGGAAAACATTCATCAAAATTTAGAGTTTCAGCACCGTTTTCTAAATGATCTACTTCCATCATAATGATGGATTTAAACACTTTTTTTCACCCCTGGAAATCAACAATATGATCGAAACATAACTCTGACCGATTCCTTCCCAAACGGCAGCAAACCAAACTCTAAAAACTGGAAATCTCACAAAAATCTCCTGCGATCGAACGGGGCTTTAGAGTCAACAAGCATGGTGGAGGACAGGCAGGGAGGATTGGAGATTTCTGGACTACTTTTTACTGAAAATTCACAAAGACAAAAGTAACACTATGGAAGAAGTCAGACAGACGGCGTGACCATTGGCTGTACATGTTACAGTACGAGCTGGAGGTGTATAAATAATGATTTGCTACTTCATTCAGTTTGCTTCCATCTGCTATCAACCCACAGAGCGCATTCTCAGCCGTCATCGAGGTTCCGCCCAACACAACAGGATATCAGATATTAAATATTGAACATGTTTAATTTTTCACAAAAAAAAAAAAAACAAGTGCGGCCATGACCTTCTTCCAAGCGGACCAGGTCACTGTTTGCACATCTCACACCACGGGGACAAACACTCTGAACTCACTGTGACCTCGTTCCGCCTCCTTATCGACAAACAGGAAGCAGATTTGAACAGCAACTCACCAGCCACAAACTGCCCAAACAACACAAACACCCCCCCACCTCCCCTCACCCTCCCTCTCTCACCATGGTAACCTTTGCTCTTGGTGATGGATGCAGCAGCAGCAGCAGCATCTGGGACTCATTCAGGTCAGAGCCAAACGAAGGGAAACAACAGAGTCAACACTTAGGACTAAAACTGAGGACCTAAGTCTCTTTAACCTCCGCAAACATTATGTTTTAACTCTCCACGAGTAAACCATCCCTTGCTACTAATCCTGTATCAATTCCATTTTGAATGATCATTTCTCAGGTAATAACCTGGATGTTCTGTGTTTTTATAATTCTCTGCTCTGTGATCCAGGCTGAGCGAGGAGAAGACAGACAGGACGGTGCTTTGTTCCCATATTCTCCTGGATGTTAAAATGTTTAATCATCTGGTAGTTTTCAACAAAACATGCTTCTAAAACGAATGATCCACAGTGTTTCCCCTACCATTATATTGGGGGTCAATTGTGCAATTTAGACAGTCAGTGGTTTACCTGAATAGGTCAGTTGATCTACGGTTATCGCTGGATTAGGTCATTTTAAATGGACTCCTGTCATTGTCCCAGTGTATAAGGACCTGGGGAGATTCGATTTATTGAGAGATGTCTGACGCTGTAACAGTAGTTGGTGATAGACCCGCTTTCATCTAGTAACTTGCGATTCGACCTTCTTCTGATTGATCCGTTACATCACAATCACAAAACAAAACGATGCGAGTTGATGACGAGAGCTAGGAAGTGATCCAGTCTAATGACTGTCTTATTTACAGGAAATGCTCCTGACCATAGTCATACATTTATTGTTAAATACAAACGTTTTCTGCTGTCAAATCAGAAATAATAACATTCAATTTGGAAAGCGGAAAGTTCAACAAGACGGGATTTGCAGCTTGTGTGTGATGTCAGGTTTGACGAACATCAAAGTTGAGAGAAGATAACATTTTCACGACTGCAGCAAGCGGTTAATCTGGCAGCTTGATGCAGATAGGCTTCATCTGATAACGCTCAAAACATACTTATTCTTATTCAACAACATCTCCAACTTTGTCTGTTTCCATTCCACATTCCTCCTTTTTGTAAACTCTGCATCAAGCGTTTGAAAAATCTTTTTTTTTTTTCTTAAGTCGAATAACTCTGGTCAGAAGAAACCAGACCGCAGTGTTCAAACGTCTCCATTCACAAACACTTCCATCTTTTTCAGAAGCCCTCATGTCGTGCCACTGTGCTTCACGCCTCCCCCCCCCCCCCCCTTCTGTTTCCCCCCTCTGCTCCATCAGCAGCGGTGATCGGCCGGCCGATAGCAGAGGCACAGAGTTAGGGGGAAATGCCTGCTGGACTCTGTTGCCACGATGGCACCGCTTACGTACCAATTTAGTTTAAACCACGCCTATGTTTAGGTCCGCTTTGGCCAGCAGCTGGGGGAGGCATCTCTTTTGCGTTCTGAATGAACTTCTCAAATCGAGCCACATAAAGGACTCTTTGCCAGGCTGTGAGGCGATTCCTCTGCCAGTGTTCACTGTTTTAAAAAGTCTTCTTGGTGAAGTCTGTGAAGAATGATCGCTGATGGTGTCATCGAGGTTAACTTGGAATAAAAAAAAAAACTACAAATCTATGACATGTATAACAGTAAGCCTGTGTGATAAACCTGCATTCTGAACATCTGCACAAGTTTTTCCTTTGTGTTCTCCAGGGCCTAAAGCTAACCCTGGTGCAGCACGATTTCCTCTGGCTGAAGCGAGTACTTGAAGGATCAGTAAATCCAACATTAAGAGAGGTTTGCTAGGCTTGCCACGTTCTGATCTGAATGTTTTCGGACTACAAAACTTCTCTGAAGGTAGCGTTGGTATTTCCAGTCTCCTGAGTGGCAGCAGGGAAGAGACCCAAAACCAAATGACAATCTGCAGCAATCTCCCCCATGTGTTGGATCACGCTCAAGCAAGCATCCAGTAAAGTTCCAGCAGGCCAGAAGAAAAAGTTATAGGCAACAAGTCAATCAAGTTATTTCAATCAAAAGCTAGTTAAATGTTTGTTCATTTTTAATTTGAATAATTCTGTAAAATAGCATCGTTCATATTTGCTTGTTTGAGGACAACGGTCATGGTTTTTAAGGACGCACTGCCACTAGGTGTATTTGTCCCGTACTGTCCCGTAAAATCATACATAACCACACTTGGGATTAAGTGTCCATAAGTTCAACACTTTGACTCTTAAAGCTTTTGGAAAAGTTGAGTCTGTCATGTCAGCAGAACATTCTGACACCTGAACAACATACTCAATGTATAGGCACCTCCCCCCCCCCCCCCCCTCTCTCTCTCTCTCTCTGTGTGTGTGATCAGCGTCGGAATAAAGACCTACTGTTCCCGTCTGCAGGTCTCATGTTGCTCTGCCTAGACTCTCGCAGCAGCCCGCAGCACACTCTCCTGTTTCCCTGCCAGCGGGGCGACTGTTCATTATGCACAGTGTCAAGTTCTCTTTCTGACACCCCAAACACTCAACGCTCAGCCACAAAAATGTCTGGAGCTGAATATTTGCACACCTGACTGACACGCACACACACCCTCTCACTTTCAATATTACACCCATTTGACCTGTTTTTGAGTTCACTGACCGTGGAAGTAACTCTTGGCCTTGAGGTATCCCACGCTGAGCCGCAGCACAGACAGTTTGTCCAGGCGGCCTCTGACATCCTGAGAGAACGGCAGCATGCCGGTGAGACGGTCCAACTCCACATTGAGGCGGTCCCGGTGTCTCTTGGACGGGTTTGTCTTCACGGGAGGAGGCTTGGGGCTTTAAAAAAAAAACACAAGACACAAGAGGACATATTCAGTGTCAAGAGATGCTGCCTGCTAAAACATGTGTGCGCTGTTTGATAATCTGCAGCAGTCAGAGGAATTTCCATTACAGCTCAAGTGGGAGTTTTTTTTTTTTTTTTGATACAAGCTGCTCTGATTTTTCATATCCTGTAACAAAGCAGAGCACTGGAGCTGTAGGAGGCCTGTGTGTGTCGTACTGACGCTACACGACCACAAGAACAATACGTGCACTGAGAATTCCATGGGTTGAATTACACAGCGTGAAGTCTGCCCCGAATAAACTCTGAACCACATCAAACAAAAGCGTCAACTTCCTGGTTTTAAGAGCCAGAAGAGGATGAAAGTGTTGTTCGTACTAGAAGCTTTTAACACGACTGGAAACACACACGGAGAATAATGTGTTTTTAGTTCGCACATTCACAAGTGTTGGAGCCATTTTTGGTATTTTGGGTTTGACCACAGGGTGGCACTGTGATCCAAGTGTAACTGTATTTAAACGGCGCTGATTAGCAGCAGGTGTTGCATACAGAAGGTCAGCGGTTTCTCACTGTGGCGAGAGTTTTGGTATGTTTTTGAGTAACTGGATATTACTGCTGTTGTGAAAAAATGGATCGGCCGACCTGAACTTTGTGGCCTCGTGAACGTTTGTTTTGAGGGATGACGCGAACTACAACACCAAGCCACACATACAAACCCGACCAACCTACGATTTTAGTCAAAATCAGACCCTAACGATAATTACTACAGGCATCAAAAGTCATGATATCCACCTTTTAGCAGGGCTCAGGCAGCGCAGGTTTGAGAGCTAAATGCAAACATTTGCATGCCAACATGTAATGTAAAGAAAGGCTGATACTTAGCATGTAATGTGATGATGGGTGAAAACGTGGGGAAGCAAAGTTAGTGGGATACTTCTTCAGGGGACCATGAATGTCTTCGCAACAACATCATGGCAATAAAACTAAGAGTTGAACAGACATTTCACTCACAAACACAAGATATATTTATCTCAGATGATGCTTTAGTAAAAGTAAAAGGATCACCAGAGTCAGGAGGTTTTAATCTCAGGAGACCATCAATGTTCATGGTAAATCTAGCTAGCACGACCAGTGATTTAAATTCCAGGGAGAAGGGCTGCTAGTAGTTCTCAGTAACTGAGACAGAACAATACACACTGTGCCCTCCTTACATCTGTTTATTATTTTATTTCTAAATCATAGCAACATTATACGTTTTTTCCGACTGACTGTCTGCCTTCGTGGTTAAACAATAAAGATTTGTGGAGTCAAAAGAACCAAATTGCCTCCAAACAAATAGTTGCATCATATTTTTGAGACGTGTTTCTGTTGATCTTCCACTTGGCCTGTGCCATTGTTACTACAAATTTACCACAACATAGTTCCTCTCTGACATGTCGGGACACGCAGCCAGCTCTGTGTGCCATCCCTCCCTGACTAAACACACACAGATCTAAGGACAGAGATGGAGGGAAGAGGAGCGAGAGAACAAAGGAGGGCAGGAATGAAGAAGGCCAAACGCAGCGAAGAGAAAAGAGAAAGCAAAAGAAATGGGTTGAAAACAAACTAAAATCAGAGTGAAAATGAAGACAACGGAGGACTTATTATCGATGACGTTGATGCTGGTGAATAATATGACAGAATGTGAGCAGTATATTTGTGACAAATTCACAACACCAGCATGAGTTATTGAATGAAACCAGTGTGTTTACTTGTTCAGTACATCAGCCTGACATGGCCTAAACACAGACTCTCATTTAGAGGCCACATTTCTGCATCGAGTATCTGTCAAACTTGAAGTACAAGAGCTCGACCGATTTAGCAGCAAGCCGATAATAATGGCCGATAATAGCGTATGCAGTGACTATCATATCGGCTCATTTTATCGCAGATATTACTCGATTTATTCACCAGTCAAATAGCATTTAATTTGATTTTCATTCTATTACACTAGCAGTTCTCTGTCACCAGCAGAGGGCGCTATATGGATCACAACAAGCGTTATCGGTCTCCAGAGAGTCGAGCTGTGATGCACATGCATTAGCCGTTACTTTCCATTGACCATCTTGTCTTCACTATAAATCTGCTGTAAGTTACGAATGGACAGTAAGTGTATTCAGAATATTTTAAGAAGCTGAAAAAACACTCTGACTGTTCTATGATACATTCTATCATTCCCTGATTATAACCCATGTATTCATTTTAAAACCCTTCACTCGATGGTTGAGGAGGAGCCCGGTAAGTAACGTTTGGTCTGGAAAACCAAATGCGATACCTGAAAGTATAAAAATTATTTACATATAATAAATATTTTTTTTAAACTCTCAAGGGTATAAAAACAGTATTTAAAAATGTAAATATATTGTAATTCATGGAGAGGATTCAAGTGGAAGGTAATAATGAGATTCTTCCGGACGCCAGTAATAGTGGCTAAAATGGGCCCAGCATACTCTAACACATTACAATTGTGGTACACAAACTGGCAACCATACCCACATATTCTGGACATGCACAAAATGAAAAACATTTTGGGAGGAGGTTTTTAACTGTTTTTACTGTGGAACTACTGGGCCTAACACCAATAGGCATTGATGGTAGAGCTAAAAAAAACATCTTATCAAATACAAATTAAAATACAAAAACATCAAATACTTATTACAGCAGCTCTCAAATGTATAACATCTTGTTTTGTTTTTTTTAGTTGTTTTTTTATTATTGTGTTTATCCTTATATCCTTAAAACATATAGATACAGCTGTAAACAAAAAAGGAAAATTGAAGAACTGTGAATATTATTGTATAAATTGTTGAATCTGACATAAAAACTAAGTTTAAAAATGTAAATATATTAAATACAGAGTAGAAAATAAATTGTATGCCACATTGTATTTTCTGATTTCAGAGGTTTGGTTACTTCATGTTTTGTTCAACAAACAGTACAGCGGTTGTGGAACTTGTGCACTTAATTGAATTCTCAATTAATTGATTGATTCTGTTGCATGAAAATAGTCTTCTTAATATAGCTAAATTAATTAAAAGTATTACATAGCTTTTATAGCTAAATAAAAAAAGCAAAAGATAACATTTAAAGAGCTGCAAACTGGTGATGTTTCTCATGTGCAAGAGCTGTACTGTTATTAACTTGTAGATAGTTTGTGTTGTTGTGTTTTACAATGCAGGACAAAATCTTTATTTGTCAATGCCAGTTAAGCTGTCCAAAAAAAAAAGAGATTAGTAAATGGAATATTTAGCCAACTTCTTAGAGTAGATGTTTAAAGAGGCATCAATATGAAACTGAATCTGTAATATAGTTACAGTAGATTAATTCAGTATCTATCTCTCCTCCATGATTTAATTTTATTCCCACACTTTTGTGCATTATAATGTCCTGCTAATTTGGCTTTTATAAAAAAAATCGCTGCACTTGTTCCATCACCACCTGCTCGACTTACCTGACCTTATCAACACCTGACGTCATCACCTTTGAGTGACATTATGTTGCGGTGAAACTTCCGGAAAATCGTGAATCACAGGATTGAAGCTAAAACAACAACCTTATATGTTCACATGGAGGTTAGTGGAAACGGATAGGTTAGGATTAGTAACACTAGTAATTACTTTGTAACAATAACAGTGATGGTGATGAGGGATTGTGCCACTGAGCTCTAACCCCGCCCACGCGGTACAGGCCTGTGGCTGAATGCAGTGGCTACTTTATACCCTGCGGAGACGTATAAAGAAGTAAAAAAGAATATGACGCTTTTAAGATAGTAAGACTTACATTTTCTGAACGGGCTTCTTCCTCCTCTTCACCGCGTAGACTCCACCATTCCCCGGCATGGCGGCTCTGAGATTTTCCCAAACTCTTTCTGTCGTTAACACTTCAAAGGCAAAATGTTTAAACTTGCATTAAAAAAAAAAAAAAAAAAAAAAGTTTGATTTCTCCGAGTCTCCGGACACACCCTTGCTGTTATTCTCCTGTAAAAACTCTAAAAGCTGCCGGTTATTTCACTGTAATTCAGTTCGGGAAGGCTAAAACTGAAGATATAATCCACATCTGTGAAGTCTATCGGGATTTTGCAGCGACCCTGTCGGTCAAAGTCTAATTTTAAAAACTTAGTTTGCAGTGGAAGTACAGAGAGAAAGCACAAACCGCGGCCAGCCCTCCGTCTGTGTGTCTTTTACTGTGTCAGCCAATCAGAAACACTGTGACATCTTGTTGCAACTGATGCCTTTGTACCGCCGCTTCTGATTGGTGGAAACGTTCACCTTTGTTTATCATCCGTGTCCTCAACTGTAAAGCACACACACCGTCTTTACATAATTCAGGGGGCTCTAGATACATATAGTTTACATTGTTTACTTCATGTTAAGCTGTGCAGTTTGAAATTCAAGTCTTTTTTTTTTTCGATTTATGACTTTGCTGTGTTTTGTAATCTTCTGCCTGTAAATTGTTTTTTTAAAACTTCAACTCCATCAAGTGGTCGCGACAGTTCAATACAGGAAAGGCATTTTTTTTCAATATTATATTATATAACATGAGTCCATAAATAACTAATAACCACCTCAACCAATTTAACAGTAAATCCCTGCTTTTAATTTACATTATTTTAAAAAGTAAGTACATCTTCCTGATTATACTTACATACTTTTACTTAAGCATGAGTTTCTATGCAGTGTTTTTTTTTTTTTTTTTAAGGAGCATATTGTCTTGTCTGGTATATCACTTTTTTAAAGTTTACTGAAAACTTGTTCATCCAAGTTTGTAATCACTCCCACACATGTATGAGTAGAGCATTATTAACGTAACTTTGGTAATACCATGTTGGTAATTAAGGAATGCAGAATTGTGACGTTGATTGATAAAATAAATTTGCCAAAGACACCATTTTACGATGCACTCAACCTAATTTAAGAATTCCCTTTAAAGGATATAACTGTGTTCACTGCATTTATTCATAGTTCTACATCACAATGTTTCTCTGGAGAGGAGGTGAAAAGTAGCATTTACTGAAATAATGGAAAAATAATGTGAAAGTACTTTACATTTTAAATACAGTTAAGTCGTCAAGGAACAAATGATAAAACAATAACATAGAGAGGAAGTCTTTATTCAACAAATATTGTTTATTTCTTGTTACCAAAATACATGATTTACAGTATTTACTGTCTTTTAAAAAAATCACATTTATTGCATAATTTTTTAACAAGCACAAAGTACCTTGATTAAATCAATTTTCATTTCTCAACAAAGGCGCTGACTGTTGCCTCGGGTCAGAAAGGAAAAGAGACAGAGAGAAAAGACGCAGACCTCTTTTAGTTACACAGCTGTCTTCAGTTAAACTGGACTCTTGATTGTGTCGTAACTGGAATGTGTTGAGACTCAAAACAGCAGAGGTTTCGGTTTTTCCCAGGGGAACTCCTCTCTGCCGAAGTGACCGTAGCAGGCAGTGGCTTGGTAAATCGGCCGCTTTAAACCCAGCTCCCTGTCAAACAAAGAGCCATATTTGATCGTTTGGTTTACAGATGATTACAATGTTTACAGCTATGACAACAAAAAACAACAACACATACTTCACGATGACCCCAGGCCTCAGGTCAAAGTTCTTCTGCACTATTTGCAGCAGCTCGTCTTCGTCCTTATTCGACGTGCCGTAGTGAAAAACGGAGATGGAGAGCGGGTGGCTCACGCCGATAGCATATGAGATCTAAAAAGGGAAAACAGACAATACATGAATGCTTTCAGAGATATTAACATTTAACTAAATATTAGACCCCAAACTTGATCTCACATCAAGTTTAAAGATTAAACATTTTTCTTTTTTTTAAGTGTAAAACGACATGACTAGGTGGCAATATCTGAGCTCTTTGAACAGTCAAAAAGAGTTTCTTTTTTCTGTTCTTGTGAGTCGTGTACTCATCCGATATATGTTATTATACCCAAAAAGTAAAGTGCCTTCTCTTGTTTCATACAGGCTTTTTAAAGATCTAGTTTCTGAACTACTTAGGGAAGGAAATGGCTCTGTATTATAAATGTGAAATGGTTTGCAAGTATCAACATGTGTTTCAGTGTCTTTGTCAGTATTTTACGTGTGTTTATATGTTTATATTTGTTCTGTTGTTATTGGTTTTGCTGCAGGGTGCACCCCAGGAAAAGAGGCCTCGACCTCAGTGGGTCAGAACATTTTGTTTGTCTTTTGTAAATAAATAGAATGATGCATATCAGCTGTGGTGCGTTTTTCAAACTGTTGAACAAAAAGTAAGCTTCACTCAGGTGTGGACTTCCTCACCTGAACGAGGGCTCTCCTGCACAGTCCGGCTTTGACCAAAGACTTAGCGACCCAGCGTGCTGCGTAAGCTCCGGATCGATCCACTTTGGAGTAATCCTTCCCGGAGAAAGCCCCTCCCCCGTGACCACCCCATCCTCCGTATGTGTCCACAATGATTTTACGCCCCGTGAGTCCGGCATCGCTCTGTTGACAATACAAAGCGTCTCTCAACATGTGTATGTTTGCCCTACAAACACTAAACAATCACACTTTTCTTTTTACTCTTTGACGTAGTCCCTTTCCTCACTCACTTGTGGGCCGCCTTCAAGAAATTTCCCACTGGGTAGGAGATGGTAAATGGTCTTGTCATCCAGGTACTTGGCAGGAACGACCACCTTCACCACCTTCTCCATCAGGTGGTGTCTGATCTCCTGCAGGGTGATGTCCGGCCTGTGTTGCACTGAAATAACCACGGTGTGAACACGCATAGGCTCCATGGCTCCCATGTTGTCTCTGTACTCCACTGTGACCTGCAGGGACGAGAGCAAGAAGACACAAGTGAACCTCTAACTCCATAAGAATTAAACTAGCAGCAAAAGGAAGATAAAGTCAAATGTTTTGAGAGTTGATTGAATGCCTTTTTTTTAAAGAGATAAAGCATCTATTTGTAAGGTGTGGTGGCTCACTTGTGATTTGGAGTCTGGGAGAATCCATGGACACTCTCCAGTTCGAGACAGCTCCTTCATCCTGAAGTTGAGTTTGTGAGCCAAAAGAATTGTTAAAGGCATACACTCCTCCGTCTCGTCTGTGGCGTAGCCGAACATCAGACCCTGAGGAGACAAGTGAAGTTTTTTGATACAACTGAAAAAACTTTTTTGGAATCTTGTAAATGATGAACCTGTTTGTTTGTTAACCCCTCATGTGGTCAACACTTCGGTCAGGACTAACAAACTGCAAGACTCTTTGGAGAACTTTTGTGGATTGATTGCTGAAAATGGCTAAAAATGTTTTTTTTGTCAAATGCTTTCAGAGAGTTTGGACATTTCTGCTTTCTAGTGGCTCAAAAACTGTTAACTTTCAAATAAATTCCTTTAGTACAATAGGAAGAACAAATTTCAAACCTTTATTGTCACTTTTTTTCAAATATGCCCTCCAGAAAATATCTATATGATTTTTCATATAGGTGTGTATGCATATACTACAATTCACTTAGCAGACGTACATCAGAGAGTAAGTACAACACTAATCCATTCATACACCACCACAGAAGCAGCGGGAGCAATGCAGGGTTAAGTGTCTTGCCCAAGGATACATCGGACATGTTGCCCAGAACCCTCAACCTTCCAGTTGAGAGGCAACGACTCTACCAACTGAGACACAGCCGCCCTATATACATGTACGTGTTTGGATTGGAGCATGTAGAGCGCTCCTTTTTAGTCTTCTGACTACTCAAAGTGTTTTTGTACAGCAGGTCACACCTACACATTCGCACACTGATGACAGAGGCTGCTGTGTAAAGTGACCATCAGAACAAATCCCATTCATACACAACCATACACCGTTGACAAAGCAGCAATCAGGGGTTAAGTGTCTTGCCCAAGGACACATCAGACATGTGGCTGCAGGAGCTGGGGATCGAACCCCCGACCTTCCGGTTGAAAGATAACTGACTCTACCTACTGAGCCACAGCCGCTCTAAATGTGTGTTCTCCCAAATGAAGTCCTGTATTGTAATGAACTATTGCTCCTTTATCAAAGTGACTTGTCTACTCTCCTGACAGCATTTGTGAAAACTTTATACCCCCCATGTTGTAGTGCACAGTTAAGTATTAAAGGTCTGTACCTGGTCTCCAGCACCAATGTCCTCCTGATCCCGTCCTTCAAACACACAGTCTGAGATCTCCATGCACTGCGGCTCCAGCGCTAACAGCACGTTGCAGGTCTTGTAGTCAAAACCTGCAGATCACAGTTGGATTTCAATCACTTTCTTCACTCTGAGTGGTTAAAAAAAAAAAAAAAAAAAAGGTGATAAATTCTACCGTACTGCACCTTTGGATGAGCTGTCGTAGCCGATGGACTTGATGGTGTTTCTGACCACTGACTGGAGATCCACTATGGCCTTAGAGGTCACTTCACCAACCAGTAAAATCATGCCCGTCTTTGCCACACACTCTGTAATAAAACAGTGTTTGCATTGAAAAAACAAGCAAATGATGCATAATACAATTAACACTAAATTCATTCAATAATCCAGAGATGTTCACGATTTGGTAGAATTATTGACTACCTCTAAATCTAAAGCAGCTTCAAAAAAAGGTTCATATGTCAAACTACACGAAGCACTCAAACTTGGATATAAAGACCAAAATTCTCATTATAACATCAGACTCTGTTGCTTCATCTGCCACTTCTGAGTTGTTCTTTTTAAGTAATGTGTCTGCCTCCTGAGGACCCCACCCCTCTATCCCACAGGGATAATCTCCCGCTGTAAGGTGCATGCAGGATCAAGGAGGTCAGAAGGATTTCAGGGGCAGCCTGCCTGAAACTTTCAGGAGTGCATATTGGACATACTGTTAATAACATGGACCTTGTCTCAGAGATGTCAACAACTGGTTTCTTAAGCACACTTTTGTAGCCCATCCATATCTCAACCAAACTTTCAGTCAACCTAGTAACAGGCAAAGCGGTGCAGCTGAGGCGGGCCTTAAGCCTCCTGACAAGAAGCTACACCGCAGCAGCTTGGAGTCAGATCAGTCATACTCCTACTAATGCAAAATTCTCATCCATAATGAAATCAAACCAGATGAGTTATAAAGTAATCACCCCTGTGTAGTGTGTGCGATAAAGACCTGAGCTTTTATCTATCTAAATCGGGTTTTTTTGTAACATGCTGTCAATATTTCTGCACTCAAACATATTTTTGATATGGAGTGTTTATGGGACGTCCAGATCTTTTGGAGCCAGCCTCAAGTGGACACATTAGGAATTGCAGTTTTTTTGCACTTCTGCATTGGCTTCCCCTTTTCTACACCTGAGGTTTCCGCTTGATGAAAACAGCTTTACTAAAAAGTTAGTAAGGCTATCCTCCAGTAAGGCTTCGATATGATAACATCGGTATCAAAAGGACAGAATACTTACCACAGGCCACTTTAGAGTCTGGGTCTTTGCTCAGGTAGGCATCAAGCACAGCATCACTGATTTGATCACACATTTTATCTGTGAACACAAAATCAGACTCATGAAATGAAGGAACAAGAACAGATGCCCCCATTTGTATACATACAGATAAGATGTTTCTATCATAGCCACCCCTGGGTCCTGTTGACCCCCAATGTTTGAAACTCGTCAGAAAATGCAGCTGCAATGTTTTCTATTGCGCCCTTAAAATTGAGAAAATGTAATCCAGTGTCCTGTAGGAAGCCATTATAGTGAGGGAACATATGATAAGGCACTCCCTAGAATACCCTTCCAAAAACAGGATGTAGTTAATAAGCAACACCAATAAAATGTAATAAACCTCTTTGCCGCCCCTCTAATCGGGTAAATCTGATTGGGTGCCTCTCTGTTGCCCCGAAGTGGATGTCCTTTGATGTTTCTTATCCATCATTGCACTACGGTCACTTTATTTATCTCTTTTTTACCTTTACAGTTATATTGTTTATATTAGTTCTGTTGTTCCATTATTCACCATGCACCTTAATAACTTATCATTTAGTATTTAGCCTACTTGCACATAGCTCTGTATATATATATTTATTTCTCGTTTACTGCACATAGTTCTGTTTACATCTGTTAGTCCGATCACTGTCCACTTATATCTACTCTTTTTATATTTTGTATTTTAAGTTTAAGCTTTAAGTTGTATTTAAATTGACACTTTATATTTAGGTTAAAATGTTTCGTACTTGCACTGTTGTGAATTTACTGCTCTGTGTGCCTTTGAATTGCCCCCCGAGGACAAATAAAGTTTATTGAATTTGAATCTGAAATAAAAGGAACCCACCACCCAGAAAGGTGCCTTTTTCAATAGATAAATGTAATGCTGGGCGCCCTAAGGTGCCGTTTCTGTGGAGGAAAGATAACGCTGTGTGATAATCGACGCCCTTTTGAATGGAGAAAATTGATCCAATGCAAGCTAAAGGGTTTAATCAGTGGAGACATAATGATAAAGTACCCTCTCTGACGGGCCCATCCAGTGAAGAAAACATGATGACCTGTCTGCTCTGAGGCTGTCGAAATTAGATTTGCTCGTATTCAATAAAAACTTGTTCAAACATGAAATTATACAAATCCATGTTGGTAAGAACAAGTGTGTAGGTGTATTCTGAGAGGGAAACTATTCAAATTCATGTTCACTTATGAAAGCAGTGTCTCATTTTTTCCTGTGGTGTGTTCCCTGGAGGGGGGGGGGGGGGTTCAGATTGTCATAGATACAAGGTCGGGGGGGCTCCAAGGAAAAATGGTAGTGAATGTGAAAGTAATACAACTTAAATGAAATGATAAGGAGACCTATAAGCTGTTCTTTAATTTATTTTTTTTGTATGGTAATGCCCCCTTTTTTATGTTTTATTTTTCCTTTTCTCATGATGCTTTTGTCTTTAGTGACGCACTTTGAATTGCCTTGTCGATTAAAAATGTGCCATACAGATTCATTTGCCTTGAGGTTGCATGTGAGGTGCAGGAAATAAAAGGCAGTTTCCCTTTAAGTAGAAAAACAGAGCAACCTCTGTGCAGTGTTGTCTACAGTGGCCTTAAATTCGAGTAAATATGAAGCAGTGCCCTTCAACTGAATAAAATAAAATAACTAACAAGGTTACTTCTATGGTGTCTTTCAGGTGAAGTAAATATGATAATGTGACCTCATAAAAGTCAAAAGTTCATGAAGTATCATTTAAGGTTTCTCTTCAAATGGTGAAACACGAAGCAGTGCTCTTGAGATCGCCCTCTAAGTAGAGCTGGGCAATTAATTAAGTGTCAATAACAGTTATGACTTCCTGCGATCATGAAAAACAAGATCATTTAGATTAAACGATTAACTCTCTATGCCTCATGTCGTGTTGCGCTCAGTGAGGACCACGTCTGGAATTTGGTCTGGTCAGATGGAGAGGTGCCAGTTGAGGTACCCTTGAGCAAGGCATCGAACCCACCAGCTCATGAGCGCTTTCTGTGGGCAGCCCCTTCACTCTGACATCTCTCCATTAGTGCATTTCAGTATGATCCTGTTTGTGCATGCGTGTGTGTGTGTGTGTGTGTGTGTGTGTGTGTGTGTGTGTGTGTGGAGCATGTCTCAATAACAAAGTTTAAAATGTAATTCCCCCTCGCGCTTTTAATAAAGTATCTTATCTTGTGGTGCATTTTGATTATAATCAAATAATTATTTTAATTTTTTAATTATATAATTTTTAATTTGAATTGTTTTTGGGTTAAGTGTTCTGTTTAAGCATTTAATTAAGAATTAAATGCTTTGTGAAAGAGGGGGCAGATATTATAAGATTAGTCTTCTTTCTGCTCCCTTTCATTCAAAATATGAGTTTTTATGTTTGTTTGTTTTTCTTAACTTTATTGTTTGTTTTAATGAAATAAAATGTACAAATAAAAAAAATAATAAAAATTTAAAAAATGCAGTGCCTATTCAAAAAGTTGGCCTAAAAATGCGTAGAGATTTACAAGTTCCCTATGTGTACATTGTTACATAGCAGGAGCATTTGTAGCCTATTTTAATTATAACCTAGAGGTCAAACTATTAAACTATTAAACATTGTAGCTGTGGATGTCTATCCGGAACTCTGTCGTTTTTTATAAATGAAAATACTTCCACATGAAGTAGCAATATGTTGCGTTCAAAGTCTGAGCACCCTTTCCTTTCTTTTTAACAGACACATTGTATGATGTCTCGGCGTGTCCTGTCCTGACATGTCCCATTCAGATTATAAACCACAATAAACACGTTAAATACAGTTACCGGAGTGTCCCTCTCCAACAGACTCCGACGTGAACAGGAAAGTCTTCCCGCTGCGGGTTCCGCTCGGGTTCATCTTCAGGCTGGTCGCTGCAGAACAAAAAAAGTTGAATTTATATGCAATCAGCTTTGAAGGTGTCCGAGCAACGTGTCGCTGTGAAATCAAAGCAGCTTCTGATATCACCGACAGTTATATTGTAGCCTACGAGGCAGTAATGATTAACTCTGCAGGGCTGAGCTGATCTGACACATCTGCGCGGTCGACACGAGGAAACCTATTGACGACGGAAGAGACTTGAAGGCATCATGCTGATAAAACTACAACTCCAGGGTCTTATTCCTCCTCTGTGGTCGTTTTGCTGTCTCTGCCTATGTGCTGCTAAAGCAGGAATGTGGGTTAGAGTCCTTCAGGCAGCAGCCAGGACAGCCTCAAGATGGCGCTGTTATGACGTAACAAGTGAGGGGATATTGGAAAAAAAAAAAACACAACTTTGTGTCCAGAGAAATAACCAGTTTGCTTCCTTTATTACATCTTTATCATCATTTTTCCATCTTCTAGATAGATAGATAGATACTTATTATACAACTCAATTATCCACATGCTTTTGAAATTTAAATAATGTTTCTTTGTATAATATTTAAGGCTTTATATGCATGTTATTATTTTTTTTTGCGATAATATAAATCAAGTATCTCCTCTGAAAATAACTCTGTGAGTCATGACTGTCTACAATGGGTGTAACACCCGAGTCCCACTGTCTGTGATGCTTTCAGAGTTTTCAGAGTCCTATCTTCACTTTGTTTACATCGCCGGGACGGCCGGCTGACTCCTCCCCTCGTGTATAAAAGTTGTTTAATTGAGGGACTAGAGAAAAGAAGAATAACATACTGTACTCACTGCTTAACTGTGTTTCTAGATCACGCTCATTTCAGGTAAATTTACATGCAGTGTGAAGATACCAGCAGAATAAAGATTGTTAGCATTGCGAGTTGTCAAGGGCGACACCTGCTGGATAAAAAAAAAATCACATATAAAGCCTTTAACAAAAGAGCGGGTAAAACGCCTTGCAGAAGGAGATTTAAAAAGTATGAAGAGAATATAAAATACAATCATTTCAGAAGATTCAAACAACCAACAGTTTTTGTTTTTATTTAGCCTCCTAACATGTGACTACACTTTTGTGTCCTGTTGTTTTTTTTAATTCCTACAAACCTTTATTTAAGTAAAATTTGAATTAGCACATTTTAGTTTACAGTGTTTTCAAATGTGGTTATTGCTACTTTTATATAATTGAATAATAACATTGCTCATGTCATTTTGTTACCATCATGCAGGCTACAGTTGATCCTTTTCCTCCCTGCACTGCACTTCACACTTGTCCTACTTCCCCATTTAGAAAACTGATGATACACAGGCCACTGTTACACACACACACAAACACACACAGACGAACACACACACACTGTTGCAATGCATGAGGGGGGAAAAGAGACAGAATGCATACCTAACTTCATGGTTAATCTTATTCTAAATTTGCAAAAACAAACATGCGGCTGCTTTGAATAAAACTTGAAACGAGCTTTGGACCCTAAACACATGACAACACGGGTCCTTTTCTCATTTACTTCCATACAATTTAAGTTGTTTTTTTGTTGCTACCAGTGGAGTCGCATCCATACTGGCCTTTGGAAAAAAAAAAAGCATGTTTAAGTTTCACATGAGCTTTTCAGATCGGAGATTGAGGCTACCTTTTATACAAATTATGCTCAGAGTAAAATAAATGTCTACCTTGTTGTGGGAGAAATGAGTCCTTCTCCAAAGTCCATCATCATCTGGAAACTATTCATGTGTTTCAATTACATTTCATAATAATTTTACTGTAATGTGTAATGTTCTGACCTACGAGAGCTCAGCCTCTGGGGACCATGAATGTTTGCACCATTTTTTTTTAAACACTGGCTTGTCTGAGCTAAACCCAAGCATGAACGCAGTTTAAATACGTCTATTTGCATACATGAGCTGCCAGTCGTTGCTACTGAAAAAACAAGCTGCACACACACACACACACACACAGACACACAGGATGAGGAAATGAAGCAACTGGAGTGACTTCACTCCTTTATTGCTTTGCGAATAGCAGTGTGCCGAGAACAGAGCCCTTTGCCCTGAGAGATATCAGCCCAGACCTGGCCTGCATCCGAATCAGCTGATGGTAAGAACCGAGACTAAAGAGACGCTTTAAAATGATGTGTTGCTTTTGGAAAATGTAAAAACCTAAGGTCAGGATGATCTGCTGATATTTCTGTACTTGTGTGAATGTGCGCCATGAAAAGCAGGAAATGAAAGTATTGCTTGTTGATGTTCAGAGTAAATCCAGTTCTGTGTGGCGTTGGTACTCTCGCTTTAGTGAGGCCAATGAGACTTTGATTGAGGCAGCAGGTTAGTTAATGTGTAACACGGTAAAGGTGCAACCTTCAGCAGACATTCAGCTCGTACTGTTTAACTGAAACAGTTAGAAGAAGACCAGATCTCTGTGTTTGTTTGTAAAGCTTTTCAACAGGACTTTGTTGGGGTTTTTTAATTCTTTATATGAAGTTGATTAGCTGGTTGTGACCGTGAGAGTGCTGCTATGGTAAGTGTTGTACTTTTAATGCATTTTAAATAAAGCTTTAAACTGTGACACAGGCCCTTTTAGGTGTTATCTCTGTTGATTTCCTCTCTGATCTTTAATCCTCAATGATTCTGTACATGTCTGTCCGTGTTTGTTAAGCACGTTCACGTCGAAACAGGAGGGTTAAAGGTTTTCATGTGACTCTCACACCGGCTGCTTTCACTGCTGAGAAAGCATCTCTTTTCCTGTTAACTCTACAGGAAGTGAGGTTTGGTCATTGAAAATAATGACTGTTGAAACAGACGTTATTCCTCAAACATTTGACTTTTCTCTGTCAGTGTTGTATTCATTTATAATTTATAATATACTCTGTTTGTGTCACCAGCACTCAGCACTCAGCACGAACAACATGATCTACTTTGATCTAAATCCTATAGGCCGACAGAATAATGGATGGTATCTCCTATTTATCACACTGTCCTCCTTTTTTTGAATGTACAAAATAACTTATCTTGGTGTCTGACAAATTATTTAGCGTCATGCTTTTCATTAATTTGATGTATTTCCTGTTTTTCTGTATGATTGCTTGTTTCTTCTTCATTTCTCGTTTCACATGTTCTACACAATTTTAAATCATTGAACTTTTTTTTATTATGTTTTGGAAGGCATCTCGCGACCTCCCTCTCAGTTTTCTCACGACCCCCCCAGTGGGTCCCAACCCCCACTTTGGGAACCACTGGGATATGATACGATACTGTATGATATGATATGATATGTGTATCCTGCATGGTTTATGTATTTTCACCTGTGGCTACTTTCCTGTCTTCTTCATTTCCGTCATGATATTTCTATTTGTAGCTTTTAACAACGTTTGAATTTGGGTTTTTTTGAGGACAATGGATGAAAATTTGCCTTTTGTCTAACTCTGGCATATTTACAGAAATGTTTATTAATATTTACTTGTTTATTAATATTTACTTTATTTTTTATTTATTTTTGTAAATAAATACAATAAAAAATATGACATGATATACGATAAGATATGTAGTATAGGGTAGGATACTATGATATGATATGATATATAGGATATGATACGTAGGATATAAGATAAAATAGGATACTATATGATGCGATAAAATACATCGGATATGATACTATATGTAGAATATGTGGAATAGGATACTAAGTGATTGAAGACAAAGGATAGGGCGATACAATTAGATTGGATATGAATAATATGACAACATAATATGATATAATGCACTTTATTGTCCCCTTGGATAAACATGTCTTGGACTCCTGAGCAGCAGAATCAATAAACAAACACCAGTACATGTGCAGTATGGGTTATGTACAATGACCTTTGACCTGCTCTTTTGTAAAGATAACATTTGTTATGAATGTGTGCTATACAAATAAAGATTGTTTGATTGAACAGAAACGACGATGTAAAAAAACAAACATTTTCATTACTATCTAACTGAAACGTTTCACAGTCATTAACATATACAAGGTCTTTTTTATAAGTAGGCTACTCTTCCCCCTCCACTTTTCCACTCGAGCTTCTCTAACAAGTGTATTTTCACAAATGTTGAGTCAATGAGAAGGGCGTTTTCTTATGAAGCAGACTTGAGTAAGATATACACCGTTCAATATCTTCATTTTCGGCTCCTCAGGCTGACTCATACCCTCAGGCGCCGGCCTCCGGCTCAGCCGCCAAACTGGACCATGTGCAGGGTCAGGTGAACGAGGTGAAGGTTATCCTGTCAGACAACATCAGCAAAGTTCTGGAGAGAGGAGACCGGTTAGACGATCTGATGGGCAAGACTGACGACCTGCAGGCGTCTGTGAGTACCTCCTGTTCATGACTTCAATTCTTTTTTGACCCATTAAAACAACAAGGGCGTCAGCTTTATGTGAGATCGTTAACTATGAGGTGTCATCAGAGGTGCTGCTTGTCGACTATTTTTAAACTCACAGGAGTAAAGCTGTCTCGAACCTTTCTGACAGTCCTGTAGACGAGTTCATCATAAAGGTATTTCTCCTTTAAATATCAAACATCTGTTTAAGGACAAAATGACAAACGTTTTTTAAAAGGCAAAACTTGGAAATCGTTCAACAGAGGAAACACTATCACTATCTGACGACCCTCACAAGTCTTACCCAAGGACTCTTTATAGTAACCTAACCTCTAGTTTTTGAACCAGTGGTCTAAACTACCTGTATGAAAATAATTCAAAAGACTTTCCACCTCTCCTCTGTAATGAAGAAGTGTAGGACTGAAGGAGCCTTTCGGAGGAGAGGTGAAACATCTTCAAGATCTTCAACCAAGTCCAGCTACCTTTGGATCACGCTTCAAACTGACTTATTGAATAGTTTTCTTAGATTCTTGTCCTCTGTAATCCAGCCTGAAACCAGCCTTCTGCTGCAATCAGGATAATCCAGATTTTATTTTGGGATTCAAGTCATCCTTTTTCCTCTAAAAAGTTTTTTTTAAAACAATATAAACCTGATATTTTATCCAGTTAATAAAACGGATTGGATTACCAGATTTTACCAGATTACGTTATGCTTTCTTTGAACAACCTGATTTCAAGATTTGATACTATTTCATACTTTAGTCATGTTGAATTTCAAAGTCTTCTGGATTACCTGATCTTGAATGTAAGTGCATTACCAAATCCTGATCACTCTTATCCAGGTTAAACCTTTAGAACAACAGGACCCCAAAACCGTCAAAAGACCTTAAAGGGGACATGTTATTAAAAATCCTCTTCTACAGTGTTTTTGAACATATATTTGGGTAACCTGAGTGTCTACAGACCCACAAAATGTGAAATAAATCCATCCAACTTTGTTTGTGGTCTGCATAAGTCTTACAACACCGAGAAAAATGCTCCGTTTCAAATGTGCTCTCCTTGTGATGTCACAGTGGGATTCTGGTAAAAAAGAGAAATCCCCTCCCCTCCATTGATATCTCCACCCATGGACTCCACCCCCAGCCTAGAGAAAAACTCTTGCACATGTCGTCCATTTTTATTCTCACTACAGAGGAGTGATGTCTACGGGGAAAACTCAGGGGGGCTCATTGCATTTAAAGAGACACACGCACCAAAACGGAGCGTTCTGAGAGAGCTGGTTTATACAGGGTCACAAACCTCCTCTGGTGCTTGATGCATGTTATATTTTGACCAAAGCACAGCACAGATGTTTCATTTAGACCACAGGGGACTGTTTGAAGAGGTGGAGAAGGGGGATCATATGTCCTCTTTAAAAGGTCTAGTGTCCCTTCAGGTAAAAGAGGAATCTGAAAACGTCTTTCGTCACTTGATATTATTTTTTTCCCTTCCCCCCCTTCAGGCCGACTCATTCCAAAGAACGTCCACGCGGGTCGCCAGGAAATACTGGTGGAAAAACATAAAGATGATAATCATCATCTGTGTGGTCGTTCTCATCATCCTCATCCTCATCATCCTCGCCGCCACAGGGGTGATTTAAGCGATCACCGTTCGCTCGTTCACCAACTCAGGACTCAACGTTTTTATTTTAATTCAATGTTATCTTCAACTTGAGTGTATTTGATCATGTCAACAGGTCTCACATTTCAAGATAGATATATTTGTGTACATTTTGAAGCAGACGTGATTTTGTTGCGTCTGCAGGTTTTATTGATTAGGTTTCTTTTTGTCCAGCGCTGATGTCGTGAAAATCTACTTGTTGAAATCTTGGCTGAAATGTTTCCTGAAACACTCCACACTGATATTTGATATTTCACAAAGGATCACAAACTCAATTAGTATTTTATTGTTTTTATTGTTGCATTTCTTATTGTTTAATTACCTGTGTGTATATATATATGTATGTGTATATATATATATATATATATATATATATACTGAATGTTGTCAAACTCTGTAATAACATGTGTATCATATGACTGATGGCTATGATGGGGAGGATAAATAGCGACAAAGCGTTTGTTTTTTTTTGTTTTTTTTGCTACCACATTTTTGTATATATATATATATATATGTGTGTGACCTCCCCTCCCCTCCCCCCAATTAGTCTATGATTTCCGTTTATGGAATAAATGAAGCAATTCACAAGAAGCATATAAGAACAATAAATACAAAAACATGAAGGATGAAGAACGCAAACTGCAGGAGTCTAAATAAATGCAGAACACCCCAAAGAATCCAAAACGATTTAGAGACACAACGAATACTTCGGTAAGTTTAGAGGACAAATGTTTCGTAGGTCAAAGTGCTCCTCGTTTATTTTCTTACGATCTGCTTAGAGATCTTTGCTGGATACCATCATCTGTGTGTGGCCAACGCTGTCTTTTATCACTCTGACACCTGTGGAAAACAAACAGAAACACACGAGTTATAGACGAACGACTCCCAAGGTTTCACTCTAAAATAAAATAAAAAAGTATAGGAATCCCCCGTGTTTATTATGTCCAATGTAAAAGCAAAAAGCAAACTGAGGAGAATTATTTTACAGTTAAAAAAAAAATTATTAGTTAGTCCATAAGCTAGAAATCCTGAAGTGCAATAAATTGAAGACGTCAAAATTACTAAATGGAAGAAACCTTCAATTGGTCAAAAATTAAAATACACATTTAAAGAAAAGCATTACATGCAAATTACGGGAGATGTAGCGACACTCTGATTCTTCTTTGTTTTACATCAAAAAAAGGTTATAAGAGGAAAAATTGTTACAAGAAAATTAACAAATGAGGAGTCTCTTCCATCGCTGTCAGTAACACAGAACAGAGCAAATACATGTACACAAAGTAAAAGCACTTTATCCCCCAACACGGTAGCATCCAGGTTTTAGCTCATGGACTACTGGCTACAAGAGCTAAATAAAGAAACAAGCGTTTAAGATTAAGATTAGGAATGCATGTGTATATTAACAACTGGAAAGTCCAGAGAAAGCTGTACGTATCCTTTGAAAAGCAAATAGTTAATTGTATTCATTTTATTTACAGATTACTTGTGGGGGGGAGTAAGGGCCTGTAAAAAATGACAATTACATGTGTATATTTTACGTTTTACATTAACAACAGTTTCAAACAACTTAAAAATGGAAAGAAAGATGACAAAGCTGGACGTGTCCCATATTGATTTTTTTTTAGATTAGAAATGCTGATACAGGATGTTGTAAGACCATACCAAATGGCAGCATTCGAGAGCGTATGCTTCTCGTACCCGGTCCGCATTGAGCGGGCCCTGAGAGTATCTGGGAGTCAGCTCATGGCCTGCAAGGAAGCTCCGCTGGCAGGTACAAACAAGGTATGTCAGAGTTAGGAGACAACATACTTCCTTTTCTGTTTCCTTGCACATCCTTAACTTTGGCAACTGTAGTAGCAGTACTTTACCTGTTAACTTTACAGTTTAAAAAAAAGAAGAAAAAAAAAAAACGAAGGTGCAAAAGAGGCAGCAGAAGGCCGGCTGTTAAAATAAATCACCACAAAGAGTGTAGCCTCTATGTTACCACTACTGTAAGGAAATTTACAAGAACAAATTACACATAATGTTACCAAAAAACACCAAAGTCAATAGATCTACTTTTTAAGTTTACGGTAAGTGGAGTATTTCTGTCTTTACATACCTACTTGAAGAAGAGGTTTTCACTCTTTAATACGGCTTGTAACTGTTGGTGTGACCACCACGCCGTGGCGACTTGCCATATCCACCAGATTGATCTACAGGTGTGGCACAAAATTTAATTTCAGACAATTTTATGGTTGAAAAAAATAAATGAAATAATTGACATGAAACTGAAGCGTATCAGGGTGTTTTATTGAAGGGTTTTCTTACTGTTGTAGTCACCATATCCATAATAGTTGTTGTAACCAGGGTAGTCATAGCCACCATATCCTCCATAGCCTTGATTACTGTAACCATAATTGTCATAATTGCCATAGCCTTGATTCCAGTAGTTGCCGTAACCCTGGTTCCAATTCTGATTGGGACCTGAAATTCAACAGGATTTAAATTTAATCACATTTCATCAACACATCACCTCACATCTGTTTCAATTCACCTAAAACTGCAAATTAAAAATCGACAGAGGCTCTCTTCATGTTGCTCTCTCTTGAAGAGTTTATCGTCTATTTTTAATAGAATGGGACCGTTTATTAATAATTGGACATGATGCTGTATTCGAGAACACATTAAACTAGTGATTAAACTTGTTAGGAAAATGTTTATTGAAGTCATAAGTCCAGTTTCCAAGAAGGCTCATTTTCTCAGACTTCTTTGCAATGGTTTAGTCGCCCCCTGCTGGCCTTTAGAGGGAATGCATTTTGAAGCCACTTCTGCTTGGCTTCACACTTCACACCAGGAGGCTACATCACTTTTTTTTTTTTTTTTTTTAAACAGTCTCTGGTTATCACAGCAGAACAGGAATATCAGTGAACAAAAAAAATATAAGTGGAGGTTTTATGGGGGGGGGGGGGGGGGCATGTACCAGACCAACAGTAACATAATGAGCCCTTGGTATACTTTTAACCCATTTAGATAACATCAGTACTGTGCTTACGTCTTAGGCCACCATTAGCTTTGTCGTTTTAGCAAAGTTTTAAAGAACGTCTGTATTTAGTAGTCAGTCTCTTTATTAAGAAAAAAAAAAAAAACAGAAATTACATTCAACATGTACACTCACACACACACATACACAAAGAAAAACACATTTCAGAACAACCTGGCTTCTACAGGCCAAAGTCAATATTGAGTGTGGCTGCCCTTTGCACTTTCCACATCTTGCGTTCTTATGGAAAGACTGTCTTGAGTAATCTTTATTACACCAGGTTTTCACCACACATACCACAGTTCTTCTTTAGAGTGGGCCTGTCTGTTATTACTTTTACTTTCCAGGTGATCCCATGCTGCTTTCATAAAGTTCAGGTCTGTCAGTGTGTTATCAGCGGTTGTCTCTCCAAAGGCGGTGGTGTTTGGGATCACCGAGGCTGCTTACACCTTGCATTAACATCCGTCCTGGGCGATCTGACAACCAGCTGACAGCACTGGAGTACAGGCGTTTTACACTTTGCATTAACGATGTATTTCAAGCGCTCTCGCGTCATCTCAATATCAAAGGACTGAATGAGTCATTGTTTACACCCGATTGTTCTCCCAGTTAAGCGGGCGGTCCTCAATGCATCAGCGTTTACAATACCAAACCATTGTGGACAAATGCGTGCAAGACCTACTCAGGACACTTTGGGTTGTGTTCACATCTAATGTTAACGTAATCCACTTGTTATCAGAGATCACCCAGGACGGATGATGTAAGGTGTAAAGAGCCTCATCGACACTACAGACATGCAACCCCAAACCATGACAGACCCCCCCCCCCCCCCCCCACCACCATGTTTCACTGAAGGCAGCGAGCACTCATTCTTCCATCTCTTCTTCTCACACATCGTCGACACTGGACCCAAAAAATGTCAAACTTGGATTCATTACTCGATTATCCATTTTCTTTCCAACCTTTGTAAGCGTTTGCATAACTTTTCACCCTTCTGAAAAAAAGCTGCTTCTTGGGTGCTAACCCTTCCAACAAAGACACTTCCTGTTCAAGCTTCTTCGGACCGTCGAAGGGTTGCACTCGGCATCCTTATCGCACGATGAGCCGGATCCTCGCTGAAGTTCTTCTGGACTCTCAAAAAGAAACTCTGAGAAAACTTCTCACCACATGTTGAGAGTCTTCAAGTCAAAATATTGGACTTCCACTTATTTCCCTTTGAGAGTGGCCGTGCCGAGTCAATGTCCGTCAAAGTTCTGTGACGTTTAACACTTTGAAAGCAATAATGTGATGAAAGTTTATCTTACACCAAAACCATGAATCTAATGGTGGCCTAAGTCTTTTTGCAGAGTACTGTGTATTCCCTCCCAAAACAATCCAACCCTATTCTTCTATCAAATTCATGTTTTCATCATAAAGAAGAAGATTTGATGCGTTCTTGTGTGTCTTCTTAACCAATTAAATCACGACATCAAGCCATCAATCATATTTAAATTTGTCGGTTAGCTAGCGACAGCCACTTTTTAACATTTAACTCCAACAGCTCTCAATGAAAAGTCCAACCTGCCGGTCCTATTTAACTCTGAAACAAGTTCAAGCAGCTAGTTAATATCAACATTTAGTTTCATCTCAACTCTACAGAAACAAATAAGATATGATTAAATAGGTCCAACATCATAATCTCTTATCTTTGTATTTATGTGTCATAATCTGCTGTTTAGTAAACATTACTTTATTTAGCTCTTTACATGTAACACGAACACGTTCTTCACTTACCGCCACCTCTTCCTCGAGACCTGGATGAGTATCCGCCTCGGCCTCCCCAGTACTGCTGCTGCTGGTACTGCTCCTTGGACATGGCCACTTTTATTTCACACTGAAGAAACACGGACGATGTAGATTTATTTACTGAGTGATCGTCTGTCACGCCCAAACAATAACCAGGTTTTTAAGAAAATGTGAAATGTAAAGGAAGAAGCCCGTACCTTGCTGAGTCCGATATTGTGGTACTTCTTCTCCATGATCAGCTTAACTGGCTCCTCCTCTTTGAAGGTGATGAAGCAGAAGCCTCTCCGCTTGTTTGTCTTGTTCTCCATGGGGAGTTCGATTGACTCCAGCTGTTTGATTAAATGATGTTAATAAAAGGACGGGGTACATGTTCATTAAAGCTCACAGTCGCACACATAAAGAAAGACGTTCACCTCTCCGAAGGCACCAAAGTACTCTCTGACTTTCTCCTCAGGAGTGTCTGGAGAGAGACCGCCGACAAAGATCTTCTTCACCGGCTCCTTACTCTTCATGGCCTTGGCTTTTTTGGGGTCAATGACCTTTCCATTCAGTTTGTGCTCCTTCTGCAAGGCGACCTGCACAACAAAACACACGACGAGTAAAAGCAGGGTCACACTGAAAGATCAGAACTTCTTGATTCAACTTTGTGTTTATTGTTTTTGTACCAAAACACCAACTCAGAGTCTTTATATGTGTGAATTAACTCTGCACTGTCTGCTTTTTAAAACAATGCTGTACATATATAAACAACACGACTTCAGAATGTCAACACTTTTTTATATTCAGGTCTAATTACAGATTTTCTTTTTCCCTCAACTGTTTTTAGGTTCTTGTTTAAATCTCACATGTATTTTTATCCCTGCACAGGTTATGTACATTTCTTGTATAAGTCTATTTTTAATTGCACAGTTTAAGTTTGATTTGTAACAAATGTTTCATGTCATGTCTTTGTAACCTGCTACTGGATGCTTTGAATTTCCCTCGGGATCAATAAAATATCTATCTATCTAATGTGCTTGTCAATAAACCAGATTCTGATTCGAGTTGCATTTTAATTCAGACATTCGGGTTATTAATTCCATGTTTTTTCTCATTTATCATGTTATAATAATATAATAATAATCATAGGACCAGGCACTTAGTTTCTTTGGAATCAGCGAGGTTGGAACAGATTCTGAAAACATATATTTGTTATATCTGACAGCTTCTTTTTCCACGTTATGCTTACAGCAGCATGAAGCTTGGTTAGTGCTTCATGCACATCATGTAACCACGGCGTATTGCAGCCGGATGATACTCGGCATGGAAAACTCTACAGACTGAATTAAAACTCCCTGAACTTATTCCACATGGAGATTTCCGTTCCATCTCGAGGGACAGACAGCGTGAGACCATTGAACAGCGCCTGTGTTTTTAAAACCTTAAATCGTTTGTTTTTATTGTTGCGTCACAGCTCACACACTTTCTTTTTCTTTTTTATTGAAAGCACTATGTTTGTTAATCTGTACTGTCACTGTTCTTTTAGCATGACATGGGGCGGCAGTAGCTCAGTCTGTAGAGGGTCGCCGGTTCAAGTCCGGGTGCGGGACCAAATATGGAAGTTGGTCTGGTAGCCGGAGAGGTGCCAGATCGCTTCCTGAGCAAGGCACCAAACACCCTCCAGAGCGCCCGCTGTGGGCCGCTCCGTCACCCTGACATCTCTCCATCAATGCATGACCACATGATCCTGTTTGTGCATGTGTGTGTGTGTGTGTGTGTGTGTGTTGCATTTACACACCCCCCCCCCTTTGTGGAAGAGATCCTGACCTCAACGGGTTCTTTATCTGTTACAATGACATGAGCCTGTGTTTTTAAAACCTTAAACTGTTTGTTTTTATTGTTGCGTCACAGCTCCCACACTTGAAAACACTATGTTTGTTAATCTGTACTGTCATGTTGCTGCTGACCTCTTGGCCTCTCTTTTCCCTTTGTGGAAGAGATCCTGACCTCAACGGGTTCTTTATCTGCTTAAATAAAAAGGTTAAATAAATACCTTCTCAACACTCTCAGGATCTTTGAAGAGCACAAAGCCAAAGCCCCTTGAACGACCGGTCATGGGGTCCAGCTTTAACGTGCAGTCTACGACCTCTCCATACTTGGAAAAGTAGTCTTTCAGGTCCTTCTTGGTGGTGTCCCAGCTGAGTCCTCCTACGAACATCTTCCTGTCAAAATTGAAGGCGACAACTGAGAAAGCAGCACTTTGGTTTTTTTGTGTGTGTGTGTGTGTGTACAAACGCAGCTGTGTGACACCTGGATGGCAGCATTGAAAGAAGAAGAAGAAGAAACCGTACCCCTCGTCCTCCTCGTTTTTACTGGCGTCGATCCTTGATCCCTCGGCCTCGCCCCCCATCAGGCCACAGTCCCCGGCCGCAGACATCGGGTCATCACTGTTTGCTTCTCCGTCTTCTTCCATTCTCATCATGGCTGTGTCTTCGCTGAATTCATAATCTTCCGACATGTTTCTTGTTTTTTTTTTACCTTTTCACGGTTCCAGCTGAAGTTCTCCAAAAAGAATAAAATCACCTCCAGCTACGTCAGAAGCAGCTAAGTTAGTTAGCTTTGTGTGTGTGTGTGTGTGTGTGGGGGAAATGTTCCTCTATAACTCTGAAGGTTTACAAAGAGTCACGTTAGTTTGAGTAAATGGAATTGATGTCTATGTTTCGGCCGAATGTGTTGCAGTAAGGCAGAATTTGGTGTCGCTAGCTGCGATTTGAGAGTAGATTTTTTTTTTTTTTTTTGGGGCTTCAGTTTGTTTTCATCGCAGCCTCTTTTCCTTTTACTTCTTCTTCTTCTGTTTTTTTTAGGTTTAATGGCGGTCGGCAAAACAACGGATTCGGCATTTCCGCCACCTACCGGTATGGAGTTTGGATCGGAATAAGATTAAGATTAAAATAATCTTTTATTTATCCCACAGCGGGGAAATTTACAGTGTTACAGCAGCAAAGTGAACACAGTACAATATTAAATAAAAAAAAAAAAATTAAGAATGTACAAAAAAATAGATACTAAAAATAGATTTTGAAAAATTAAAAAAAGAAAAATAATAAAAAATAAATAATAATAATATATCTAATTATATATATACTTTTCTACAAATAAATTAAATAAATTAAAAACAATTATTTAAATAAATTAATGAAAAATTATATCTCCTCAATTTTTCAGTTTTTCTAAGTTGCCAAAATCTATAACATTTATTCTCAGAGTTTCTATGTAGAACGTGTATTATATTACAGTATTATTTATTTATTTATTTATTTATTTATTTATTTATTTATTTATTATTTATTTCATTATTTCATTACATTATTATTGTCTCTGCATTACTGTGGTACAACACTGCCTCTCTTCTCTGCTGTTTACATTACTTTCTGCTATTTTATCACACAAAGTCACTTTAATCATCACTTGTCACTTTATCTTGTCATTCCTTTCACACACTGTCTCAACTCCCTGCAACTTCATCATTCATTTTGTACTTGTATATACCCCCTATTTTATTTTTATTTATCTTATCTAATCTATTCTGTTTAATATGTATTTTGTATTTTGAACCTTACTTGTCTGTGCTGCTGCAACGCCCGAATTTCCCCTCTGGGGATCAATAAAGTACTTTCCTATCCTATCCTTAACTTCTATTATAGCTGTATATTTGTAAATTGATGTTTTTAGTTTAAATTTTATCGATTCATTGTTACTTTGTTGTGCATTTTTATCTCTGCTTTTTAATAGGACCTTGAGTGTTTTTGAAACGTGCCAGTAAACAAAATGTATTATTATAACTACATTTATTATTATTATTATTATTATTATTATTATTAGATCAGGATATAATTTTGAGATATGACAATCTGTGATTAGCACTGCCGAGATTCATATGTACACCTTTTTATGTGTTGTTGGTTGTTTCTTTGCCTTGTCTTGAATTAATATATATATACTGATTTTTTGGTGTATGTTAAATGCTGAAAAACAATTTTAAAATGTTCTCTTAATGATGTGTTTTGAATCAGCTGTCTTCTTTAAACAGCATATTCCTGACAGTGTAGTATAACATGTTCCACTGTGTCCTCTTGTCCACAGTATTCACATCTAACTTACTATGTTTAGCTTTTTTAAATAATGTGGTAATCCAGCATGTTCAAATCTTAGTCTAGATATTATTGTTTCCTTTTCTACTATTTATTTTTTGCACTTCTCATTTCACCAACCTTCATTTCTTCCTTTGCCTTTTTAATTTAGGCTATGTATAATATTTAAAAATGTAAATGTCCCTCTGTATTTTGTCAAATTTTTTGTCCAAATATTATTTTACATTTTCTATTTAAATTCTAAAATGATAATAAAACAACCAGAAAATAACATAAAAGAAAATAAAAGATCGCGACTTCTTCTACGGTCGCGGTAGCACAATCACGCTCATCAGCGCCACCTATCGACCGGCAGGTTGCACTTACAGCTCTGAGCCATGTGTGCTGCTCACTTCCAGTCCAGTAGCTCCGAGGTGATGGCGAGTGTAGCTAGATGGTAGCTAACAGGTAACCCAGGTGGTACGTTTCTTAGCGTTTGGATTAACCTACTCTACTGTCAGCTGTCCCGTGAAAGTCTGCCGGCGAGGAACAACTCTGCCCCCCTTTTTTATTTACACACTGCAGCTAATTAAAGCTAACGCCAGCTAGCTGACCAGCTGCAGACTCTCCTTAAAAATGGCCACTGTTTCAGTCCCTGCACGTACCAGTGCACTCTTGCTGGATATTGAAGGAACAACCACGCCAATCACATTTGTTAAGGTATGCTGTTTTACATGTTTTTGTTTTAGCGGTGGCATGCTTGGTCTTTTTAATAGCATTGTTAGCTTCTATGCAACGCTTTCCTGCTGTCATGCTAGCTTCCTGCAGCCTGTCACCAGGAGTAGTCAGCTTAAGTAGCTCAATTACACGGTGTTTGACTGTTACAACCCTCAACCGAAGTCAGGTTATACCTCTTCTTATTTATTTTTCATGCTTACACACGTTTTGAGTCATTTCTTTAATTATTTTCTGCTTTAATTGTAAATTACGATTTTTTATTTTTCCACACTGTCTTAAGAAACAGACCATATGTTGCGTTCAAGTGATATCCAAGTAATCGGGATTTAACATGTTATTAACGTTGACGTTAGCGTTTAAGTCATCGTAAAAAAGTAAATAGAGGTGGGAAAATCTGAAGTATACTTTTATGAAAGCTAATGTTTCGTAAGAAGGGAAGTGCCTGAACACAACAACAATAATAATACAGCTTTATCTATATGGCACCTTGAAAAACACAGGTCTTTAAATTGCTTTGAAATACATCGAAAGCATAAAAGAATTAAGCAAATAAGGGGGAAAAAAATCGAACAGCGAAACCACAACAACAAAACTATGGAGGACGAGATCTGACAGAAGTATAAATAAATACTGGAATAAATAATAAAGAATGAATAAATAAATAAAAACTGGTAAATAAATGGGACATAAATAATTAAATGTCTTGAATTTATTTCTACATTTATTTATTTCTACATTTATTTATTTCCATATTTATTTATTTCTACATTATTTCTACATTTATTTATTTGCACATTTATTTATTTATACATTTATGTATTTCAATATTTATTTATTATACATTTCTGTGAATAATCTATAAATAAATGTAGAAATAAATTTAAGACATTTAATTATTTATGTCTCATTTATTTACCAGTTTTTATTTATCTATTCACGCATTTAATTATTGATTTATTGATTTATTTATACTTCTGTCAGATCTCGTCCTCCATACAAAACAAGTCTACAGCAAAATAACCGCTGCAACAAAATACTCAACAGACATATTTAACCCAACCATCATAAGAACAAACATGAAGAATAATCGGCACAGCAACAGTGTTTGACACAAAGTAATACAACCTGATTGTATCAGTAATCCTCAATAGTGGATTTTATTATAACCCGCACAAACCATTTTGAATCACACAGCTGTTATGAGTTATCAAAAGACACATTACTCATCGTTTCCAAATGTCCCATATGCTGTGAACGCCCCATAATATAATGCAATAGAATAGGACATCTGGGCTTCATACTCAAACTGATGCAATGTCATAGAAAGAAGCTGAGTACATTTTTCATTTAGAGTTTGTAAGCAAATGCAAAGCAGTACTTTGTCTGTCTTAATTGTGTTACATATATTTTTTCTCTCTGTGTAAGTAGCCTCTAACACATCTAATGACTCAACGTTTTCTCTTTCAGGATGTATTATTTCCATACATCAGGGAGCATCTTGAAGATTATTTGTCCTCCCACTGGGAAGAAGACGAGTGCAAACAAGATGTTCATCTCCTAAAGAAACAGGTAAAGGAGGGCGGAGTTGCCGAGAAGAGGGTGTGCAGTTATACCAAGATGGTCATGCAAAATGTTTTTTTCTATAAAAGTCTTAAAATTACTTTTTTTTTTTTTGGGCCCAAATTGGTCGTAAATAAAAAAAATCCTTTATTCTTTCTTTCTTTTTTTTTTAAGCATGTCAAATATCATTAATTAACAAAAAGGCCAGACTCAGTATTTCGACAAAAGATGACACAAAACATGCGGTAATGCTGCGTTCAATGAGACATGTGATTGTTGCTGCAGATTGAAGAGGACATGAGACAGCATCGCTCGTGTCCTGTCCACACCGTGGATCAGACGGTCCACACAGACGAGGAAAAGGCCATCAGAGAAGTGGTGGATAATGTGCTGTGGCAGATGGCAGCGGACAGGAAGTCCACAGCACTCAAACAGCTCCAGGGTCACATGTGGAGAGCGGCTTATTCTTCAGGGAGAATCAAAGGCGAGTAAGTACAATGGTCCTTTTCCTCACTTTGTGATTCAGACAGATGCTTTTGTGATTTGGCAAGGTTTCCAGAAACATTAACGATATGAATAATTAACGTGCCTGGAAATGTCATCCACAAGGAATGTTTGAAAACATCTTGGAAACATCATTTATAACACACATACTGGAAAATAAAAACTCACATGATTGAGCTTGAATAGTGAGTTTTTGTCTTGTGCAGATATCTTAAAAGTTCAGGGAAGTATGTCAACACTGAACTTGTTGTTCAGTACTCTGCAGAGAAGTTTTCACTTGTAGGGGAGGCTGGTAATCCTGGGCGTGACTCCATTAGCCCTCCACATCAATGAAATATTAATAACCAAGATGTAAAACTCTAAAACACAGTCAGGTTGGTGGTGTTCAGTTGAATTGGCCCACATGGTGGTCATGTGACTGCACATTTCGAGCTGATAAAGTTAATTTATTTGTCTGTTGACAAACTGTAAATGTGCAAATAATCTAGGATCAATTAATAAATGATTTTAATTATTTCTCTCCTCACTATTATTGTTCTTTTTGCTTTATTATGTTCATTTTCTATTATTTTTATGTCAGTTTTATTTATGAAAAACCTTCCCCTGATACTCTTTAATTCCAGCCTGTGTTCATTTTTCATTTAAATGTATTAATAAAATAATTGGAATCATATTCATTTATAATTAAAGCAACACTCACCTGGAGTCTCACAGTTACTTATTGATTTTACCGTCATGACCAAAACTAATAACAAATGGATCCGGGTCTCTTTTGAACAATTTGAAATGGCGCTATATTTGATGTTTATGGACGTTAAGTTTATGCATCAATGTTTTAATTATTCATCAACAAAGATTGTTCTAATCATAATGTCTTTATGATCCATGTTTGAAATAGTTGTGAACACATGCTCTTGTTGCTCACAGGGTCTATCAGGATGTAGTTCCTTCCATCAAAAGATGGAGAGAAAAAGGACTCAAAGTGTTCATTTACTCCTCTGGAAGTGTGGAGGCTCAAAAACTTCTGTTTGGATACTCTGTCGAAGGAGACGTTTTAGATGTAAGTGACCCCGACTCTTCACTCACAATGTGACCCTTCCTATTTTAATACAAACATACTAACCGGCTTCAACTTTGTACCATTATTCATGTCACTTTAAACCTCATTTTATTAGTTTAATTGTGTTAAAAACTCAGGCTCTTGGTGCTCTGACTAACAAGATGCTGTCATTAATCTTCTCAGTTATTCGACGGTCACTTCGACACCACTATAGGAGCTAAAGTAGAGAGTAAAAGCTATGAGAGGATTGCGGAGAGGATCGGCTGTCCACCTGAGGAGATCACATTCTTGACAGACGTCACTCGAGGTCAGTATGTTCGTAACATTCTGATTATAACCGTCTTGAAAAGTGGCCGAGATGTCTCACCTCTAATTCATAATTTCCACTCCACGAGTAAAGAGACTTTTCTGATCCCGTGACACCAACATTTACAGTTTTGTTTTTTCTATTGAGGTATCTTTTCAGCTTTTGTCATAAAAGACCGAATTGTAAAAACTTCCCCGCAAACTTTTATGAAACACAATCTTTCACGACTGTTCATGAAGGACTAATGGTGCTTTCACACTTGCACAAAACTCCACAAAACCTGAGCTGGCAAACACTTAAAAGTTTTTATCACGACTTTTCCCAGAGTTTTTTCTGCCAGCACCCTGGTAAATTATTATCTGCTTGAAGTTGGGGTGAGCTGCATGTGTGAAAGCAGCGGGAGGTCTTCAGGAAAAGTCACCACCAGTGAGAGTTTGGGGACGATGACATATTATATCCAGCGTCTGGTACAATCCCCGTGCACTTAATGAAACCGCTTCATTTTGTTTTCTTTTTGCCAGTTGTTCTTCTCCACTCTTTTGATGATCCTGAGAATATGCCGATCTACACGTAGCACTTATAGACTTTAATTAAAAGAGGAAAATTCTCATTAAACTCGGTTGCATCGTTAATTTCACGTCTCGTACTGCCTCCTGAGACGCTCCCCTCCGCTGTAAGGATTATGTGTGAACTAAGCAAGTCAGGAAGATTTCAGGGGCAGCCTGCCTGACATTGTGTAGAAATGATCAGGAGTGAATTTGTGAGAAAGACTCAAGACCACAAACTTTAAAACTACTGCACATCATCAGCATGTCAGCAATAGTATCATGTAAAAATAGCATTTGGTTTAAAGTTCCTCCTCACAAAGTTGCAAGTTGTTGTTGCCTTTGGGAGTTTCCATGTCAACAAACTTTTGTTTGCATTCAGTGTTTGTGAAAAAAAAAACAAAAAAAACCAACACATTGTGTTTATCCCTGAGGTCTGACAAACAGGTTGAGTCATTTTTTTATTTCCTTAGAAACGGCACACCAGTATGCATTTCCCTTTTATTCAGTTTCGTTTGTATTAATGTGTGGAAATCTCAACATTTATACTCTTGTCGTTGCAGAGGCTAAAGCTGCTGAAGAAGCCGGGGCTAATGTGGTGGTGGTGGTCCGTCCTGGAAACATGGAGCTGACGGATGAAGAGAGGGGTCACTATAACCTCATCACATCCTTTAGCCAACTTGAACTGTCGGGACGTGCTTAACAGAGAGCATGGATTTTATTGATCTGTTCCATCTCTTCTCTACCCACAAACCCCTCCTCACACCTTACCCGTCACCTTTTTTCTGACTTTTTTTTTTGTTTATTCCACTTTGACCATTCAGGACGTGTATGCTGCTGGGACAACAGTCAGGCTACAGAAGTCCCAGCCTGTAGGACATTTATCACTATTGGTCTTTCAGGATGCCTTTCCTAGGAACCTCTCATGGACCTTTTCATGAATCTGGAAAGAAAAAGAAAAAAACCCTTCTCATGACCCTCAACGTTACTGTTTTAGACCAACCACAATTGGTATCCAGTTTTCAACCACTCCAATGTTAGTCCAAACTGTCCCTCTGTATGTGTGTGTGTTGTATTTGTCCCCATTTTCTAAGCATTTCCCAGTTGTGCCGTTTCCTCCCTCTAAAGACATGAAGTTTTATCCTGTGATAGAACCTTGTTGATGTTTTAGAAAGTAGAAACCACAGTAGAGATGTATCGAGAAATGGTGCTGCTGACAGAGAGTTCTCATTTCAGACTTTGTTTGAATGTCTTAATTGTACTCCCTCGCAGGTGAATGGTGTCTATTTAAATGTGCCATCCTTGTTGGTCATAATGTACTGTTGGTGTTGGAAAGTTACCTGATATAATTGCCAAAATCGATAATTTATGTGTGAAGCATAATTGCTATTGGTAATCTAAAAACTTCCAATAAATGCCTTGTCTCACACTTGTGTCTGTCTCCTTCTTCATTCAAAATATTAACGATCAACATTATTTTGTTCCCTAATCTTGTAAATTTAAGATCTTAAGCTATAAATGTACAGCGCTAAACACAAAGGCAACCATCCTTAGTGGACTCATTTATACGTTTTCTATTGTGAAATTCTACAATTCACTTAGCAGACGCTTTTATCCAAAGCGACGTACATCAGAGAGTAAGAACAACACAAGCAAGGATCTAGAAAAAAAGGGAACAATGTGAGTAAGAGCAAACGATCAGCTTTGAGTCTGATTGGACACACAGGTGCTGACAGGAAGTGACCAGAGGCAAAGCACAACATTGAGGGCAGTTCTTGAGAGCTCTAATCAGTATAGAAACCATCTTATAAGTCGTCGTTATCAAACAAAAACAATCGTCATCATCAATAATATGGAGACCATCATCATTAAGTTAGTAGGTATTCATGAAAGAGCTGGGTCTTTAGCTTTCTCTTAAAGGTGCAGAGGGACTCTGTTGAGGGAAATGTTGAAATGTCAAAATATTAGGAGTTATTTTTATTCACTTTCTCGCTTAGATTTAGATTAAATTCAATTTTACTGTCTTCATTTGTAAAAACATAATTCAGATGTGCTGGTGGTAGGATTTGTTATCTTTGGAACTAGCTAGCTGTTTGTCGTTTTCCCAATGTTTGCAGTCTTCATGTTTGACTACGCTAACTTGCTTCAGGCAGTAGCTTCATATTTACCATACAAACATTAGAGTAGCATCTTGAGACGTGATAATGGTCAGGTGTCAATCAAGTGCATTTCTCAAAATGTTAGCTTAGCATTAAACCACACACAGTTTGCCTGGCTCTTTCCAGAGGTAACAAAATTAACCAATCAGCCCCTCTTCAGCCTAATTAAAAAAAAAAAGAAACAACTTATGATGATAATTTAAACGCTAAAAAATCTGATATTTGAAGAAATGTGTGGGCGTAACCAGGTTATATTTTTCTTCTTTTCCCAGTCATCATGCTACACCACCCAGCTGCTACTTCATCATCCAACCAAGTGTTAACAGGAGGAGATGGATAGCCTACCACTCGTTTGTCTGCCTGTCGAAGCTTAAAGTCCCTGTAAACCAAAAAAAAGAAAAATGTTTTTTAGTTTTTTATACAAAAGAAGAATGTATTATTAACCACTAGGCCAAATTTCAGCAACGAAAAAAACTTTTAAGTTTATCAAATTAAGCTTGAAAAACATGAAAAATGTAGCTGTTCTCGCTCCTCTGGGATGCAGTGGGCGTGTCCATGGAATGCGCCGAAGCCACGCCCACACAAATTAATGCACTAATACATTCTGCAAAGTTAGCTTAACTTAGAAGAAAGAAAGGAAACAATGAAACAGTTAGTTTGCCTATGTCCAAAGGTAATATCTTTCCAAAAGCACCTCTCAGGCTTTCAAAGTACAACATGATAGTTTGTTTGCTCAATGGTACAAAAGCTGAAGGGTAAAAACAAAATGTGGGCAGAGACAAAGCTAGCTGATTCCAACTGATTTCTTAAGCTAAGCTGGCTGTTCTCATGTAGCTCTGAACGGCAGCTTATTGGTATTCTCTTAAAATATTTAACTTTATCTTTTTTGTTGGGAAGTCGAGTAACTGTTTAATTCCCTGTCTCAAAATAATTCAAAGCCATTCCTGGTGGAAAATAAAAATACAAGACTAGCAACAAGTTTTTTTACCAGGACTAATATTTCCCCAAAGTTTGGGTTTAGTGCCTTCACTGTTTCCAGGCTTTACTATGCTAAGCTAAGCCATATCCAGCTATAGCTTTACAAAACAATGAACCAGTACTCTTTCATGGACTTCAATCAAGCTATTTTAATTGGAACAATATCTTAATGAGGTAGGTAGGAAAACTGAAAAGGGCTTCATGAACCAATTTAAAAATATTTGATACAGATTGAAAAATGTGCAAAATCTTGCATTTCTAAAACTGAAAAATAATCTTGAAGACTTGTGCTTAAAAATAATATTTAATGAAAAAACAATTTTACCATAACAAACCATCCTCACATACATACAGAGTAAGGGACTGAAAAACAAAACAGATCTTTAGTGTGGGGATTTAAACTAACTTTTTAAAATTGTAAAAATAAAATCAAAACATGAAAACTCAAAGTATTCATATAAAAAGTGGAACTAATACCAAACAAATAGTAACAACATTTACATCCAGTCCAGATGAGATACATTTTGAAACACAGCCCTTTAGTTCTTCAACAGAAGACGAAACAACACCCCTACAGTTCTTCTGGCCGGTATCTAGACACGTCTGGGAGCATCTCTGAGTGATTTTCTGGACGACCACAGTTTTCCGTGCACACAAGGTCAAAGCGGTTGTGGCGAAAGTCGATGCCAAAAGTGCTGAGGAAGATGAGGAAGAACATGACGAGCGCCCACTGGCTCTGAGCTGCCTCCCCGTGGAGACGCTGAGAGATCAGGGAGAAATCTGCACGAGGTGGGTTAAGGGTGAGACATGACAAGTAAAGGACTACAAAACATTTCCCCTATCCTTCTTCCTGCACATTATCCTTTCTCCCCCTATCACATGTTCAAGCCCAGTACAGTTTGGGTAGATGGCTTTTCATCATGAGACTGGATTTCTGCCTCTTAAAAATACGTTTTTTCTCGCCATTGTAACTTTTGCTAAACTTTTTTTTTGCTATGCATGATGGATTAACGCTGGGTCTTTGGAAAACAGCAATGAGTAAGGTCTTTTTCCTGCTTTTTGTAAAGTGTCTCGAGATAACACAAATAGAAATCGATAAATTGATAAAAACAAATCACTTTCTGCAGCGTCCAATAAGACACTTTGTCTGACACCTACCACGCAGCAGCCATTTCAGACATTCAAAATAACTAATACAGAAGAACGTCTTGTCGCTGATTATCTCAGTTGCTTTTGTTGGTCTTTAAGAGGCATCACTATCTATTTAAGTTTGTTTCATGACCAGCGAAAAACTCCTCACAGAGGTTTTAAGTATATCAGTTATTTGCTTTACAACATCCTCCTTAGATCGGAGTTAAAGGATACACAGTATCATGCAGACTGTGATGATTCCAGACAACAGGAAACGCATGATTCCAGTCTTCCTCCCCTCGTTCTTTAAATCAACTCTCAGAGTGATGAAAGACTGAAGCCAGCAGAACAACGTTCCCAGGCCGAACGTCATGAAGGTGCCGAGGTTGTGGATAATCTCGTCTGTAAATATCTGGAACAAAAATAACATCAAGTCTCCTAATCAGTCTACAAACTGGCAGATCAATTCTAACAAACACGGTGTGTGTGTGTGTCAGCGTTTACCTTGAAGTTTCCCAGGAGTGTCATCCCAAAACAGCCAAAAGTAAAAGCCAGCAGAGTGACAACGTTCAGGTGTTTGTTTATTTTTTGTTTCAGTTGAAGGTATCTGAGGAAAGCAATAATGAACCCTGTGACATAGAAGAAAAACAAAAGGTTAGGTTCATTTAACGACTCGCATATGACACATTATCACTTTTTATTTTCCATTTAAAAGTGTTTGCACTAATGACATATTGTATTTAAAACTGTAATAACATGATGAACACTGGTGGATCTTTTTTTTTTTTTTACCAAGAAACGCAGCCAAGTTCATGACCTCGCTGAAGATGCTGCTGGCTGGAGGAAAGTTCCCCGCAATGCTGAAAAAACAGGGAAGACATTTATGTTTCCTCTTCCACTCTGAAGATTATCATTAATCATAAATATGCATTTATTGTTTAAAGGAAATCATGAATACAAACCTAATGTAAGGAGGATACGATGATCCATTTCGCCTAAAAAAAACAAATAAAACATCTTAGCACCAAGAAATATTACCATGGTTCTTATCTTTATTTGTTTTTATCTAATGATTCTTACCTGTACTTTGTACCCAGAGGGACTATCTTCTCATCATAGACAGCCACAAAATATCTACAAAAACATCAAACACACAGACTTTACAGATGAGCTACAGATGAATAAATACACACAATTCATGTTTTTATTTCATGTTGGTTCAGGAGTGAGTGGAGGTAAACGTGTGAACTTACACCACCCACAGTCCAGCAGCAGTGAGACCTGAGTACACAGGAGGCAGCAGAGCCCAGGGACTGAACCCAAACATCTTATCTCACCTGAAACCACAGAAGAAGAAACGGTGCTAGTCTGTCTTGGAAACAATTTGTTTAATCGGCAAATTTTAATATCAGGGATGTGGTGTCAAATGAAGCAATATGACACGTGAGGGAGTGATTTACTGAGTGACAGAACCGATGTGATCCATGTGATAAAATGATCACAGAACAGCATCTGGACGAGTGCACCTAAAACAGTTTAACGACCAGCATTTACAAGTAAGCAGTCAAAAGAAACCGCAGATTGTTCATGCGTGTATGTTTTAAATAATCATGCAGTGAATGGAGTGAGAGTCTGTTTTGTGATTTAATCAGGATAAACTCTGTCTGCTCTAAACATGGGGGTCTCCTGGATTTCTGGCCCCCATGAAGACATCACATGGGGGGGGGGGGTCCCTCCAACACAGCCTCAGCCAGTCCCCTTGATACAGCTATACTGTAACCACACCTCCATTAGGCTACACAAATTACCCATTAAAAGCTTTACAATGAAAATGTCAAAGAATTTGATGTCACTCCTTTAAAAGAACACAATCTTTTATTTTAATGATTTATTGAAAAGTATCAATGCTCGTAAACAGTGGTTCTCAACTGGACCCATCACCGACTGCTTTGATTAACCGTGTTTTCTTATATCGTTTTAGCCTGGACTACTTACATTATTTCTCTGTGTTACATGTTTAACATTAGGAGGGTCTCTTGACAAGCCCCTCTGTGTTTCTTTGGCTTTCTCCTGCACATTTCTTTATTAAGTTATGTTTTGTTTTTACTTCCTAATCAATATGCACTGCTTTTTATTCTTCTTTATTTTGGTCTTTTTTTCTCCTTATATGCAATAAAAATGAAATAATTGCAATCCAAATGTGTTATATTTTCAACCAATCAGATTTATTCACTGGAAAACTGTGTTTCTCTGCGCCCTCAGGCGGGTACAAAACATGATGCAGAACAAAGAAATGGAAGAAAACATATATGTTTAAAAAGAGCTTCATAGACTTTGACACTTTTTTTTTTTTTTTTTTTTTCAGGCCACATATTTGCGACCCACTGAAAATGGTTCCACGACCCACTTTTGGGTCCTGACCCTCTAGTTGAGAACCACTGCTCTCTCAAAAAAAAAAAAAAAAAAATCACATCTGTTTCATAAGACATGAATCAAAACAACATGTTGAAAGCAAGAAAAATGAACCCAACTTTCAGTGTTTGGATCTTCTCTTTGTTGCAGCCTAATCAAACCAGGTAGCACTAAGTTTGTTTTGTAGTAATAATGATAAAAATAATAACTACTTTAAATAAACAAAACTTTGTGTCACACCCTTAAAAACTAGTTATGTAACAGTGGAACATCTGGCTGAGGCGGGGTTACACATGAAAAGTCCCACTCTGAATCAGCACTCTTATAATAATATAACATAATACTTAATATAATATTACACATTTAGGCTTCACCTGTATCATACAGCAGATATTTAGTTGTATTTATTCAAATGCATCAAAATAAAAAAAAATCCAGGATGTAACAGAGGAAAACGGTGCAGCTTTTCTAAACGCAAACATCAAACACAGGAAGCAGGGAACTCTGACGTCCGTACCTGTCCCGTCTGTTGGAGTTCCTCAACGGTGCTGTCTGTTTTCTGTGTGAGTGCAAACTGTAAATACTGAACACACACTTCTCATCTACACACTGTGTCTATGTTTATTTTCGGTAGGCTGTGAAAGGCAAGTAAATGTCCAATGAACCATCCACACACCGCTTTAATGTACCGTCTGCGTCGTTGCTTCATGCAGCAGTGAGATTATAAAGATTTCCGCTTTGTGTGTCATTCCTTCAAAATAAAAGCATGGCATTTATTAAGTATTCACAGCCTTTACTTAATACTTTAAAAGTTCAAATACCACTGGTATCTATGCTAGTGATGTTAGTATTTAGAAAAAAAATACAGGACATGTAGCTTAACCACCTTTTAAGATAGATATGTTTATGTTTTTGCATCTTACTTTGTTTTGCATGAAGCCTTTGAACAGAACTACATGGCTCAGGATAACAGTGGTGGTTCTGGCTTTTTGGGCTAATGGCTTTAGACCTTTATGTGTTTCAAATACTTAAACTCATGTAATTCAAATATTTTGTGGTCTGTATGTTGAAGTCAAACTAAGCATCCTAGAATTTGAGTCTGTTGCTATGAAAAGCCTCGGGACACTTTGTCTGTCTCAAGTTCAAATCTTTATTTGCTTTATTGGCGTGAACGAATCAGTGGTTATTGCCAAAGCCGTGTACAGAGCAATGATTACAGTTACATTACATATACATATATCTCACTTTCTGCAAGTCAGACGCAGTTAGACGGCTGTTTAACGAGATGAGTCTGGTTCTGTTTAAAGGACGTTTTTCTCTGTTACATCCTTCCTCCCAATGGTGGATTAATGTTCTCTGTTAATAATATAATAAAGAGTATGCACTAATTCTGCTCTTTTTGTAAAGTGTATGTTATCATATCCTCATATTTGTGCTTACCTCTTGAATATTATAAATTTAAATTGTTTTTTTTTTCATTAACAGTGTGACAGAAGTATTCTTATATAGAATACTTTTAAATGTGGATAGTTTTCCATAACAGGAACTAAAAGGAATCAACTGTAAACGACGGCAAATAACCCAAGGCCCCCAAAAACAGGTTTATCTGGCCTCAATAAATAATAAAGATGAGTCATGTTAAAGCAGCAGAAGCAGCAGTCTGAAACAGTCTATGATCAGTTTAGTGTGTCTGGTAAATTACGCAGAGGTCAAATTCTGCAAGAAATGGTTTATAAATGTATAGTTTAATCTACATTTTAAAAGAGGAAACACATGAGCATCTTACTTATAGTGAATCCTGTAAGATGTCTTTTAGTTTAGCTTTGAATATTTTAAACATCTGAGAAATCTTAACGGTCTGCTAGACTTTGTAATTTACAAAGGATCAACAATCTTGACCGACTGTGGCGGCTGTGGCTCAGTGGTAGTCAGACGTCTCTCAACCGGAAGGTCGGGGGGTTCGATCCATTAAATACATATAGAGGTAATATGAAACCCTTCACAGGCTACATTTCTAGGATGTCTTTTATTTATAATTCCGATCTTAGTTTTGTTGATGTGCCTGAATGGTATTTGTTGTTTTTTTGTGTGGTGTCTTGACTGTGATTGCAGTTGCTGCTGTGACGGTGTAATTTCCCTGCAAAGGATGAATAAAGAACCCATCGATCTATCCATCTTAATTTATAGAAAGAAAGGAAGAGAAATAATAAAAAACATGACATTGTAAATAAATACTATTTATTGAAAATATTGCATGTTGTCAATCTTAAAACAAAGACTTGTTTTCCTTTATTAACAACATAAAGTGTGGTTGACCACTCAGACTGCAGCCCTCATCGTAGTTGGAATGAAAATCAAGCAGGAGTCTCCTTCCAGTTTCCCTCTGAGGTGGGATTAATTAGCAGGTAATTACCTCCAATGCCATCAAAGAAGACTGTAGCGTTTGTTTGAGCATGCGTACTCTACAAATGTCCTAAAAGCAACAGCATCTTGTTTTTAAAAAAGTCCACTCTGCTGAGCTGCATGGTTACACTGAAACATGTTAAAAAAAAATGAAATAAAACATTAAACATCCTCCTCGTATGGGACTACAAATCCCACACGCGCTGACATTTAGCTTGGTCCAATGTGTAGTTTGCAGCGACAGCAGTGGTGAAAGTAAGCCGGAGAAATCAGACAGTAGTAGTTGAATGACGATGCAGTTTGACATTATGAGAAACTTTGAGAGAAAATGAATCTAAAAATAATCATAAGAAATAAGTCAGAAGTACCTCTTCCACTGCGTACCAAGAATCCAGAGGAAAGGAACATGTTGAATCGGTTATTCGTTCTTTAACTGAATCTTTGTTCTGAGATTTTTAACTTATTATGTCAACAAACAATCTTAAGTTCTAAAAAACTAACTCGTTATTTCATTTGTTTTATTTTGTTCTGTTTAAGGAGTTCAGTGTAGGTGCGTCTGTATTTTCAGTTTTTTATATTTAAACACAAACAAATGTAGAAATACAAACTTGTTGTATTGAGACGTTAAGTCTTTATTTTTAAGTACCAATTCAAAAAGTTATTTTTCTGTCTTTTATTAGACAGGACAGCCGAAGAGAGACAGGAAATGTTTGGAGGAGAAGAGAGGGGGACGACGTGCAGCAAAGGTGCCGAGGTCGCTGCGACGGGGACGATATCCTCTGCACATGTGACGCACGACAAAACCGCTAGGCTATCTGGCGCCCCAGTTACCAATTCATTTTTCAAAGAGACATTGGCTCATTATTTTGAAAATCCAACTCCCAATTCTGCTCATAACATGACATTAAATTACTGACTTATTATTCTGAAATATTTCTACATGATTTCATTATTTTGAAATTTGTGCCTTTAATTTGAAGATATTTCCTCGTTTAGATCAAAATACTAACTCATTTTTTTAAGACTCAAATTCCTATCATGAAATACTGAATTCATCTTTTCAAATTCTGTTTCTGTTTGAAGATGCTTCCAGAAAGTTTCTCTTAAAAATGACTTTGATTGATCTGTTATGATTCACCATAAATGTGCTTTAAAAACGGGTTTTAATAAAAAAAAGATCACATTTTGTATATTTAAAAATAATTAGGACATCAAAAGTCAATTCTACTTTAAATGATAATTAGAGGTTGTTCAAGTTTTCAGTCCAACTACTAAAAAAAAAAAAAAAAGGTCGTCTTCCCACTCTACTCTGCAGCTCCATTTTAAGGTCCGTAGCAAAGTGCATGCAGGCGGTGACGCATTTACATGTAAACAGAAAGCATGATTTTATTCTCTCAAGAGAAAGTTCTTTGTATTTATAAAGGATGAAAAGGTAATGAAGCATCGTTGTAGTGCAACAGTACTGAACGATTATAAAGATGATAAGCGAGTATATTCGAGATGATTGTTAGTTTGCGTGATTTCACACTTTGGAGACAGAAAGCATGCTGCTATTGATGCCGAATCCACTGAGGTGACCTCTATGTTTTGTTAAGTGGTGACGTTTAATTTCATCGTCTAGATACAAGCTGACAGAAATGCCCCAGACCTCATTTTTAACTTTCCCTATCTTTGTTTCCATTCCTGATTAACACTGAACACTGCTCGGTAAATGAAGTTTCTACATGTTCATTTATAAAATGCCCTTTTGTCTGTGTGGCTTGCCTGTTTGGACTTTATGCTGCTTTATAATTTCATTAGATGCTCACTCATGAATCTGTTTGCCAACATGTTAAAATCACTTGTGTTATTAGCCTTAGCATTAGTATGAAGGTGGTAGTTGAATTAAACCGTCTGCAGCCCTTTAACCGTTTTCGGGCTCAGAATTTACTTTCACCACTGAGTGCCGCTGACAGCATGGCTTTTGTTACGTCTGAAAACATGAATGGCACAAAGAGGAACCCTAAACAAGATTTCCACACTCGTCAGAATTCCTCCCGATCAAATCGAGTTCCCTGTGAAACGAGCTCGACCCCCCCCCCCGACCGGTCCAACAGGTCGAAGGCTCAGAGGAGTTTTTTCTTTTTTTTTTTTCAGACCCCGAGTTTGTTGGCTTGTGTCAGCACCACCTTGAGGACGGGCATGAACGCTGACGTCTCGCTGAAGTTGCTGCTGCTGACGATGTGCGTGTGGATGTTGAGGCCCTCGGTGTAGGATCGAGACTCGACGCTCCTGGCGATGTTGTGAAGTCCTCCTACGATGGCGGGAGAGAGCTGGAGAGAAGAAGAGCAGAAATCAGATCTTTAACGTCCTTCCTGAACTTTCTAAAAAACGTTGTTATTAGTCAGGAAGAGGCAGATCCCCTTATAAAGTGCTGAACTATGACAGAGCAGAATTTAATACATCGAGGTCCAAAGTGAATCCTTGAATAATAAAGTGCTTTGATATGAAACAGATGAAGCTGCAGAGAGTCATCTGAGGTTTCTCTTACTGCTCCTTTTTACTTCCTAGCTAAACTGCACATGGTAAAGCTGCCTCCCTCTCTTTCTTCTACACCTTATAAACATTTTTATTGCCGGATACTCACCGTCTGCTCTCGGAGTTTGTCATAGAGCGCTTCAAGCCGCTTGGTGGCGTCGTCGAGCTTCCTCTTAGTTTGCTGCGAGGAGACACAAAAGGAGTACAAAAAAACACTTTGAATGATTCACGTTGTTTGAAGAAGAGAGACGCTGGATTGTTTATCCCCTTCAGGCGGACTCACGGGATCTGTAGCTACAGCCAAGCACTTCTGAATGAGACCCTCGAACGTGGTCTTCAGGACCAGGTGCTCGTCGGGGATCGGCTTCTTCAGGATCTTCTCTGCGGGGATCGACTGCAGAGGCTAAAAGGGTTAAAGAGGAAGTGACGATTACCTTAAGAATGATCTCGTTAATTCATTAAAACAGAGCAGGCTTTTATTTTGAAATGTGAATGCAATGTTCTTCCAAACAAAGCACAACAAAGAATCTAATTTAAAAGGAAATCTGAACAAAAATGTAAACAATTCTCAAGTTGCATCGTCTATTTGAGGCACATAATGCACCCAGCTTTAACATTACTCACACCTACAGTATGTCATTAAGTGTCAGATTCTATAAGACGTTGTGTACCTGTATGAAATCTCCAGTCGGTGCTCCAGGTGCTCCCTCCATACTGGTCTTGGGCATGGCAGGGTTCATGGGTGGAGGTGAGAGCTGCTGCTGCTGCTGCTGCATGCCTGAGTAAGGGACCTGGGCACCCTGCTGCCCACCCTGTATCATGGCCTGAGGAGGGCCAGAGGGGACCGACTGGGCCTGAGGGTCCGCACCCAGAGGGGTCATGATAGGAGCAGTGATGGGGGCAGGAGGGCAGAAGTTCTGTGGTACCTGCTGAAATATGAGAAAAGGGGCTTTAATCCTCTTCTCGGTTTGCTTTGAAGGCATATAAAAGTCGAGACTGCCGATAATACAAAAGGTCAAAATACAGAGGAGGGATAAGGGTGTAATTTCCTGCTGTAGTTTCTTCAGTGAATCCAACTTTCTATCTTGTCCTTGGTTTTCATTTCTTGTAAATTTGTGACTGTAATTGCAGAGATTTTCACTTTATTTTTCACTTGTAAATGTATGACTGAATAGTATCAAGAAATATTTTTTTAAAATCTGCAAAATCTTCAAGTAATTCACCGCAAAAATCTTTGATTTCATGGAGGTGCTGTTAGCCTAGTGGTTATGTCACATGGCGCATGTACAGAGGCTGCAGTCCTCATCACAGCAGCCATAAGTTTGAATCCGACCGCGGCCCTTTGCTGCATGTCATCCCCCACTCTCTCTCCTCCCAACATTTCCTGCCTCACAGCTGTCCGATCTCATAAAGACCAAAATGTCTCAAAAAAATATCTTTAAAAAAAAAACAACAACCTTGTAACGCTCTCTGGTGATTAATTTGCATTGTTAAAGCCTTTTTGGCACTCTGAAGTTGTACACTAATATTAAAACGTTTTCTTTCTTCATGGGGGGGGGGGATTTACCTTCTTCTTTGATGCTCTGCTCAGAGCCGGGGGGTCGTTCCAGCCGTTCTGAGGTCCTAAAGAGAAAAACAAAATCTCCATCATCCACTCCAGCTCACAGTGTCGGGGTGCATTCAGTCCGTTTAAGGTTTAAAATCATGGGTGAGAAAATGATTCTACTAGTTAGCAAGCTTTGATCACAACTATATTAGATTGAGAGGCAAAGTTTGACATTAAGGGAGATTAATTTCCATCGCGATAATTGGCTGAGAGGACCGATACAACATCTGTGCTCTTAATATGAAGCTGCAACCGCTAGCTTTGTTTAGCATTCATTAAAACTGCAGGCAGGGGGATAAAAGCTGCTTATATACAACTTGTTTTATAACTCCAAACCAAAACTTGAAGGTAAATCAACACACAGGGATTTTATGTCGAACATTTGATCCTTCATTGTGGGAAAATATCTGGTAAGTAATTAGAGAGTCATCAATGAACACAGGGTGAGGACATTCAGTGATCAGAGCCATGCAGACCTGTTCTCCGAGAGGCCGGGACCAGCTCGGGGTCGGGGTGTGTACCTGAGACTCCGCACGGTGGAGGAGGAGGCATGTACGACGCAGGAGATCCCGGCCCGCCATGCTGGAAAGACGCTCCGCACGATGCAGGAGCAGAATAGTAGGAGGAAGAAGAAGAGGAGGAGGATGCAGCAGCGTTTGGATAGAAAGGAGGATGTGAAGGAGGAGAGGAGGAGAGGCACTGGCTGCTGTAAGGTTGACCCGGATAGACCAGAGGAGCGGACTGAGAGGGGACGGGCTGTTGAGTGTACTGAGAGAGGAAGCCAGGAGGCTCTGCAGGAGGATGAGCGGCAGAGGAGGAGGAGGAGGAGGAGGAGTACTGGAGAGGGTGATAGATAGGAGCCCCCCCAGTTCCAGGGGGGTACTGGCTGACCTGAGGGTAGCCTGGGGTTCACACAGGATACAAACAGACGCTGTTAGTGAAGAAATGACTGAACCATGCAGCAGATCAAACAAGCAAACATCAGAGTGGTTCAAGAACAGCGCATGCTAACATGCTATACGTTTAGCATTTAGGTGATAAACAGGCAAAGAGAAATAAACATCATAAAGTTAATCATACAAGACGCTCTCAGTTCAGTTAATCCAACAGCAGAGAAGAGAGCAAACATTTCATGATCAAATGTTTGTCAGTGTTTGAAATAAAGGTTGTATAAAAAGATGGAGAACGTGACTGATCCTTAAAAGTGAAGCCAAAACCTTTAGAGCCCCCCCTACTGACTGACTGGCTTTGGGGCTTGACATCAAAATTGCTGCTTCACCAGCCAATCTCTAAATGCACAGACTCTGGGTCCTAATGCACAATATGTCAGCAACCATGTCGAAAGGTGTTTGACTTCACTTCTGTACAACAGGAGGTGGTGTATACTCATCGTCCATCTTTATATACAGTCAATGGTTTTAAAGAAGAAAGTGTTGTAGTTGTTTATGCGGCACGACATTCGAATACAAGTAGTAATATGAGTATGTGACAGACTTACGCTGATACTGATGGGAGAGCATGTATGCAGGAGCGGAGGAGGGTGGAGGCGCTGCAGCAGAGGCGGAGGGAGGCATCCCGTACGGGTTTGAAGGCTCCGCCTGCAGGAGGAAGAAAAAGAAAATTGCAGATATGATTTTCACATATAGTAGACACTTTCACCGTCTCAGAAGCAGCAGATATCTCCTTAAGGTATCTCTTCACAAAACTGAAAAAAAAATCTGCCTTCTCAGATTATTGAAGAAATATAAAAAGACAGAAAGAAGAGTGAAGGCTTAAAATGAGGAGCTTCTAAAAAGGACTTTTCTGCACACAGATCTTACAGTTGTGTGCTGTAAACGGAGGACTGTGTCTAATTTGCTCTTCTGTTGGGGAAAAAAAAAAAAAAGGGAATCATTTAGTGAATCGAGGAGAAGGAGCAGCATGCATGTCAGAGAAGTGCTGGAGTGTGTTTTGACCTTAGGCTGTAAATATAAACCGATGAAGACTGAGTAACATCACCCATCTGTTACTGCAGGTGGCTTTGGAGTCCCACTGATGACAGTCACTGTGCTGGAAATGCTCACACTAGCAAAGTTTTCCCGTACTTAAGAGTTTTTTCTGATGGTTGTTTTAATGTCTTAATTTTGCTTAAATGCCCTAAAAGTTCCTGACGTTCTGTTTTTAACTCTTTAAAGCGCTCTATGTATGACCGCTGCTTTGGAAATAAACTGGCCGTGTTCTCCGCTGCATCATGTAGTGGTTTGTTTTTAAGGCTAATCTTCCTGATGTGTTCCCCCCCCCCAGAAATAAATAACATTTTCTTTTTGATGGTATAGACGAAGAAAACTCTGGTCCTCATTTTACTGCTGATGTCCTGAGTTTGTAGAATCACACAGTATTGGAAGTGGAAGACAAAGTGCGTTAATGATTGGCCTGTATATGGAAGAAGAACATTTCTGAATCTGCAGGATGGTGTATACATTGAAAGAGAAAGAGAACACAGTCAAGAACATCAACACAAAGTGGGGTAGCGATGGGTGAAGGAGGTGAGGAGTGTTACTGACGACAAACAGCAGCTGAGCATTCTTTGGGATTTCAGTTATTGATGTATTTGTAATCATTGAAGCAGTCTATGTAAACATCAGCAGAGGTGTGTGTAGAGGGAAGGGCAGGCAGGCAGGCGGGCGGGCGGGCGGTCAGTTTGTACCTTCTGCTCTGCTTGAAGAGGAGGAGGAGGGACATTGGGGAGGGCTGTGGGAGTTTGGTTACTCCACGAGGTGACAGTGGAGGCAGCCCTCACCTGAAGCACACAGAGACACACGGCACAGAGCAGCGATGGCCGCAGAATGAGGTGGGAGAAGGAAGAACCAAAAAAAAAAAGACCCCAACAACCACACGGTACACAGGACCAGAGCCAGGGTTCAAATGACAGAAACACAAACCTCCAACAGTTCAGAGAATCTCAGCATAGTAAGCACATTTATCATTTAGATTTCAGAGAACATTTAAGAACCAGCACGTGATTTAAGCCCTGGCTAGAATGGAAACCAAATCAATGAAATGATTTAAACACATCAAACTGCATGAAAAACTTCACCGGGAGCAACGCTGCAGGGTGACAGGGGCGGCGTTTGTTTGTCCTGTAGATAATCTTCCGAGGTTTTTTTTTTGTTAACATTTGCAAGGAACAAAATGCTACAACTGAAAAATGGAGAATCCCCTTTTGTTTGCAAAGAAGAGTGAATGCAACAGATTTTAGATAGTAATAAGATGAGGTACATACCGGCTGGTAATACTGCTGCTGCTGCGGGGGGGCGGACGCTGCAGGTGTAGGTGCGGGTACTGGAGCTGCTGCAGAGGGCTGAGGCACCATGGGGGGCTGCACGGGGAAGCACGGGTGCTGAGGCAGGCCGCGTTGGACCTGAGTCATGGCAGGCCGCTGAGGCTGAACTCTCTGGGTCTGTGCCGGAGCCGCGGGTGCTGCCGTCTGTCCCAGAGCTCGACTGAGACGGTCACGGAGCTGCTGAACGGCGAGCTGGAAGGTCCAAATCAGAAAAGTCACATTCAGTCGGTCTCATTGGTTAGTTTACCAGCTCTCTTTGAGTTCAAAAATCTAGGGTTGTAAAAGTTCATTTGGGACCTTAGTAAAAACTTAGTAAAATTAACCAATCAACGCAACTGTATAATTCCCACATTTTAGGAGTCTGGTGGCTTTGAAAAGAGTTCAGGTTAAAACAGGATTCTCTCTGTAGAAGAATTTCAGTAATTCTGTCAGAGCAAATCAATCTGAGCCTGTCAGTGCCAAAATAGAAGATTTAAGTTAACAAGTGATCAACCTGAAAAGTCGCATCGCAGTCTGTTTTGAAGCTGCAGCCTTCAGCAATCTGTTTAAGCAATCCCAAAACCTTTAGTACCTCTTAGTCGTTTAGACCCCAAAATATGTTTCATAGCTCTTTTAAAAGTACCAGAATAATAATTCCTTTTCATGTAAATAAAGGAAAGACAAACTCAGTAATGGATGGACAGCTGCTGTGTTACACACCTGGTTGGTGTTGTCAGGCAGGTAGGTGATGGCGGTGGACAGACTGCCCTGAGAGGCGAGCAGGCTGGCATAGTGGCTCATCTTCTCGGCCATCAGGATGCCGATAGCGGCGGCGCCGGATTGCTGCGTCAGCTCGACTGCACGCCGCAGCACCACCACCTTCTCCACCAGGGCCTGAGGGATAAAAAGACACCACATCAGCATGACTAGAATAAAAAAGGACGAGCTGCGTTAAGCAAAAAAGAAAAAGCTGGAAAAAACAAAATCTTATGATTTAAATCATTTAAATGCAATACTGCTGTTTTTTTGGCAACAGCATGCAGAGAAAAGCAGCGAAAAGAGGAACAAAACAGAACTCAAACGTAGTGAATCTTGGACTTGTATATACTGGAAAGACTCTGATGCTGCCTCCATGAGTGCAAACAGAGCTGGAGTAACTTTTGAACAAACCTGCAGAGAGAGGGGACAGTGTCCATCCTGAGCTCTGGTCCAACAGGACACTAGTTTCTCCACGTTTCCAGCACAGATGAAACACAGACAGGCCTGGACTTGTAGGTGAATGTCCTGTGCTGCCTCCAGTCTGCCCCCCAGAAGGTCTAAAAAAAACAAACAAACAGAGAAGTTCAGTTTAAATTAAGCAGGAATAGAGGGCAAAATTGAGTCTGTCACACAATACTTAAAATGTTACAACAGAGATGATCAGCCAGTGCATACATATATAGATATTTTAAAGTCACCAGTTATCCTAGCGAGCGAGCTTTGGACTGTGGGAGGAAGCCGGAGTACTCGGATAGAACCCAAGCATGCACGGGGAAAACAATCTTGTTTACACGGTTTCAAACTAACCGCAGAGGGACGAGAACTCCTCGGGCTTAGCGTAGGTCATGACAGCAGCCAGAGCCTCCTTCCAGTTGTGCAGGTCACACGTCTGCAGGATGTCGTGCCAGTCCTTCATCACCACCGCGCTGATCAGCTGGAGGACGACAAAGAGCGTTAAGTCATCCATTGGAATACTCTCAATGCAATTTCAAGACGACTCCTCCTGGCTGTTACCTTAGTGATCTTGCTGTGTGTGTTGGTAAAATATTTCTTCTGGGTTTTCTCCAGGAGCTCTGGCCCTCCGGCGATGGCCAGGATGATGCTGTCTGCCATGCGGTTGTCATGGAGACAGAGCTCCACAGCTCCCTCAAAGTCTCCGGTGAGCAAGGCCTGTGTGATCAGACCGTCCACATCTGAAAGGAAAACAAAAACATATTGGAAAATATTCCACGCTGGGGGGGAACGTTTAGTCAAATCTGCTGCTGGAAGTCGATGTCAGGAGCTTTTTTTTTTTTTACCTTGACTGATGCTGAGATTGACTCCTCCTTCGTGGGCTGGAGTAGGAGCAGGAGCTGGAGCGGGAACAGGAGACGGAGCTAAAACTGGAACTGGGATCTCAACGGGTTCCTCAATGAGAACTGGAGCTGGCGCTTGAGCAAGTTCCTCTAATGGAGCTGGAACCTCGGCGGGTTCCTCGACTGGAGCTGGAACCTCAACAGGTTCCTCGACTGGAGCTGAAACCTCGGCGGGTTCCTCGACTGGAGCTGAGGTGTCTGCAGGACTGGGCTCCTCCTCCACTGGAGCTTCCTCCTCCTGAAACATCAAAGAAAAACACCATCAAGTCTCTGGTTTGCTCTTCTCCTTCCCTGCAGGATATTTTAATTTTCTAATAGTTTGAAAATGTGTTTCTGCTGCAATTTGAATGATCTGACAGCAGAAACTGATGACAATATTTGCACTATTCCAAGTTTCCTGTTATTTGGCTAAGTGACAAAACTTCACTAAGAAACTGTAAATAAAGTGCTGCTAGAATACAAGTGTGTCCTTGGTTTCATATATTCAAATAAATAGTAGCTTAATCAGAGACAACGTATCATACCCTATCCTATCAAGAGTTACCCTGTAATTACCCCAAGTGATGAAGAGATGTACTGTACCTCCTCTAGGGGGATATCTTCCTCCTCTGCTTCCCCCTCTGGAAGAACTTGGTCAACAATTTCTTCTGGTTCAATGATGGGAGCGTCCTCTGGAGCTGCTGCTGCTGGCTCTTCAGGTTCTAAAACCTCTTCAGGTTCTGGGTCAGGAGTGGAGTGTAGTTCCAGTGCTGCTACAGGCTGGAGGTTCGCTGCTGCAGGCTGGAGGTTTGCAGCAGCGATCAAGTCAAACGCTGCTTCAGGATTGTCGACAAGAGGCACAAAGAGGTTTGGTAAAGGCTGCAGGTTTGCAGGAGCTGGGACCTCCACCTAAAGATGTAGAGAGTAGTCGGCTTTAAGATCAGTGACTTTAATCTAAATGTTAACTGCCAAGTAAAGAGGAAGTAAGAGACGGAAATGATCACTAAGATAAAACTTCATATCTGGAGAGAGAATATAGACCCTTTTCAACCAAAGGTCCTAAGAACTAAAAGGTTCAGGGATTTGTCTTCAAGGAACTAAATGGTTCCTGTGGGCCATTGGAGGAACTTTAAATGAAAAGTATTAAAAAGGAACTTTAGAAACAGGTGCTGGTTGCAAAACACTCATTATTTAATGAGTCAAATGATGGAAAAAGATTATTCTTACATTGGATGGGGGCGTTAAAAAACAATATTCACGTTTAAAAGAAGAATTTGCAAATGAATACTGGGATTAGACAGTGTAGCATTGAGCTGCATGAGGTCAGATCAGTATCCGTTTTTTGGTCCATTTTGAGATTTAGCTGAGCTCAGGCTGGAGGCCGTTTTGCAGAATATTCAAAATGGACAGGAAAATGTAACCTAAGATTCTGGAAAAAGCTGATTTTTTTCGGTACAAAGTTGGAATTTCACTGCAGAAATCGGCGTCACGTTTGAGTTGAGCGGTGCTCTTCACACTTCACTCTCAGCCAGACAGAGAATTGTTAAGTAACTGCTCTGAACAAACGTACCTGTGGAGGATCAGCAGGTAACTCCTCGGGTGCTGCTAAAAGCTGTTGACAAAAAAAAAAACCCAAAAAAACATTTCATTAAAAAATAAATGCGATCATTGCTACTCAACAAAACATTTATTACAGACAATATTCTCATTCTCTTTCACAGCTAGCCCGCCTCAGTACCCTATAAAACGATATATATATTATAAGTCTCTAGCCTGCCTCGTTTCTCCCCATACCTGTGATGTTTATTTATTAACATGTTATAACTACTTTGTTTCTAATCTGCACAAACAGAAAATGTCAATGCAGCAAGAAAAAGACCTGGTCCAGCACACGTTCATGGAGATATCTCTGCGTTCTGTATAGATTAAACAAAAACACTGTTTCTTAATCATGTCATGTTTATTATGACGTGTGCTGCTGCGCTCTCGGCCTGGTCATTCTTTGTGCAAGAGATCTTTGTCTCAATGGGTTAATTACCTCATAAAATAAAGGTAAATAAAAATAAAAGAACCGAACTTTGATGTTGTTAGTTTGACAGGAGCTTGTAGTCAGATGTTTTTACGTTCTAAAAGAGCCGAGCAAGCAGTTTCCTTCTGTTTTTATCTTTGTGCTCAGCTACTCTAACAGCTCCACACACAAGTTCCTCTGAAGCTGCCTACATCAGAAAACTGAAATAAAATGATTATATGTTCACACTATTTTCAACTTCAACAGACTCGGATCTTTTCACAGGTTTCAGTCATGTTCACAAACTGTTCACTGGCTTTAAATGCCCCTTTTTGTACATGTGCATGCGACACATTTCAGGGACATTTCAATGACCTTAAAGGACGAAATAGGCCACATCGAAAACCAGATTTTTATGTATTTAAAATGACTTTCCACTTAAACTGAACCAAATCTATTTGACAGCTTCTGTTCTGTTCACAGATACCAAATATCAGCAAAAGACCAGAATGAGCACATTTCCTATATATCAACAATTTTTAATCATAACTGTAACTGCTCTAAACAAACGTACCTGTGGAGGCTCGGTGAATATTTCCTCTGCTATAAGCTGACAACAAAAACAAAGACACATTTATTATAAGACCTACTGACAGAGACAGAGTAATATTTTACAAACAGCCTGGATCTGCCTAAAGCATCGGAGCATCTGAGGTGTTTTGAAAGCAGAGGCTCAACCTTTAAGGTGTTAAATTTAAGGTAAAAAAGTGTATTTATCAACTCATTTAAGCCTTGACGTGGCTACTTCAGAAAACCACTGCTGCTGCACAAAAGATAGTTATGTTCTTTTTAAAGTGATCATCAAAACATGCTAACCAGCTAGCTGTTTGGCCCTGTTTCCAGTCTTCGTGCTAAGCTAACCGCATCCTGAGTGCAGGTTCATAGTCAACAGGCAGATAAGAAAGTGTTATCAATGTTATCATGTTACTCTGAGAAGGACCGCAGACGATGCATTTCAGAATTATAATTATTAGTATGTAATGTTCCTTTAAAAAGCACAATAAGAGAAGGGGCTCTAAACAATCGTACCTGTGGCGGGTCGGCAGGCTTTTCTTCTAATGCTGCAGAAATCTGACGACAAAAAGACACAATTGTCACAAGACTGTGGATAAAAATATCAAACCACTAACATCTGTCAATGATTTCATAGGAGGCGCCAAGAAGCCGAGAAAAAGCATCTTACCTTCGCAGCGAGCTCCTCCTTGTTATAGCCCAGAAGTTCCAGGTACTTGCTGCGGATATCGCTCTCAAAATTAACCTGAAAACACAACGCAGTAAACTTAAATAAACAAAGCTTTATTTATAAAGAAACATATATGTAGAGGTTTATTCAAAGCTTTCTAGTAAAAGACTCTTTCTGCATTTTGTACCTTGAGGAATGACCAAACAGTCCTCTCAAACTCGTTCTCAGCCGCGTCGATCTTCCCCTGGCAGAAGTCCACGAAGCTGCCTGCACTCAGCGTGGCCTGCAGCTGATCGGAGCGCTTCAAGAAGTCGGTCTCTGTAACGACTTGGCTGACGTGTACGACCCGTGCGGTGGGCTGCTGAGGCTGCTGGGGGTTGGGCTTTGCGTTCTCCAAAGAAACCAGCTTCCCACCAAACTATGGAGAAGTGAAAAGACCGAGAATGTGAGTGTTACAGGCGTTAAAAAACAAATAATTTCTCCCCTTAAGGTAATTAAAACTAAAGGAAAAAAAAGGACTCACAGCAAACGAGGCTCCGACGGGTCTGCGGATCCACTTTGGGGGCTTCTTCAGGGGAGTGACTGTCGCTGGAGGGGCAGAAGTTTGGGGCAGCTGCAGCGGGGGCAGAGTCTGACCTGTCCCGAAAGGATCCATGTTCCCAAAGGAGGTACTAATCTGTAACAGACACACAGAGACACATTAGACTACAGACTGTATGAAACATGGACATAGGCTCAGACACACTGGTTTCTGAAGTGCAGTTTTTGAAGCCAAACGATGACAGTATGAGAAATGCTGTCTCGAACTAGCGTTTGGTCAGGTGGAGCGGAGACGGGCCTTAACCTTCCCGGCAAACAGCTACAATGCGTCCACCTGTTAGTCAGATCAGCCACGCCCCTAATTACGCAAATGTCTTCATAACTCTAAGGCCCCTTCCCTCCTGTCCCCAACTGCAGCCGAGTCGCCTCTCGACTCCGTTACAGATGTTTTGAAGAGACTGGACGACGTGCAGAATGTTGGCGACTTCTGTTTCATCTCTTAGTATTTTTTTTTAGATCCCCGCACCCGAGGCCGCGTGGCCCCTCGGTGCTGGCGGCGGATATGTCAGAAAAACACATTTGTCTACCGTAATCCAGTAATAGTCAATCGTTGCTCTTTGTACTTCAAAGAAATGATTTTTGGTTCACACAGAACCAAAACTGCTCTCTCCTAGGGGATTTTTCCAGGCACAAAAGCGCTGGCTGTGCGCTCAGGAAAAAGGGGCTAATGTCAGTGCAGAAATCTTCCTAAGCACATCGTCTCCGTCGTTCATCCGGCCAGTGAAATCCTACACATTCATTATTTATCACGAGTCGTCTGGATTGCCTGATATTAATCTGTTGACAGCAGAGGCATGTTTTTGTGTCAGGAGATCACATCTCACCTTGTCAGCGTCTCTCTGGCTCTGCGCCTGGTTGCTGCCGCCCATGATGGAGTAGATGTCGATGTGTCCGTCAAATCCAGCAGCCGACAGCACCGCCGGGTTCCGGGGACACCACTGGATGTCGAAGCACCACTGACTGCTGGTGGGCAGCTCGTACACGACCTGAAGACGGAAGCAGATCATGTTAAGACATAAAGAAAAGACTGTCCTGCCTCGTCTTTGGAAATGAAGACGTACCTCTCCTGTGTTTGGATTCCAGCAGAGGATCCTGCTGTCCTTCCCGCAGCTCAGGAGCAGCTCGGGATCAGCCAAGCTCCAGGCGATGGCAAGAACGCCCCTGAACAAAAAGCACAGTTATGTGTTAAAAGCCACGACCAATTTTAAGGAACCCCAGCAGTCTTGTCAGTAGTTTTTTCCTTGCAAACAAATCCCTTAAAGAGAGTAAATCCAACAATATCTTTTTACATTTCTCGACTGTCAGCTCAAAGCGCTGTGGTTCCTACTGAAGATATAAATATGTAAAAACTGAATAATAGTATAGCACTTGGTATAATGGTATAATAGCAGTAAAGACAAGAAAATATAATTGTAGTGAGGCGAATTACCAAGCAGATGAAGCTCGCTCCAAATGAGGGTGAACGATTAGCTTTTGCTAGCGTGCGGTAGCTTGCAGTGCAGGTACAAGAATTAAATGTTCACACTACGTACTGAAGTGAGTGTGAGGCCCAATGAGGCGCCCAGATTGAATGTTGTGTTTACAAGCTACAACAAACATTTTGTACTGACTCTACCTTTAAAGGCTACCAAGGAGAGAAATTTGTAAGAGCTGTCTTTACCGTGTGTGGTTCTCTAAAATCTTGAGAGGAGAGGTAGCGAAACGTAAATCCCACATCTGGATGACCGGCATCCGATCGTCCTCTGAGGCCAACACCAGCTGAGTGGCGACTTCAGGGTTCCAGGCGAGTCCAGAGCAATGCATCTAAAAAAAAAACAACAAACACGTCCATCCAAACAGATTTAGAAGAATAGAGGCGAGTAAACAGCTGCAGAGGAGCGTGAGAAAAAGAATCATCCAGGCAGAACGGGTGAGACGACGTACTCTGTTGCTGTGGTCGCTGACTTTGATGATGAGGTCGTTCTTGCGGAGGTCCCACACCAGGGCTCGGCCGCTCGGGCTGGCAGAGGCGAGGATGTGCTGGACCTGTTTGTTCCACGACACGAAGCTGATGTCCTCCACGGGCTTCAAGAACAAGGCGAGGAGGGTTTATTTATACAAAATCATTCATTCATAAAGCTGATAAAAGTGGTTTTAAGAGTTAAAACTTCCAGAGCTTTGAGAGCATACAAAGAAATAACAAATTCAAATACAATGCGTATTTAAATCTCCTCAATGTGGGAGATAACTGACTCATGTTAAATGCTTTAAGATGGAAACACAACAGGCTTTCTGCAGGTTTATCAAGTTTTTAAAAACACCATTGTGAGTGCAATTTAAGTGCAATTTTTTTTATCTTTTAACTTGCAACACAGCCTCAATGCCTCTTTACTTAAAAGTTTCTGATTGGAGCAAAGCCAAGGAGGCTTCAAAATGTTGTTTTCATATCAACTTGCTCTTTTTTGTTTTAATTAAGAATAAAAAAAAGCAAAATTAATCCAAACAACACCAACGTATTTTGCCCCAAAAGCAGCTTCTTTTGGGTTATTTTTGCAGAAAGATCAATTCAAAATGTTCCCCCAAAACATATTTTAAATCAACTCTGAAGTCAGCACAATATCAAAAGAGCAAAAATTAATTAATAACAAAACACAATGATTAAAAACCATATTTTAAAAAAACACGTCCTTATATTCTTATAGCTGGATTTTAAAGTGTTTCAGACTTCTTAAGGACCAAAAGTAGAAAAAAAAGCTCGTCTATTTCACGGGACAGGTGCATAGGAGAGGAACCGGTTCAACAAAAAAATGTGAGTAAACTGCTGCACACTGACTAACTTGTAAAAATATGTATTGGTTTGCAACGTTTCGGTACTAGACCTTCATCGGTTAAAAAGTGTTTATAGTAGATAAAGGAGATAAGGGCCCCGTCATTCACTGAAGCCAACCCAACCGTTGCATTTTCATACATGAGATGAACAGATTTGATCTAAATCTCAATCTAGGAATGCAACAAAACAAAAACATAACACACACTGCTCAATGTTTTTAGATTAAAGCACATCTATTCCAATATGATGTTGATTTCTGGCAGATTACTGAACAGAACTGAAGCGTACATAATCAGTTCACACAGACAAAGAAACCACAATAAGGACGCTAGTAGGTCCATTTGAATAAATGACTGATCTCTACAAACTAAAAGAAAAAAGAAAAGGAAAAGGAAAATGTAAAGCTACGGGATTGTAAGAAAATAAAATACCTGAGATTTTGGTCCTGGTGTCATTGGAGAGCCGAAGTTATTCATGTCCCAGATGTAGATTTCAGAATCATTCCCTCCTGAAGCAACCAGGTTAGTCTGCAGCAGAGACGAGCAAACACCAAATGAGTCGCCGCTTTTATTTTGAAATGCATCTAAATTTTGTGACACCGAAGTTAAAGCGTCTTACTTGGAAGGGGTTTACGTCGAGCCCTCTCACCGGCCCCGTGTGCAGATCGCTCTCAGCGATGATCACGTCGCTCGCTCCAGCCATGATCTTGGCGGGGTCGTACAGGATCACGCTGCCGTTCTCTCCCCCTGCGATAAGGACCCCCGATGGGTGGGCTTCAGAATCCATCCCGTACGGACCCCAGACCAGTTTGTGGTATCTGTTAGAAGAAGAAAAAGGAGAGAACACCTGTGATAATCAGCTCCACGACGAGGAAAACATTCCAACATCATACGGAGAAGTTAGAACCTGTGAGAGGAGGCGAGGCTGCCGCACGACTTCATGCCCAGACTCGGGTCAGTCAGGTCGAGATCGAAAAACTCCAAGGAGGCATTGGTGCTGAAGGAGGCATCCAGCTGCTGGGCTGATGTTCCTGCAGAGAGAGAGAGAGAGAGAGAGAGAGAGAGAGAGAGAGAGAGAGAGAGAGACAGAGAGAGACAGAGAGAGACAGAGAGAGAGAGAGAGAGAGACACAGAGAGAGAGAGAGACAGAGAGAGAGAGAGAGAGAGAGAGAGAGAGAGAGAGAGAGAGAGAGAGAGAGAGAGAGAGAGAGACAGAGAGAGTGAGAGAGAGAGAGAGAGAGACAGAGAGAGTGAGAGAGAGAGAGACAGAGAGAGAGAGAGACAGAGAGAGAGAGAGACAGAGAGAGAGAGAGAGAGAGAGAGAGAGAGACAGAGAGAGAGAGACAGAGAGAGAGACAGAGAGAGTGAGAGAGAGAGAGAGACAGAGAGAGAGACAGAGAGAGAGAGAGACAGAGAGACAGAGAGAGAGACAGAGAGAGAGAGAGAGAGAGAGAGAGAGAGAGAGAGAGAGAGAGAGAGAGAGAGACAGAGAGAGAGAGAGAGAGAGAGACACGTTGAGTCACATAAGATGTAGGCTCGTCAGCAGGGCAAAGCTTTAAAAAAAAAAAAAAAACTTCTTCATAAAAAAAAAAAAAGTAACATAAGGAGGAAAAGGAGTGTGAATAATAAGAAACTCCAATCTTTACATTAGAGAGAAACAGAGTAAGACAAACCCTGACAAGCATGTGAGTCCCTGGCTTGACAGTTTTTTTTTAAATAACCTTTAAAGAGCAGCTCTCAAGTCATTACATGTCAAACAAACAAAACAAAATACATGGATTCTGCAACGTGCTGGAAATACAGCCCTGTCACTTTTTCTTTGACTCAATTGCCAATGGAGCAAAAAGGAAAAAGAAATATGGTGTAAGCCCGATGACTCATTTGGTTAAGTGGCAGTACAAATTGGCTGGAACGTATTACAAAAATGATATAATGTCCTGTCAAAGACCAGCCAGCTGCGGCTAAATCCGGCCCGTGCTGACTTCTTGCAGTGTTTCTCGTACCTGTTGCAAGGTAGATGGGGTGGTGCTGTGCAGGACTCCAGCTCTGGATGGCTGTGCGGTTGATCTCTTTGAGCTTCATCCTGGAAAGAAACAAGTGCACATTTTTTAATTCTACACGCAGTGATAACTACTGAGTGGACGCAGTCATTTATATCTTGATTTTCTTTGATGTGGCTTTTGCAGGAAAGAAGAAAAGTTGAGGTATTTTTGGCTCTGACAGAATGAACAAACAGGAAATGTTGTTCCTGAGCTAAAGGGACAGGTCCGCAGTTTTTCAAGTCGAAAACAATCTTGTATGTACATTGACATTATCGGTCGCTGTGATTGTTCCTGCTGTCCATAACGGGTGTGAAATATCCCTTCCCCCTCCAGCTTTGCATGATACGGATGAACAGTATGTTCGGCCTTTAGTCTCGATTCAAAACAGTGATTCTTTGCTGAGTCATAGCAGCAGGATGGTAACTCAAAGTACCAGTAATATTTACTTATTTTCTCATATCACAGGGAGCGAACTCCGTCCCCCAGCACATTGCGTTATGCATCGTTTACAGTGAGTGTAAACAGGAGGATCACACCGTGTTCAACTCTGTAAGTGTACATATGTGCATGAACACTGAGTCACCAAACTTTTAAGAACACCTCATCATAACCACTGCTGACACAAATCCCAGCTCCGCGGTAAATACTCCCTTTTTACAGATTTGTTGAATCAAATGTACAGATTTGTCTTGAATAAGTGAAGGTTTGAGAACTTCAAAATTGTTCAGGGTGCAACTATTCTCAGAAACTGGCAACCAATTTGTGCTCTTTTTGTCGCCATCAGTCTCAGCAAACGTTTACAGATTAAAAGTAAGCAGCACAATGTTCAAAGAGGAAAAATCATGTTTAAGTTACTGTTTTATTTACTTGCATACACACAGGAATCTGTCTCTGAGACAGCGGTGAAGCAGTTTCTTTCATACATGTTTAGTAAAGAATAAAATAGAATAGAATAGAATTACTTTATTGATCCCAAACTGGGAAATTGTGGCGTTACAGCAGCAGGTTGTCCAAACACACAATGAGTAAAAAACACAATGTGAGCAGATCTAAACACAATATGATATTTAATACAAAGTAAATAAGCACTAAAAATATCAAAACTAAGAATGTGAATATATACAACCAGGATTTAACTTAGCATTACTAGTCTTAAATAGGAAGATTAAATGTAAATGTGCAAAAACAGAGTTGTAAATGGACAGTATTGACATGAGTGTAGACATGTTATAAGCAGAAACTATTCAATGTAATGGCGAGTAGACAGATAAAAAGTGACCATAATAGGCCACTATTTGACAATTTGAACAAAAAAAGTTGTTATTTTGCACTCAAGGTTTAACCAGCCTTTTCCTCTGCTGCAGTTTTTACTGTCATTTTTATTTTGTCTACCCAATTTAGTAAAGAAAACAACATGTGACGTTGCAACCTTCGTGAAGGGTTAACTCAGTTATCCTGAATTAGTTTAAGATGAAAGTACATAATGAACTAAGTCCAACTACAGAAAGGCAAATGTAATAAAGCAGTAATAAAAATATATCACTCCCACTTCAGTGTAGTTATAAATGCAGACGTTAAAAGGTGAATAGACACATGTTAAGCTTTAATTAACACTACTACCTGACCTCTGCGCCGTAAAGCTGCGCAGTAAGGAGTAAAATATGTGAACTCCTTCCTTCCATTCAAAGGTTAACACAACCAAACAAAAAGTACAATGAAAGCTAGCAGCATGCTAACAGCTGATCGGCCAATTACTGTAAAAGCAACAAACAGCAGCAAAGCAAAAAATACTGAGTCTCAAAGGTGTGAGGAAGTGAAGGAGCAGAGAAAAGACTGTTTTGTTGTCACTTTGCCTGCAGGCTCAGCTGGACTCGGTACAGCATGTCCTAAAGCTACAAGAGGACATTTATGTAGCCTGCTAGCTGCAAAATATAACAGTAGAAGAAGACAGTTACACACTCACACAGATCTTATTACTCCACTAAAGCTGCTTACCTTCGTTTCTGCTTCTTACATTAACGCACACATAAACAAAAAGATGACAAACACAAACAGCCTCCTCCCGTTTTAAGTTCCTCTTTCGCTTCTGCTTGACGCTGTAAAAAAAAAACAACAACCCAGAAGAGGAGGCTACACCGGGTCCCGGCTGCTGCAGACTCAAGACAGATCCTCCACGTCCCCACTGGTCTCCATCAACGTGGCACTCAGCGCTAAGCAACAATCCAGCTCCTCCCACGAAGAAGAAGAAGCAGAACAACAACTTCCGGGGAGAGTCGACGTCGCTGTTAGCGTGCTGGAATGCTAACTATGCTAATTAGAAAAATCAAACAATCGAGGGACGCTGGAAAATTTAACCTGTGGCTCTATGTGAAAGATAATAAATTAATTTGTTGATTAAAAAAATATTTAGAAATATTCTCCATCACCCCCTCTCTTTAAAAACATTTTTATTGCCATAAATAAAAAATAACAATTAATATAAATGAGTAATATTAATTAATTAATTAATTAATTAATCATATGACCAAAGCCCTTGAGACGATAAACAATCACTAGGATTAAATAAGTGTTGCAAAATGTATTAGGTGATAAAAAAAATATATAAAAAAATATTCTCCACCACCTCCTCTCTTCAAAAACTTTTTTATTGCCATAAATAAAAAAGAACAATTAATATAAATGAGTAATATTAATTAATTAATCATATGACCAAAGCCCTTGAGACAATAAACAATCACCAGGATTAAATAAGTGTTGCAAAATGTATTAGGTGATAAAAAAGAAATATAAAAAAATATTCTCCATCAACCCCTTTCTTTAAAAACTTTATTTATTTTCCTATTTTTTAAAAAAATAACAATGAATATAAATGAGTAACATTAATTAATTAATCATGACCAAAGTCATTGAGACGATAAACAATTACGAGGATTAAATAAGTGTCACAAAATGCATTAGGTGATAAAAAAGAAATATTAAAAAATATTCTCCACCACCTCCTCTTTAAAAATTGTATTTATTGCCATAATTTAAAAAAAGAACAATTAATATAAATGAGTAATATTAATTAATTAATTAATCATATGACCAAAGTCCTTGAGACAATAAACAATCACTAGGATTAAATAAGTGTTGGAAAAATGTATTAAATGTATCGTATTATATCTACACTTGAATAAAAAAAATATGCCATGTTGATTTTCAGTCGTTAAATCACTCAAGTTCATGAAATTTGCTCTTTTTGTTCCAGAATGTAACCTGCATTTTAGAGGAATATTGAATTCTGCAAGTTCACAAAAAGGGCAGAGTAGTGGATACTTGTGTAAAAGCACTAATATAACCAAGTGAACATGCACAATTATCATTAGTGTTCTGAATTCAATAAAAAATGAAGGCAAATGTGCCATAAGTCTAAAAACAATTTCAGAATCATTCAGAAACTTGAACTTGAGTATTTTTTTTCCAAGAAAGAATTGAACCCCTTGAGCTATATAAATTTATCTGAAATAAAACATGTTTTCCTAGTAAAAAAGAGCCCAAACTAGACACCTTGATTTGGAAGGTATATAATGGACTTCAGCTTGTATAGAGCTTTTCAAGTCCGACTATTCAACGTTCTATTTTCACTAGAGGTCACAGGCTGGTTATTAAAATTATCCATCAGTATTATCTAATCCCATTCAATATTACATGCTGCCTTGTTGTCAATGCATTTTCAGTAAATCCTTATGTCAGTTGAATGAATGGAAAAAAGCATCTTAGATAATATTGTACCAAATCAATATATTCCAACGTGAATCATTTTAAGTTAAGCAGCAGTATTAAGTTTCAGATTATAAATGTGATATTTTTCATATTGCCCCTGCTAGCTTAAAAAAAACAAAACACACACACCAACAAATTATGCTTCAGTGAATATTTATTAGTGAAATGAATAGCTGAAAGTATAAACAAAGACAAACCAACAAAGTTCTTAATGCAGATGTAGTTGTGTAAACTTCAGCAGAACTCACACCTCAGCAAGTCGCCCCTGAAAGAATAAAACAAGTTTTAAATAAACAGTTAAACTCATACAACAGCAGAAATATTTGGTTGTAAAATAAACGCCGAAACCCTCATTTAGTATTTCATGTATAATCTCCCCCAGACATATGAATGGGTCAGATGGGTAGTGATTGGTATAATCATTGGGATGGCTTTTTTACTTTATTACACACATCAGGACTGCAAATACTTACAGTACATGCATGTCAGGTCACAACCTTGTTCTTCAGCTGACCTGTAAAAACAAGAAACAGTCAGAATTTAATATGAAGATAAAATTAAAGTGATGGGCATGTGTGCATGATGTTACACCATGCAAAAACATGAATACTTTTGCATGATGAAATATTTGCAAAACCAGGAGTTTAACTAAAGTGTGTTAGAGACACACGGTGTGCGCCGAATTCAAGAGTTGCAACTTCTACTTCAGAAAAGTGTAGAGTTGTGTTCTGATTTCAGATTAATATTGGTCAATTTGCGATTTAACACCAAATAAAGAATTATTTAAATGGAGTTTGGTGTGACACATGACGCTGGCTTTTGGTGACCACGTGCTCTGACGTTGGCAGTTTTAAATCGTAAAGAGCACTGATTTTCCTTTCTTACACACATTTAAAAAGGAACACATGATACAAACTACACTTAATTTATGTTTTCCTTACCTCAATACTGAAGAGGGACCCCCCCCCACCCCACACGTGTTGAGTTTTTCAGCCACGCTGCAGAACAGACCGTCGCTTGAAAACCATATTCAAAGAGAAGGAGCTATTTAACTTTCCATATCAACTACAGGATTTAAATACACAAAAGTATAAATGTAACACTCAATGCCTAAATTACCCTTTACTAATTCTAAATTACATATCCCCTTTCCCCCCAGACCCTCTATCGTAATGCTGAACCTCCACACTACATTTCTCCACCCAGGCGCTTCAAGTTTTCTTCTTCTGGTCATATGTGTATTTTCATGTCTGTGCATTACCGCCACCTGCTGCGTGGGCTGTGCAAAATGTCCTCTGACTTGTACAATACACAGATATTTCAGCCATTTATCTTTGATTTATATGAATTAGTCCTTATCTTTTCATATTTTCTGCGACAAAAAAAAACAACCTTTACTTCATTTTTTTCCTCTCATAACTCCCCATTGTGACATCTAACCAGCCTCGGATGAAACATCATTGAACAAGTCTTAATGGTTTTCCCATTCAGTGTGTTTTAATGTATAGGAAGCATGTGAATATTACACAGAAATCAGCATCAGAGGAAATATCTCGCTGTATTTAATCTATTCTGAGTGTGCAGAATGGATAATATGTTCAAATTGATTTTAGGGTCGAACCTAAAGATTGCCTCTACTCATTTTCATTCAAACAATTTAGCCTAGGCTTTGTTAATTAATACTTCATAAACGATTTGCAGCACTATAAGCCACACGATATTAGCGCTTACAATGATTACAAATACTTGTCAAAATAAATATCAAAAGATAACATGTTCTTGTTTGCCTACTGTAAGCACAAATATGCCCATTACATAAAAACATACGGGGATCTTCTTCCCAGAAAGACTCAAATAAAAAAGGGAAAGAATAAAAGAAAAGAGAATCAAATGGAAGAACAGAAGGAGGAGAAAACAGCCTTGAAGGGAAATTAAGAGAAAAAGTTTATGTTCCTGTTCTTCTTTCCGAGAGTCCATGTGTGGACAGAAGGGGACAAAAGGTCCATCAGAGTCCGTCTTCTCTGTCCATTTGTCCTTCAGTTTGAGACGTGAACAGCACAAGCGGCTGCTCTGTGTGTGTTATTCCAGCTGTCAAAGGCGGCTGAATCTACTTTTAACCCATTGTTCTGCCTTTTGACGAGGGACACAACTCGTTCCCCTGCTGGAGAGACACCTTGGGATGGAGGGGGGAGGGAATCCGAGACAAGAGGATGTAAAGTAATCCACGTCTCCCGGCCCCCCCCCCCCGCCCAACAGCTGAGGCGGGTTAGGTTCGAGGGGCGAGGGAGAGCCAGAGAGCTGCCTAACAGTTGATGGAGGCACAGTCTGCTTTGGCTTTCCCTGCCGAGTTGATGATCCTCATGAGGCAGTGTCCAAACTCCTCCAGGATCATCCGCTCCGCCTCCGCCTGATGCTGATGCTGATGCTGATGCTGATGCTGATGCTGATGAGTCTGTTCCGCCTTCTTGGCCTGCTCCAGGAGACACTCGCACGTCGCTTCGAGCACCTCCTTTGTTACAAACGTGTACGGCAGCCTGAAGCGGAGAGGGGAAACAAGACGTTACTGAAAAGACACATTCATTAGAGGATTGTTTATCCCACTCAGAGGAAGACGTTTTCCAGCAGTTACCAGGGATGGATATCAAACAAAGGGTTGTGGACATTTGTATTTGAAAATAAAATAAAATAAAACAGTGTTGCTGTTTCACACATGCACTCCTGAAAAGATGCTGTGGACATCAAAGCGACAGAATCTGAAACTATGACCGTTTTTTCCCCTCTTTGTATCAATGCTGTGTAATTGGACGTATTCACAGTATCAAAAAAACAAAACATACTGGCGAGCAGAAAAGACAGTTGACAGCTGCATGTACAGTACAAACGACAACTTCAAGCTGTACGCCGGTCCTGCATGCTTTGATTACTCATAGGCTCTCCACAACTTCCCCGACATGACATTATTAATATCATGGGCCTTGAATAGTATCATGACTTACCCTGCGATCCCCACCGCTAACCACAGGTCTGTGTTGTTATTCGCTTGGTTTACTTTCTTTGGGCTTTGATTTCCTGCTCTTATTAATGTTCTGACCTGCAGTGATCAGTGCGTCAAATCAAACCTTTCAGTTTGAGGAGCAAACTTTTGATTATCATAAATCTGTAATAATAAAGATTTTTCTGGCTCAGGAGAGAAGTCTTTCAGTACCTCCCGCTTCCACTTGAAATAACCGGGGTGGTCCTCATGAGCAGGTCTGAGATCTGCGACGACAGTTTGGTCTTGGCCGCCGTCTGCTGCTGCACCCTCACTTCTGCTGCGTCAGCCAGGTGCATCAGAGTCTTCCTCTCCGGGCTCTCCTCAAAGTTTTTACAGCCGATGCATTTGCAGATCGACGAGCACATGATCTTCGCCTTTAAGATGGTAAAAAAAAAAAAAAGTAGGACATATAAAGTG